GTATTATGGGCCATAACTCCCGTACGTGCGAGAGGCCCAAGGATTCAATTACGATCGAATAAGGGTTATTATGTAGGGTGGTGGTGTAGTAGTAGGCAGTAATAGTCAATTTTGGTGTTTTGGTGGGCCACTCGTTCGGGTGGGCCACTCGTACGGGAAATACGTTATACCAATTGAAGAGGTTGTTATCACGCAACGACAAAAATAGTAAAAAAAAAATAACAAAAAACAACAACAGTGGGTATTTGCTGGTGGTCACCCACCCAACTACTAATCCACTGATCTCAAGCTTGAAGCGGTTTAATACTCAGGACAGTGCCATTTAGACTAGTAGGTGAGCGTCGCCGCCCTTAAGTTTTTAATGCCTCACGATAATCCGGTTGTCCCCCTTAGCTACCTAATAGCAGCCACGTCAACACGTACGAAGTGGGTCTTGTATTAAGATGTAATGAACGCGATGCACTGCGACTTTAGATGGCCATAGATATTCTAAAGAAACGCAGTCCAAGAGTAAACTAATAGTAAGTCCGCAGATTACTAGTAAGTCTGTAGACTAGTAGTAAGTCCGCAGGTTAATGGTAAGTCCGTAGACTAATACATTCAGCGGGTCCGTTAGCACGTGGCAAGTAAAGCTCTAGCAATATGAAAGCGCTGGTATATTCCAGACAGGCAACAGCAGGCCAGGTGTTATAATATAAGGCTACTCTGGACTGCTATTGAGCTAGTAAACTTGGTTTTCTAGGCCAGTATCTTGCTTCCGAACCAACCGCCAACTCCTACTCATTAATGTCCTTGTCCTTCCTCTGATGACAATAACCCTCTTTGCGTTCGCAGTGATAAAACCTCAGGCAATGCGTAGCCTATACCGCCATTGCCGCCGTTTACCATAACTGTTCTCTTATCTTAGATTGGCTCTAAAAGCTCGGAAGACTCATTGTAGAGGATAGTGAATAAAGGTGATGATGTTTCTTTGCAGAATTGGCTCCGCAGGACAAAACGACCCCACATAAGGACGGTCCACCCTGCTCCCCAACGATTGATTGTAAATATTGCCTATATTGTTGACTTTGTACGGACTTAACGGACTTTAAGGGGAATGCTCATCCTGTATGCTCTTGTGAGTAACTTTCACCTAACGTTAAGGGTGAGAGTTACTCACAAGAGCATACAGGATGGGCATTCCCCTTAAAGTCCGTTAAGTCCGTACAAACTGGCTGCAGCTAGTATTGCATCACCTCTTGACCAAAGAGCAATCGACAACCTTGACACATGCTGTTGGTGCTTCTCGAGCCCTTGCACAACAGCAGAGCAAGGACTGTAATTATCTTTTCCCGCTGTTCGGGCGGAGGCGGGGTCAGCATTTGTCTGAAAGTCGACTACTCGCAGGAGGTGATTATAGCAAATAATTTATACGCGTATCCATGAGACTTACATGATGATTTTGGTTCGCGTTCACGCCTGTCTACGCCCTAATCGCATCTTATTTCATAGAGGCTCGTTGCGGAATGGCCAGATATTGAAATTCGAGGTAACCTATGTCTGCCTCGGCGTATATACAACCGATGGGATACAAAACAACGGCTTTCCTCCCCGTTTTAGGCGCCAATAGTTCGTAGACCGAAACAAATCCCAACAATCCTTGATTGCCAGGCCCCATACAGACGCAAATGAGCTCGTTACCTCCCAGCCGCTAGGATCCCACGGGTCTTTCCAGACTAGTATGCCTGCTGTCCCTTCTATTGAGCTACATAGGTCTGCGCAGAGCCCGTATTCATCTATAAAAGACTCAGCGGCAATCAAATTATCGCGCATTTGAGTTATTGGGAATAGATCAAGCCATGGGTGGTGTGGAGTCGAGCGCTGGAGAGCAGTCGGCTGTAAGCTAAGAGGGAGGGAAGCCAATTCATCGCCAACCCGTGAGGGACCAGCAATGCAGAAAGGAGACAAGGCATCGTTGTGCATCTGGGTCGACGTATACCCTAGGACATCGATATTGAACATCAGAGCCCGAATTAGGTTTACTTGCGTCAGGCCGAGGAGAAGCTCCGTGCGAGGAGAATCGGCTAGGTAGTGGCTATAACATATGTGTTCCAGCTGACAGGCGACCCATTTCGCCTGTTCCGAATGAATCCCAAGCCTGTAAAGATCCCTTAGACATGCAAAGTGGTTGATGCAGTTGCCAACAAGGCTTATAGGTGGCGTTGCCAGCCGGTCCTCTCTCTCTGCATTGTCCACAGCACAGCGCTGGCGGCGACCTAGATAGAAGGTCAATTGATGCTGACGAGGGAAAGGCGGACTTACGGCGCTTTCTCTGATTCAAGCGATTCTGCGCTATTTTCCTTCTTTTCGGATCAGTGATGCCGGTCCAATCATCTAGCATCCGGAATGCAATATGCGGTGGGTTATGCTGCGAAGTGGAACCGTGGGCGGGGACCGAGGCCGATATATGGCGCTGAACATTCACCTCCATATCTAACAGCAGGGTGCATTCATAAACGCGAATATTGTGATACGATATGAAGGAGGAGAGAACCGGATGGAGCAGGACGGGTGTTGGCTAACACCAACCTATAGTCACGGCGAAAGACCGCTACCGAGAAACCACGAATGCGCTAATAATGCGGCTGTCACCCAGCTGCATTAGCGTAACTTTAAACTGAGCTACTGAACAACGTATGAGAGTCAAGCGGCAATCCTCACGCTCAAATCTTTGTCGTCATGACTCGCGAGAACCATATAAGCGCAAACTTACGTAGGTCACCGCGAGTAGCATGATAGAGCTACCTCGCCGTAAATCCGAGCGTCGCTTCGTATATATAGAGACGTAACTCCCGTCTGTTCCTCGTGAAGCACAAAAGACTTCTTTATTTCGTTAGCAATTCTACATACGTTACTACGCTTGCACCTCATCATGAGTTCTCGATACGCTGCAGCTTACGAACACCCGAAAGGCCCCGGGGATGCACGCCCAACAGCCGAACAGATTATCCAAGACGAAGGTCTGGTTGGAAAGTGGGCGGACAAGGTGATCTTAATAACAGGTTGTTCTTCGGGCATCGGAGTCGAGACAGCAAAGGCGTTGTCCAAGACTGGGGCAAAAATGTACCTAACAGCACGAAGCCTCGAAAAGGCAAAGAAAGCCCTCGGAGAGCTTTCAGAGTCTCCCAATGTCCATCTTCTGCAGCTTGACCAGGAGTCTCTGGATAGCGTTCGGGCTTGTGCTTCGGCACTACTTGCAGAGAATGACCGATTGCATCTCTTGATTGCAAACGCAGGAGTCATGATGACCCGCAAAGAACTCACGAAGGACGGGTTCGAGCTTCAATTTGGAGTTAATCACCTGTCACATTTTCTCCTCATCAATCTCCTCACACCGGCTCTACTGAAGGCGTCCACCCCGTCGTTCGAATCAAGAGTAATTGTTCTGTCCTCAACTGGGCATAAGTTTTCTTCCGTCAATTTCAAGAATATCAATTTCGACGGCGAGTTTGACGCAATGAAGGCATATGGGCAGAGCAAAACAGCAAATCTGTGGACTGCAAACGAGATCGAGAGGCGCTATGGGTCTAACCGACTCCACGCCTTCAGCGTTCATCCGGGGGCCGTTACAACCAACCTAGGCCAACACATGTCAGAGGAAGAGATCAAAGCCATAACCCAGGACCCAAAACTTATGGCCAGCTACATGAACCCAGCTCAGGGCGCTGCTACTAGTGTGTGGGCGGCTGTATCGAAGGATCTTAATGGTCAAGGGGGAAAGTACCTGGAAAACTGCCAGATATCAACTCCGCATGATCCCGCAGGGGGGATGTGGGCTCCAGGTTACGGCCAGCATGCCTTCGATGTGGCCGGCGCAAGGGAACTGTGGGATGTTTCACTGAAATATGTTTCACTTGAGTGAACAATTATTTCTGCGGTTTAGTTGTTTTTGATTGAGGAAGTCCGTGGAGGCGGAAACGCCTACTCGGTTGCTTTCAAAATATTTTGTATAAAGCATCAATGCTATTTAACTTATATAACGGGGCGGGGCAATGAAATGCTATGCCTAGAGTGGATTTTTAGCCAGGAAATTCTTTTATATAAACTGAAGTCGCAGCCACCCCAATCACCACCGAGCGATGACTGCTGAGCGCCTATGATCATAGAATGAGATCACTATTGTCCAGTAGATGGAATTGCCATGCCTGTGAGAACTTCGAATGTCGTTGGTTTTGTTCCTCCTCCAAATCTCCAAATTACGTGAATTTCACAGTCTTGTGGCTTTGATGTGGCACCTCTGCACCTTTTGGGGGTCTCAGTTTACGTGGCTCAGATTTATGGCTCACAGGTGCAACATAGAAAATAAGACCAAGGCACCTGAACAGGTACGTAAGCTAAAACGGCCACACTCTAGTACCATTAGAAATCGACGCGAGACTGACACGAAAATTGACACAAAATCATCGCTTCGCCTCACCCTGCTCACCCTGCTCACCCTAGCTTCACCCCTTAAGGCCGCAAGGGGCTCAGATTCCACGCTAGGCCTATTAGCACGATTAAAAGTATTAAGCCACTGAATTACAAGCATGTGTATGGCAGAGCGGACGGGATGCGTAATTCTCTTAAGTCTATAGTTGTATGTGGTTTTTGTTCTTGTATTAAAACATAAGTATAGAGGATGACCTTTAGAGAGGTCCTCCCTCCTACTAAGTAATAACAATCTTGCCTTTAGACGTGAACTTAATATAGTAGAGGGCTAGTAGCCACTTCTGTCATTAACTAGTAAGAAGAAATGTTATAAGTATAAATAAATTAGAAAATGTTCTTAGATAGATTTATTAGACAATCCAAGAGGAATATTAGGTCTAGTATTAACTATAATATAGTAATATTACCTATGTTTAGAGAATAAGGTAGATAGGTTATTACTATTATTATAATCCTATTACTATTCTTAAATTCTTCTACTAATCCTATCTTATTACTACTCTCTAAATTAACACTTCTACTACTCTTATACTATTACTAGGGTCTACTATAAGAGTAGTAATTCTCTCTAAAGTGGTTTACGACTTAGTAGAACAGAATCTAATTTAGGCGAAAACTAAATAAGAGGAAAGAGTTGATGGTAAAACCGATATGAAACTGCGAGCAACTCGGAAAGACGAGATAATAATTAGCGATCTGTTGTAGGATATTAAAAACTTCACCTTCCCGAGCGATAGGCTATTGCGGGAATATGTCCTCGTCCCACATTCTCGCCGCACAACAAGTGCTTGGCTCGCGGGACCATCATATGGGCGCTACACCAGTACACTTTCTAAACTGCAAAACAATTTAGCATAACGACACGATTCACGAGTTATCACATGGTTTAAGTGGCCGATCTCCAGCACGTAACATGCCACATCGGGTATTCGGGAATCGACTAGGCAGTGCAGATTTGCGGGATAAGCGAGCTACCGGCAACGGGTCGCCGGATATATAGATCTGCCAAATTTGGTTAGCGGGTTTGCGGGTACCCGTTACAAGTGAATACCCCTGGCTCTGCAGGGTATGGTATTCGGGGAGCGGGCAATTGGCCAGCTCCTACTCAGTGCGTGTGGACGAGTGTCGCCCCAGAGAGGTGTCCTAGCTCCTCCACGGACATATGCACATACCCTTGGCTGGGCTGAGCCCCTAGAATATGACGAGAACCGTGAAAAGGTCCGAGAAGAGATTTACGGAGTGGCGCGGTAGGGAATCTTTGCAGTAATGCCAAGTTAAGTAAAGGCTTGTGTCCGCCGCTTGTTCTGTTCTAATATCTACGACTCTTCTCTATTTAAGCTGCTCCCTTCAGCTCCTCAATTTACTCAGTGCTTTGGTCCTTAACCTCAGCATTCCCATCACTTCACTATGTCTGATAAGCCCACACTCATATTGGTGCCTGGAGCATGGCACAGTACTGAAACATGGGATAAAGTTTCTTCACTCTTAGAGGCGCAGCAGTACAAATGTGTACCCGTAGCTCTTCCATCAACAGCGGGGAATGATTCAGCAACTTTCGGAGAAGACGTCGACGCCGTTCGAGATTCCATCGCAGCGGAGACCACACAAGGGCATGATGTTGTAGTTGTTGTGCACTCCTACGGCGGTGCAGTCGGCCAGAGTGCAATCAAAGGCCTCACCCGCGTCAAGCAAAATGTTCCGCCATCTTCAAACGACCAATCCGGCTACGTCCTCGGCATCGTCATGATGGCCTCAGGATTCGGCCAGACAGGGGTAAGCTTCATTGACGGTCTTGGCGGCAAACCACCGCCATCATGGAGGGCTGATCCGAGCGGTTTTGCCATCATAACAGTTCCACCTAGGGAATTGTTCTACCACGACCTTCCCGAGGCAGAGGGCGATTACTGGGTCACCAAACTGAAGAAACAGTCGCTGAAAGCTTTGATGGAGGGTGGCGAGCATTCTTATGCTGGCTGGAAGGATGTGCCGGTTTGGTTTTTGGCATGTACAGAGGACAAGGCTTTCCCTGTTCAGGCTCAGATGATGCTTGTGCAAGTTGCGAAGGATTCCAATGCAAATATCACCTTGCGAGAGGTTGAGAGCAGCCATTCGCCGATGCTGAGCAGGCCGAAGGAAACTGTTGATTTCATAATAGAAGCCGTGGCGTCATTTACAGAATAGAAAAAGGAAAGCTTGTTATGTTCAATTCTGCTCTGAGACGTTTGTGCAATAGAAAACAATGCCTCCCTTTGCAAATTCTTCTAAGCTTGCTAATGAAATAGTTGAGAACGTTGTGACACAACACTAAGGTGAAGACACATCCTTCAACTTTATTAGCACCATCTCGCTGCTTAAATACTATCCTGCTAATTGCGATTTAATTTAACAAGTCTGCCTATGCAATCGCGGTAGATATATACTTTAAGTTCAGCATTCTAAACTTCTAATACAACGATCTTCCAATTCATATGTGATATTGCACTATTTCCCTATGGCACAGGTTCATGCTCCCTGCTCCCTTCAGGACCCCTGTTGTTCAGCCTGCAACTTCATTATCTGTGCCATCACTTCCTGCCTGTATTCCTCATCAATTACAACAAGCCCCGCTACGCCATCTTTTTCCAGAATTGCCTCCATCTTTCCTGTATCCATTACCATCGTGACAAACAGGCTCGCTTCCTCAGTCTTGCAGGCATTATCGTTAATACGATGTCTGCATGCATCCTGGAGCCTCGTAAAAACTATCATCGGATTGTCGTTCATCTTGTTGAGAACGCTTCCTGTGAGGACGTGTACCGCCACGAATGCTCCGGCATGGGTATAGGGTGGCGTTGAAGCGTTCGGAGGGTGGGTCACTTTCGTTCCCATGATCGACTTGTCGGGGGTGTTAAGAAATTTGTACTTAAAGAGGACTTCAAGGTCCGGGAATGGACGTCTGCGAGAGGACTACAGCTAAGCTAATGGATACTATCGGTTGATTCGATCGCTTACGTTAAATCGTACTTTGGCTCTTCCATGTCTGCGACTTTAAAAAACACCATATTTGCTGAATTTAAGGTATGAGCTTCAACGAAAGCAAAGTGCTAAGGGGGGCCGAAGACGTACTTACATCATCTCTACAGCAGGATTCACGACTTATGATATGGTTTAAGGTGCTGATTTGCAGCAGGCAAGGTGCTACATCTGAACTTACGGGTCCGCGGGTATTCGGGGATCGATGCAGATGGAGTCGACGGGTACTCGGCAACCCAAAAGCCAGAACGAGAAGCCACAATCTCCTCCGTCAAATAGTGACCCTTCCTAGGATCTCCGCTTTTTCTGCCACTGTTGGCTAGAGCTCCACTAACGGGTAAAAACCTATCCTTAATACCCGTAACGGGTGGTTTTTACGATTCGATCACTCCGAAAACCCCGAGCGAGGCCCTCATATAAGGTGACCTGCGCTTAGTTTTCTAGGCTCTTTAAGGCAAATGACAATCGGTAATATTCACCTCATCACCACCCTTGTACGGAAACCCTTCACAGGATGCCGAATTTTGATCAAGTAGCGGCTGGGCCAGATGACTTGTTGTTCAGCCATAACGGTGCATCAATAAAGGCTCTCGCCGAAAAGGAGGCCGATATTGAGGTTCCTCCAGGCCCACCTGCAGCCGATCCTGAGGCCTTAGAAATGCCAGTCAGAAGTGTTCAGGGATTTACAGTAAGCTTCACAATCTAGATATGTTGGTATCAAGCTCATGTGTATTTCAGTGGGCCCTCGTTGTCTTTGCTATTACGGGATCGACATTCCTCTATGCCCTAGACAACACCATTGTTGCCGACATTGGCATTAATGTTGTATTAACATTGGGTGAGATCGAGAAGCTTCCTTGGCTAGGAACGGCGTTCACGTTGTCATCGATGTCGACTATTCTTGTCTGGTCTAAGGTTTATACCTTGTGGGATGCTAAACATTTATACTTTATCTCATCTGTGGTATTTGAAATTGGCTCTGCGCTCTGTGGTGCTGCACCTACAATGAATGCAATGATCGTGGGGAGGGCTATTGCTGGACTGGGTGCTTCTGGTGTTTATATCGGATCTTTGACACGTTAGTATATCAATCACATCCGATCTTATGTTATTAACCGAAACCATTATCTAGTTATTTCGGTCAACACATCTGAACAGGAACGTCCGAAATACATGAGCTACACAGGTCTCAGCTGGGGTGCAGGCTTTGTCCTTGGACCAGTCATTGGAGGGGCCTTTGCTGAGAGTGGTGCAACCTGGCGCTGGGCGTTCTACATAAATCTGGTAACGTAACGCTACGGCCCTATATATATTAACCAGACCAGCGTACTAACGATTGTTTAGGTCATTTTTGGCATTTTCGGACCTATCATCATCTTCATGGTTCCTAGCTGGGATCCGAAAAAGGGACAGCAGATCTCCTTCACTGCAAGAGGGGCAAAGATGGATTGGTTAGGTGCTGTTCTTGAAATCGGAGCTTCTGTTTCAGGGGTCATGGCGATAAGTTTTGGGGGTACAATTTACCTGTGGGGCAGCGGGGAGACGATTGGATTGTTTGTCACGTCGGCTGTGCTCTTCGTCCTGTTTGCACTCCAGCAGACGTTTTGCATCCTAACAACAGAAGATGACAGAATATTCCCAGTTCAGTTCATGTTGAATAAAGACATGCTACTATTGTGGCTCATAACTGCGTCGATCGCCGGATCGGTTTTGGTATATTAACCTAATTCCGAGTTAACCTTTAATGAGGAGTCAACTAATGCATGCTAGGTACCAATCTATTACATCCCTATATTCTTCCAGTTGGTCCATGGCGATGGCCCTGTTGATGCAGCTGTGCGATTGCTTCCTATTGTCATGACCTACGTCTTTATGGTAATGCTAGGTGGAGTCGTCGTCTCAAAGACAGGTCATTGGTGGCCCTGGTTCTTCTGTGGTGGTATATTAGCCACTATCGGTGAAGCTCTATTTTGTAAGTACCTCGGTGAGATGTTTCTCGAGGTGGATCGTTTCTAATCTCATTAAAATATTTAGATGCGGACGTCAACATCACTAGCAGCCAGTCTAAAGTTTACGGATATAGCTCCCTGGTTGGCGTAGGGGCGGGCGCTGTCGGTCAGCTCTTCTACTCTGTTGCACAATTTAAAGTCAAGGCACATGATATTCCCTCCACCATAGGTTTTATTTGCATGGCACAGTATGTTGGGCTAACCGTTGCGCTGTGTGTTTCCGGCTCCCTGTTTCTGAACGTCGCGCAGAAGTCCGTGGCGGCTTTGCTGCCACCTAGCACGCCACTTGAGACAGTGCGGGCGATTATTCAGGGAACAGATAAACAGTCGATCCTCGCACAGACTATTGAGGTGCAGCAGAAAATTATGGTTGTGGTGGTAGATGCGATTAAGAATACTTACATTGTTAGTCTGCTTGGGGCTGCCCTGACAGTTGTGGCGACGTTGTTGCTGAAGTAAGTTCTACGTCAACCTGTATGTTGAGTATGGCTAACATCACTCACTGCAGGCCAACGAGACAAAAGTTCTCTAAGTGAAAGGTGTATAACATAGGGCATGAGACTACCGATTTTACGCAAATGAGTTTAGACGGGTTATAATAAAGGTTGCCATAAAGCGGTTAGACGGTCTTGTGCAGGAGGGATGTCGCCTGCCACCACAGTAGCACGACATCGAATGGTTTGTAGAATGTACTATAGTTATAAAATGAGAAAGTTCTGTAATTATTTAGGACGCATTCCATTTTCTCCATTTTCATCTGTTGGACTCTGCAGTCAGTGGTATTTTAGCTTTAGATGACGGTAATTACTAAAAGGCGCAACAATATTATTATATTTTATGCAACTATAGTAGCAATATCCCAACATGTAGAGACCTTGACAATATTTATAATATGTTCGTTTTATGGTTACGGTTCTATAAATGTAAACTAGATAATGCATAACTGGATGTAAGGCTACGTAGGCCACAGTTCCACACATCTAATGGGAATTTGATTAACCCGCAACTCAAGTCATCCCTCTAACAAGCAAATAATTCTAACGTAATGCAGTATGCAACGGCTGCGGATCCGGGACGTTCCGACACCAGAACCATGATCTTAATCTTGTCCCGCAACGGTTGCTATTGGATAAGCGTGAATGTGAATGTGAGTGTGATTAGTATTATGTCGTTGCGTATTGCACTCTCGACACCTCTGGTGACACTTGGAAATTTAAATCGGTTATGTTTCCTTTTTTATTAGCCTAATTTAACTTCCATAAAAAAGCCGCTGCCACAGTAGGATCCCACGGTATAATAATCCGCCGAGCAGACTAGCAGGATGGCGGACTTGCGAGGATGATGCCCGTTTGGGGATCCATGACGAGAGAACCCGGGCTGACCCGGCTGACTCACCACCACGGAGCAATTTTTAATGTTGCACTGAGGAGAATTATCTTTACGACGAGAGCATGATAGGAATTCACCAAAACCTATACTTTGGCACGTTTAATAACTAGAAACTTCGACCATTGGGTTATTTTGGGTTTCATAGAGCGTCGCTCTGTATTGTTTTTGTCCCGTTTCCTAATCACGGGTTACTTCGCCACCCGTAAATCAATTCAACGGAACTGGCTCCGCGTTGTGCAGCCTCATCTTTTTCAGGCCTTCGTACAACTCCTCCCACTACACAATCAACTCTATTTGACAATATATGTTACCACCACAAGGGGCCTTTCATACTATTACACAGTAGCCATCTCTATAGCATGTGAATATGAGTTCATCACAGCTAGACCTGGATACGGATTTCTACTTTGATGCCGACCTTTTCTCCTACCAGCAAGACGAATTCTACATGCATCTAGACCAGCTTGAAGTGGCAGAGGGTGCAGAAGCAGACCCAAAAGCTGGATGTGCAGAAGTAGACCCAAAAGCTGGATCTAGGGTCTCACTGGCCTGCATACCGTGCAGAACACGCCACATCAGGTGTGACGCGCGGACTCCGTCCTGCTCAAAATGTCAGTCGGACAATCGCACTTGCTCTTATACGAAGTCAAGGAGGGGTGGACAGCGCTCAAAGGGGCGGCGGAAAAAGACTGCTTTGGATCCTCATTGGCCTGAAGGTTTAGACCTACACGGTCCGCTTCAATATCAACCTGCGAACATTGCAGTGCCGGCATTATTTCCTAACGGTACGACGCCCGAGACTTCTGAAGCCTCTAGTGGTCTCAGCTCGTTTCATGACCGTGACTACTCGACAATGCAGTTTCTCGACTCATACTACACGTATTTTCATGACGCCCATCCTATTACTTTGCCTCGGGGCTATCTAATCTCACGGCTTCAATCGAACCCGGTATCCCTAGAACAGGTAGAGCACGTGATGGAATATATTGGATCGCTATACACTCCACATATAGCATCGGAATATCTGAGGCACAAAGTAAGTGTTCAGCTGTCAGCAGGGAATCTACCGATGACTGGCTTCTCCGTGCAAGCTCTCATGCTTTTTGCATTAGCGACGCACTGCTGTAACAATTTTGAAGAGTCTCGGGTACTCCTTGACAGGGCTATCACTATGGCGTTAGAGATTAAAATGCAGTCTAGGTCATTTGCACAAGCGAACGGAGAAGGTAACGCTGTTTTAGAAGAAAGCTGGAGGAGGACGTGGTGGCTGCTCTTCATTATGGATGGCACATTCGCTGGTGTTATGCATGAGACATCATTTAGGCTGTCAAATATCCCAACTGACGTTGATCTGCCTTGCGAGGAGCGAGAGTATGCCAAAGGAGTAAGTTGAACTCCACAAGAGCTCTTACAAGTTGGACTAAATCGAATCTGCAGAATATACCAGCTCCGAAATCATTACTGGAGTATGAAACTCGAGAGTTTTCAGATGAAGAAATTGCTTTCTCGTCATTTACTTACCTTATTGATGGGGCGCGAATCATCAGCTCTGTACTACCAACCATCAGCCAAGCTGGAGAGCCTTCTGACCATGCGGCAACCGCAGCAAATGCAAAACTGGTCAGCTGGGTCGTTCATCTGCCAGAATCTAAGAAGCAGATAATCCATGAGAGTGGAAAGATGGATGAAGTAAATTTTCAAGCGCACATGCTCATCAATTTGTAAGTACTTAATTTGAAAGCAGCTCGCACAAATACTATTCTGACGCAATTCGTTCGCAAATATTTGATGCTGATTTGACATAGACTCGTGCTCTACCTTCATCGCCCAAGATCACGTCTCGCCTATAGCGGTGTGGAAGGCTCGTCAAAATGCACAGTTACGCCTTCATCAGAACAAATGACGAGGATGAGGCAAAAAGCTTACGCGCTCCACACCAACAAGACACTCTCGTGTCTTGAAACATTGCTTGGCATGATGGCCCTTCCAACCCCTATTCTGAAGCACACGCCTCTAATAATATGCGGTGTTGCTATGGCCATCATGGGCCAAATGGCCGCCTGCAACTTGGTGCTTGAGTCTAATAAAGCCGCCGAGGGTCGAGAGCGCATCCGTCTTGGTATTGGGGCCTTAAAGGAGTTTACGGAAGTTTGGCCACTAGGCAGGAGGACGAATCTAGAGATGAAAGCTATTGGCCGAGAGCTGCTAAACATTCCAAATGCCAATGGGGTCAGGACACCGATGGGAACGGTACTAGGACAGGAAGACGAGTTTCGTACGGTCACGGCCACTTTAACATGACTCAGCGTATTGTGATATTCCGGCTTTGAATTTGACACTGGAGTACCTTGGGCCGACCTTCCTCTTAACTCAGCTCAATTTGGGAAGGGCATTTTGTTCATAATACGCGATGTTTAATGAAATAGGAACAGTTGCAGGATGAAGCTGGTAAGATTAAATAAATAAGCATAACAGTTTTAAGTTAGAGTAATTCCCTTAATATTAAAGTACACTAGATCTTTTCAAATGCCTCCTCTGCTCTTCAGTTATCCTCAACGCTTACTTATGAAACTAGCATACTGCCTTCTATGCAACATCTAAGCTGTGCAATTCAAAGTGCTTCTTTTACAAAGCTCAGCGTCTGGTTAACTAGTTGAAATCCCATTATTCTGCCGTGTCAAGGGTGTAATATGCCCTTAACGCCGTCTAACCCGGCTATTCAATATTATTCAATAGAAAAGCACAAAACATAGGTCATGATCGCTTGCTGATAGACTTGGCCACCATTGAGGTTGGCTCCGTTAGTTCCGTACCGAAAATTCTGTCCCAAAAGCGACTGGTGATCCCATATCCATTCTCGTAATCCATGAAGTGGTGCTGAAGATGATATTTCTTTGAGCTTGGTAGAATGATGAGAGCCGAGAATGATGAATAAAGTAGTGTGTTAAGTCGTAGCCGATATATCCAAAGACACCTCCACAGAAGACTGCAGTAGCGACATGCCAACTCCAGCAAAAAAGTGTGTGTGCTAGCATCCAAAATGGGAGAGCAAGGATAATAAACATTGCAGGAGGCATAACAAGTCGGTATTTATCCATAGGGAGATGAGATAGTGGTAGAGGGCACGCCTTTAGTTAGGTTGTCCTGCTTGAGCTCACTGACTTCCTTGTGAGAGGCAACCAGCCCAATATATAATCCTCCAGAATGTCGTATGCAGCTTCGGAGTGAGCATGCAAACCTTTATTTTGCACAATGTCTGTTATATCTTTTCCGCCGTTCTCAAGAAGAAGATCTTTTCCGCCAGGATGTGAATCTAGGAATTCCGTGATATCGTAAGCCTTGTCTCCCATCGTAACGTGGCATTTCGCTGATGTGTTGCTCTCAGAAACATCTCGCTAGGGTATCACGGGTACTGTTTTAGACGGCATTTGGATGCTCTGGGTAAGAAGTGAGGTATATGGGGTGTCAGATAAAAGAATCAATGCTCTTGAATGGGTTAGAATGATGCTTCCCAAGATTTGACTCGCAAGTACGTGTCGAGATGTAGTCGAAGTACCAAAGCCTACGAATATTTCTACTTTAATAGGGAGAGAAGTATTTGCGCTTCCTAATGCCTCTGTACGGGACCCGAAAAAATACTCGATGTCAGTACTATTTCAATTCCCGAGTCCCCGAATCCCCGAGTACACCAGTCCCCATAACGGCTTGCATTCCGTTGTTAATTGGTTATTCGACATCGACCTGCTGTTATATCACCGGAGGCAGATTAATATATTCCGTAGAAAACATTAAGCTTCATGAATGTACTAAACTACTTAGTGGGGATTATTTGTGTGTTGATGGCATAGTTCTGTTAACCATAATTTACAAGTTGATTGATTTATCTCTAGAAAAAATACCCCATCCTCGACACCAACATTACTTTCTATACCACATCCTCATTGTTTTCGACCGCCGCATTTTTTTCTGAAGCTTGAATATTCCATACAAAAGCGCCTCCGCCGTCGGTGGGCCTACTTTTATTAGCCTTACTTCTTAGAAATGTCTGCTTCCCAAAACTTACAGCCAGGAACATAGATGTCGACTGGCACAATTCTATCACAACCGCGCACGACGGAATAGCTGTAGTGGTAATATCCGCCTCCGTTTGCACAGCTGCCCATGCTTATAACCCATTTTGGGTCCGGCATTTGATCATACACCTGTCTCATGGCCGGTGCCATTTTGTTCGTCAGCGTTCCAGCTACGATCATCACATCGGCCTGGCGCGGTGAAGCTCTAAATATTATGCCTAGCCGGTCTTGGTCATAACGTGGCATGGATGTATTCATCATTTCGATTCCACAGCATGCAAGGCCAAAAGTTACGGGCCAGAGTGAGCCTTGATGCGCCCAATTGGCAAGTTTGTCCATTGTGGTTCTATGATGTTAGAACTGTACGACAGGTGACGCTGGGAATAGCGAGGGACTAACAATGCGTATTCCGCTGCCCCTTTTTGTGTGTCTTGGCTTGGGAGTGGAGCATGTTGCCTTTGTAGTTGTCGATGGAGGGGCATTTGAATCTCTTGGGTCTGTGGCACTTTCGACACAACAGCTTGTGTTGACCACCGACGTTGACTATACACTGTCGAATTTGGCAAGAGGCCCTGCTTGACCGGAGAATATGCTAAACATTGGATTGGAGACTACAGCGTCAGTACTCATATGGTGATAATAGCTCGTATGAATTCATAGTTACCAAAGGTTGTAAATTTCTCATCCACTGCGACACTCGCAACGCAATACCAATCGAGGTTGGCATGTTCTGGTATTTGCAATATAAGATATTTCGCAATGGAATTTTCAACACAAGCTTCGGAAGCAGTAATTAACTGATTTTGAATCGAAGGTCTGTTTGTTTCCGCGTGTCGTGTCCTACCTCTGCTTACACTGCGATATATGTCCCAATCTAAGATCTGGTTAGCTTGCGGGTACTCGCTACATGTGAATACCCATATGAATACCCGTCCCGACGCATCATATATTCGCAATCGGGTAAACCCACACAAAGCTGTGCCGGAAGCGATCGGTACATCAAGATGGTAACATCCGCTATAAGATCCTTGCATCCATTCTCAAATATCTTAATCGTCGTGACCAACTTTTGCTTCGCTCAAGGTTGGAGGAAGCGACCTCCGTCAACCGACGTTCGCGACCACCAATTAGTGCAAGTACCTTTACAATAGTAATTTATAAACTTAACTTACTAACCTGCCTGCGCTTTGGGGGAAGGGTGAGCAAACGCTCTGAATCGGCGCGGCGCTAATTGGTCGCGTGGAAGGTATCGGGCTCGCCTTACCCCACCAAAGGCGTACCATCGCGATTGGAGCTATGCCCACGGTAGGCTTCGCCGAGGGAGGTGTGTGAAAGCCGAGAGGGAGGGTATACGAGAGACCTCGTCATACACTTCACTTTCTCTCTTTCCCACACGCACAAATAACAAATACGAAGACGGATATATATATATACGGAGAGCTCAATTGAACTGGAAACGACGACTTCCGCGTCGTCCTCCTCGAAAAAAACCAACGAGATCGGCGCGCACATCCTCTCGCCTGGCAGTCACTTCTGTCATTAACCAGCGAGAAGAACTGTCGTAAGCGCGAATAAATTAGAAAATGTTCTTAGATAGATTTAATAAACAATCTAGGAGGAACATAGGGTCTAGAATTAAACGCAATACAGCGGTATTACCCGTGTTTCGAGAATGAGGCAGATGGGTTATCACTGTCGTTATAATCCTGTCACCGTTCTAAATTGACACTTTCGCCACTCTCGTGCTGTAACCACTAGGGTCTACTATGAGATCCCCGGGTCGAACTTCTCTATGAGAGTAGCAATTCTCTCCAAAGCTGTAGCGATTCTCTCTAGCGCTACTACTACCTTCCCTGCGTCTGTAATAGGAAGAGGAGGCCGCAACAATGCAAATATAGCCGCAACTCTGCCACCTGTCTCACAGTGGTCGCATCCGCTGCAGCTGACTCTGTGTTTGCACAAACTGCCTGAACTTCCTTCTCCGTTGCTATCCCGTCACCTGCATTCACTGCTCCCGCTAGCTTATGGATGTCTTTAAGCGCATCCTTTGCAAATCCCTCCTGCACCGCGATCTCAAGGATTTGGGCATTGTCTCTCTCTCAGAGTGGCCGGGGAGGTCGAGAGGTAGAAAGTGGAATCCCAGCTATACAGGGCTCATGGGATATTCTTCACTACTCGCCGTACAACTCAACTAAGGCATGCTCACCATCCCCTCCGCCGCATACTTCTCCACCCCGTCCACCTCCTTCGCCCCCATCCTACACAACACCAGCTCCTCAACCCTAATATTCTCCATCCACACCATCTCTCCAAACGCCTCAATCAGCGCCCTTGCATCGATCTCCAAACGCTGCCTATCCCTCCTACTCCTCCCAGGTATATAAACCGTATTAAACACCGTCGCATGCAGCAGCAGCCCCGGTAACGGCCTCGGCGGCGGTAGTATCACCGTCTCTTGCCGCGCTGGCCCTGCCGCTCCTGGAGGTGTAGAAGGAGGCGTAGGAGGCGGTCCAATCAGACACGCGAAGTGCGAGCGGACTAACTCCCCGAATCGCTGGAGCGCTTTCGTCTCATCCGCGGGCGGCGCATAAATCACGCTCGTGCTCTCTGGATTCCTCATTGCCTTCAGCCCCTTCAGTGTGACACGCACATCTTTCTGTAATTGTCCCCCGGCGGCGGGAGGGCCCTGTGCGATGGCCCAGAGGAGTGGGAGGTCGAGGGTGCGGAGGATGGAGAGGGCGGTGGAGAGGCGGACGGGGTCGCGCAGATCCAGGACGCAGAGGGTGAAGTGGAGGGTTGTGGGGGGTCGGAGGGCGGGGCGGAGGTGTGTGGGGAGGGTGGGGGGAAGGGTGCGGAGGGTTGTGTGGAGGGGGGGAAGGGAGGTCGGGGTGTGGAGGGGGAGGGCGAGGAAATGGGTTAGTTGTTGGGTTGGGCGTTTGGGGGGCATGGTGGGTGTGATTTTGGGATTTGAGGTTGGTGAGGTGAGGTGAGGAGGTGAGATGGAGCTTAGATGCTCTTATGAGAAGAAGCGTTTGGGGGTTCTATGACAGCATCGCGTGGCGCATTCGGAGAATAGTTTTGCCGGCACTGTATTGATTCATATTGATATCCTCCTCATCAGCATTTCCGATGCTACAAGGCTCCAACAATGGCGATGCTTCCAAAAATTTCTCCTACATAGTAAGCCTTGTCAGCCATTGACGGTATAATTGCCAACACGTAAATATGAGAGGTAAGCTCACATTAAGTGCAGTGTCTCCCATTGTGCAGCTTCAGCCCTACATCCTATCATTGTTGGGCTAGACCAGGCCATGATAATAGGTATGGATCGCCCAGCATATGATCAGTGTAGATGAGAGTGTGGTTGACACTTTGCCCCAGATATTTTCCGCGAAGAGGTCGGTCCATGCAGGATTGGCTTCCGCACACGCTGCGCATAATTCAGCAGTGGGTTTGCAAGGTAGCCTGGATGGGTGCATGATCAAGAAGTATGTCAGCACAATATTGGTGAAGACCACAAAGAGAAAGAAGAAGAACACGCGTTTGAGGTAAATCGCGTATTTCTTGAGTTCGGCTATATCGCCTGCGTAGTTCTCATTGAGATACTTTTGGGATTCTGTCTGGGATTCTTCCATTGGCGAGAACTAGAGCGCGGTGTTTGCAGAGGGACAACAAAGAGAATGGGGAGTTTCTCAAGATAGTATGGGGGCTTCTATAAATATATGGACGTTGGTTGTTGACATGTTTAAGGGGGATCAAGGGTATGCCAAGAGGCGAAGCTTTGGTCTCCAATGCCACATGCGGTCAACCCTTGTCGCCGATCTCCCGTGGTCCCGCCCCGTTCATTTCGCGGGTGCCTTCAGCTTTAACATCATTGAAACTCTACAGTACAACTATCTAACATGGCTTTCTCAAACTTTAAGGTCGTTCCCTGCGAACTGTCAGATATGACTGTGTGCGCAGACATATTTGACGAAGCGTTCGCCGACGACCCAGCCATAATATACCTCTATCCTCGGTCTGACCCGAAGGTACTGAAGGAGAAATCGATACAGAATTTTGAGAAGAGCTTCACAGCACCTGGAGTGAAGTATTTCAAGGTTGTACTTGAAGATACAGGGTATGGTTTATGTCCATTGCAGTATTTTCCGGCTCATACCTGTTAGCGAAATTGTTGCTTTTAGCAAGTGGGTATATCCTCATACCCCCGATCCGAACGCCGAAGACCCCGAAACGGCCATACGAATGCAGCAGCACGTACCAGGATCAAATGAGGAATTGGTTGTCGAGTTCTTTACCAAATTTCTCCGGGGGAGAAGGAAGTGGGTTGTGCCTGAGACGCATTACTGTTCGTATTGCGTTGCATTTCTCATTTATGGCAAAATCTACCGCGTATACATTTACTAATAAGTACTACAAGTCATGAGCATTCTGGCCGTGCGACCAGAATACCAAAGAAAGGGGCTCGGTTCTATGCTCTTAACCCCTGTGTTGGAACAGGCTGACAAGGAAAATGCAAAGGCTTTTGTCCAGGGGAGTGTGCAGGGGGTAGGGATGTACCTCAAGCATGGCTGGGAGGAGGTAGATGAGATTTTGATGGATTATAGTCCTTATGGAGGAGCAAGTGACGTTAAAACTGCACTTCTGGTGAGGGAGCCTAGATAATACTGTACTTTGCGTTGGTTTTGGGGCGGTGCATGGAAGTATAATGGGGGCGGTTGGTTTGGAGCCTCGCCTGCCGAGAGTCCAACACCGTCGGTCTATTAGGCGCCAATATCTCCCAGCCGATCTTATTATGTCCTCATTCCCATCGCCATTATTAAGCTCGCTCATATTAATTCAAAATTTTGTTGCAGATAATTGCTACAAATTCACTCTCTATATAAACATGGGAGTCTACGACCAGGGATGTCTGAACATCCCATTGCCTCGTTGCATCGGGGAGCTCGTGAAGGCACCCTCAGTTCCAGTATCTCACCCGGGAGACGGAAATGTGCTCGATCTACTCATAGAGTTTGGGCGAAAATACAACCGTGATATCAGTGAGATACGGCAAGCATGCGACCTTGCCGAAGGTTACTCGGATCTCGTCATCATTCTTCAACGGCCAGCTCCACGCCACAACTACTCGGTGGACTTTGAGAAATTCGTGGCTGATTGTCCTACTTTGGATGCGGTGGACAAGCTCATCAGATATGCTAGTAAAGGGACACGAAGCATCGAAACGGTATCGGTTTTTGATGCTTATTCCTTTAAACCTGGATTAACGGCTGCGTGGCCGTCAGATGATGACTGTCACTTGCTCCTCGAGCAAATGCTCAAATTCAAAAAGCCACGAGTAGTGATATGCTGTTGGAACAAAGGCGCCGCTACATGTAGCAACGAATTTGTTGGGCAATTTGTTGGAGGAGGGGTCGGAAACCCAACAATTCGCGACGAAATTGATATTGAGGGGTGCAGATCCGTCGCCATACGGTGTTTTCATCCAGCGACGGCAATGTGCTACAATCCATACAACGCAGATTATCAAGCACTCTTGACTTACCACTTTATTGCTGCATTTTCAGAGCTCAGCTACAGGATTCATGAGCCATGGTGGTTAGAGCAGATCAATACTCGGAGCATGCATGCTATTAAGTAAGTAATCGCTGAGCAGTCTGTTAAGAGATCTAATGGTTTCTAGATGGCAGAGAAACGACCGTTTAGATACACCAGATGCATATGACCGTATTGTTAGAATCTTCCATAGGATTTTCGGGATGAAACGAATACGAATATATAGGAGCATGGAAAAAAAAGAGGAGATGATAAATAATTTTATTATGCGACTGGACAACGCGATATACAGGGACGGATCGAGTCATATTTCTCAGCTCTTTCTTTTGAGGCTCTTCGGCACAATTATTTTTATTTTTATTTTTATTTTGCATAACAAGAACAGACTTGAACTGAGAAAGTGAAATCTGGAACTTCTTATTTTGCTAATTAAACTATGCTTTTTATTAATTATTTTTTATTTTTTTAGCTGGGCCCACCCGGTTTTTAATTATCACATACTAGAGTTAATATACTTGAGAGATCATAGTTATTAAGTTGTAAATTGTCCCTACCGAATCCCGAGTGAAGCATGTGGCAGCTAAGATCACCACACCATGATGATAACGAGATAGTGAGAATCCACCCCAAAGAAATAAGGACAGCGACAAGCAATTAAGGGCCTACGTCCGCGCCTGTGTCCACGATTACCCAGAAGCCTGCTTCGCGTCAAATCTCATACTTCGTGAAGCATGTGAAGTGCAGCATCGCGCGCTAAAACACGGGCTGACCAATCGAAGTCATGTTATCATGATAATGCTTGGCACATTCTCGCAGCTTCCCTTAGGCGGCACGATTCAAGATTCCAAGTAAGGAAGGTCCCACGCAAGACCACGTAAGAGACCACGTTATCAATTTCCATGCCAGTGCCAACATTTGATAAATAGTGAGTATCACCCATATCAAGTAACCACACAACATCCAACACCAGAAAAAATGTCATCAACAACCACACCCCCCCTCGCAATCCGCCCCGCCACAATAGCAGCCTCAGACCACGAGCTCCTAGTCGACTTCCAAGAATCCCAAATTCCCTGGCTCTCAACCGTCGGCAGCGCCGACCAATGGGGCACCAAATCCGTCCGCGAAGCCAACCCGGCCGTTACTCAAAAAGCCCGCTTATGGATCGAGAGGAGTGAGCAAAACGCTCCATGGGGTAGTGAGTGGTGTCGCGCCTCCATTGCGGAATCAAGTAGCGGTGTCCCCGTGGCGGGATTGGTGCTAGATTCGAAGGCGCCGGCATATGTCAGCTCTGTTCTGCCGGAGCAGGATGAGAGTGATCCGTTTGTGTATCTGGCGTACCTCATTTCGAATCGCGATGCGGGGGAGGAGAGGAAGGGGGCTGCGGCGGCGCTTATTGGGTTTGCTAAGGAGCAGGTTAAGAGTACGGGGGTGAAGCGGATATGTGTTGATTGTTTTAGGGGGAATGATCGGAAGTTGGTCCGGTAAGTAGTGGTCTTGTGCGAGTGGAGTGTTGTGGTTTTTGGATGGCTGATGCTTTTGGTGATTTAGGTATTATGAGAGTCAGGGGTTTAAGGTTCTTGAAGACTTTACGGCGGGGGAGAAGGAGTGGCAGGGTTGCGTGTTGGAGATGCGCCTTTAATAAAGTGGTGGTGATACGCTCAAGCAATGATGGACGAGGAATTTATTTCCTGGAAGTGACCTTGATTGGGATGATCATGAGCTGGCAGAACCTGGTGTAGAGAAACAGCCCCTTTGAAAATCGGCCGTGACTTTACCACAGAACCACGAAGAAGAAGGGCAAGGCGTTTGGGAAGACTGCTGGGTATTTGAGACGTTGCGCTGCTTCCTGCGCATACACGAATCGTGAACATCATCGCCAGCCATACTGTAAATTCCGGAAGTCAATTTGAGAAGATTCTGTGCCTTGGAATGAACAATGACAATAAGAAGAAAATCCTTTGCCCGTTGTTTGAAAGCACGGGCGTGACGGAAATAAAAACCAGGCCTGGTGAGAGAACGGGACAATAGTGAGGATACTAGGCGGTGACAGGAGTGTAGTGATAGTGAGAACTCAGGGTGATGACAAGAATGTAACGACGGTGATAGCCTACCTGCCGTGAGCTTTGCCTCTTCCAATTTTCCGTGTAGAAAATGAGGAGTTGGTTTTTTGCGAATCGTACGTTTCCATACCAGAAGTATATTATCTCTTGCTCTGCGGGGTCTCAGCTCTGTTTGTCCCGCCATTGCTTGGCCACAATGCTTCTGTCCTTTTAAGGAAGGGACCAGGAAGAAAGGAGAGATTCTACATGCGCACCCCCTGCGCCAGGGGCATGAAAACGAAATATCAACTTGTAAAAAACGCCTCAATGCAATGCAAGCAGCCAGGTCGAGGCTGAATTATCACTTCACACTATGGGTTACTTGCATGTTACTCCGCACAGTGGCTTGCCCAACACCTCTCCCACCCACTAACTGGCTTACACATCCCATCACATCTCTCAGCCGCTCATCCAACACCTCCCAACCGCCCCCAACTCACCACCGACCGCACATCAATTCCCCTATAGAACCAACACTGACAAACCACACTCCCCCCATCCCAGCATAGAAGCGTTTCAGAACACCCACCAAGCATCACTCACCCTCCACCAAGCATCATACCTTCCACCCACCTCCCACCCGCACCGCACATCCCCCAACCAAGCATCACACAAGCACTCAAGCTTTCCCTCCTCACCTCCCTTGCTTCCCCCCATACATCCCTCCGCGCCCAGCCTGCACCCACCACCACCCATCCACCCACAATCGGAGCTGTCACCTACCCTCCCACGCAGCCACGCAACCACCCACCAACCCACCAACCCACCAGCCCGCACGCACGCACGCACGCACGCACGCACCCGGTCCGCGCACCTCCCCCTCCCTCGCTCCAGCACGCACCCACACGGTACCACAGCCAGCCATGCCATGCCATGCGCCGCGCCGCACTGCGCTGCGTGCCGAGTACATATATACATACATACATACACACAGACACAGACACACACAGACACACACAGACACACACAGACACACATAGACACACACACACACCCCCATCCCCATCCCAACAGTGCCGCGCCGTCGGGCGGGGGGCGGGGTGCTACGTCATGCATGCATGCACGCGACCGGTCGGTGCTGTGCTTCGGACCGGCTCGCCAGGTGGGTGGGAGGGAAGGAGGGGAGGTGGGTGGGCGGTGAGATGGGGTCGGGGTCGGTCGGGTCGGGGTCGGAGGTTGGGTGGTGGTGGTGGTGTGAAGGGAGGGGAGGGGAGGGTGGGAGAGAGTTACTCCGAGGGAAGGAGGGAGGGGGTAGGGGGTGGTAGGAAGGGAAGGGAAGGCTGAGGGAGGATTAGAGAGTAGGATGGGCGTATATGCAGGCGTGCTGTGCTGTGCTGTGCTGTGCTTGTTCACATCACAATCCTTCCTCCCCTCCTCTAACCGCACGCAGTGCACCCGTACCACGAGTTACCCTCCTCCCATCCCCTACTATCCTACCCTTCCTCCTCTCCCCACTCTCACCGGCTGAACTCCCCCCCATCCCCGTCCCTCCATCCATCCATCAACCCGTGGTAAAACCCCCCAGCCCAGCCCAGCCTCCCCTACCTTCCTTCCTTCCCCCCAAAAATCTTCCAGCACGCACCACCACGCACCACCACGCACCACCACGCACCACAGCCCCCCATCCACCGCCAAGCCACCGCCAAGCCCGCCACCTCCTCCTCCCATCCGCGCCAAGACCCTTGCACACTCTCGCCGCTTCCCGGGATTGGTCAGAGACGGGTCCAGACCGCCCCACCCGCGACGCCGTCATAGGGGGCTAGTCGACGTCATTTGGTTGTCCAGGATGCATGGGGACGTCATGGCTCCACTTTGTTGGATGGGGGGGTTGGTTGGGGGTGTGGGTGTAGGGTGTGTAGGCTGTTGGCCTTTTTTTTTTGAGTGTGCCGGGGAGATATGGGATGGGGACGTGCGGGTTTTTTTCATGGGGGGTGATAGTCGGAGTTTACTCCGTGGGGAGATGGGGGATGGGAGGGTGCATGGATTGTGAGGAGAGAAGGGGAGGAGGAGAGTGAGGTTTGTGAGGGGAGTGGGATTGTATTGTGTTGTAGAGGGAAGGAGCGATGGATACACGAGTAAAGCCGCACTACGGCGCGTCTAGACCCTCGGCCCGTTCAAGCAATGATGACCCCTCGGCGCGGAATCCGCCAATGGGTTGCCGATCGTCCGACGGTGGGAGGAGGGGAGGGAGGGAGGGGAGCATGCCACGTGTGGTGTGTGGTTGTCTCCGACGGTGGGATTGCGAGTATTGAGTCTGTATCTGTAACTTGGGAGGAGTGTGGTTGGTGGAGGTAGGGGGAGGTAAGGGGAGGTAGGGGGAGGGAGATGTATTGGTATTGATAGTGTAGTGTAGTGTACATATGCGGAGGGAGGGTTGAGGAGGAGACTTGTCAGACGGTAAGTGGTAAGTGGTAAGTGGTAAGTGGTAAGTGGTAAGTGGTAAGTGGTAAGTGGTAAGTGGTAAGATTTGACGGAGGTAAGCGCTGATGGGATGGCATGTTGCATCTGGCCCTGCATTTCGGGATGAGGGGGACTGCGCATGAGGTGAGGTGAGGTGAGGTGCTGTGGCTGTGGCTATCCGGGTTCTAGCGGGATTGAGGGAAGGAGCGATGAGAGGAGGAAGGGGAGGAGGTCGGGTATGGCTGTTAATGTGAATGTGAATGTGGATGTGATTGTGAATAGACGGGATCCTCGAGTCAGGCGTAAGTTAGAGTATTAGTAAGTTAGAGTATTATAGATATTAACGTTATAGGCAAGAGGTGGATAGATATACAGACCTAGACCTCTAATAGCTGAGTACCTACCTCCCTCCTTCCTTCACAATCCACAATAAAACAATAAAGATGCCCGCAGTAACAGACATCCACCACTCGTAAAGTGCTCTCTATACTTCTACTACTCTACTAACTCTACTAACCCTCCTCTTTTACATACTAACCCTACTCTTTTTTCCATACTAACCTCCTATCTTTCACCCCAATTACTAAACTACTCTCCTTCCAGCTCCAGCCACCTCAAAGATCGTCACTCAACGCTTCCCACGCCATCACGCATCCCACAGCATTAGCAACATTATTAGCCACAAGCCACTTACCACTTTTACCGTCCTTCCCTTCCCCCCTCCCCCCCCCTCCGCCCCGATCCCTCACTCCATCCCGCTTTCGGTCTGCCTGCCCCTCTCCTTCCCTTTTTCACCACCCCCCATCCATCCCATTACCACACTTTACCTTTTTGAACCCTTATTTTTTTTACCTTATGTACCTTCCCGAACTGTTATCTTAAACCTTGCCCTAATTTTTTTTTTTACTTCGGGCTTTGCTGTGCTGTGTATTTTTTTTTTGGTTGTGCTGCTCCCTTGTTGAGAAGAGGTTTGTCATGCTGTTGTTGTTGTCTGGTTGTTCTTGTTTGGTTTATGTTGCGTTGCAGGAGTGAGTACAGAAGAGTACAGTAGAGTACAGTAGAGTACAGTAGTAGAGTAACAGTACAGTACGTTGTTCGTTAGACGGTTGAGGTGCGGAAATAACAAAAAATAAAGAGGGGAGGGGAAGGGAAGGGAAGATTATATAAGGCTGGAAACGAAGTACGAGTTACTGCAGCTGTAGTTTGACTTGACTGTGCTACCCCATTGTACTGTATAATACTGACAATACGAGAATTATTACAATTAACTCACTCTATAAAACACGAGAGTACAATCCCATCATCTGGTGCATCTTCTACATCTTGTACAGACACAAAAATCCACTGAGAAGTTCCAGTACACGCCCGATACCCCGACCCCCCCGGCAAACCCTAGTAAAAAAAAGGGCCCCATACTTCCCAAAAAAGTACGGCATACAACAGCAACGGATAGCTCTCCTTTCGCGCTAGCCCTTCCCCCCTCCACCCCGCCGTCGTCAAAGAAATCATTAAACCCACCACCACCACCACCACCACCACAATCCACAACAACCACCACCACTACCACCAGCCCTCACCGTCGCAAAACCACAAACTCCGCAAAACAACCAAATCAACAACCCCAACGATCTCGAATGCCGACCTACCCCATCGCCGCGACAAACCTGACCTCACCGGACCCCGTCCAACCGCCCTCCACCACCGCCGACGCTTGAGAGTGGCTGGCTATTCCACACCCCACCACCAGCCTCGCTACAGCAATAACCCGGCCCATCACCAACCGCCACAACCACAAACTCACATACCACAACCCCCCCCAAGTACAAACTGGGGAAAAAGGGCAAACCCAATACCCTCTTTACGATATACAGACAGAAAGGCTATAAAGAAACGAGAAGGCCGAAGGGGAAATCCACCACGACTGCTGCGCCGAGTCAATCCACACAAACACACGCTACTTTCCAACCGAGTTTTTTGAGGCAACAAGAGCGCGCGCGCGCGGGTTAGAGAGTGTACACATTCATAGACATGGCGACTACCACAGCATCAGCCACAGATTTCGAGGATAAGGTACGATTCCCCCCTCCAAAATCCACCCAGCCCCCCCCCTGCCCCCACGCCCCCCCACCAAAAGCAACATATATCAAAAAAGCAACCAAACGGCTAACATTTACTTCCCCCCCACTGCAGAGCGAGGCTGGCTCCGTCAGTTTCCCGGATTTGGGGGAGAGCATCGATGCTTTGACGTTTGAGCAGATCCTGGAGATGGATGATGATGAGGAGGAGAGGGAGTTTAGTAAGAGTATTGTGTTTGGCTTCTTTGAGCAGGCGGAGCAGACGTTTGAGGAGATGAAGGAGGCGCTGTTTGTCTCCCTTTTTCTATTTCGCCATTCTTTCCCCGTTTCTTTGCCCAATCCCCACCTTACCCCGCCCCTCGCAACTTCTATCGCGGAAATCAAAATGAAGAATGGAGAAAGAAGAAAGAAAGACGGACGAACGCCAGCTAACCCCCCATCAGCGATAACTCCGACCTCGCCGCCCTCGCCTCCCTAGGCCACTTCCTCAAAGGCTCCTCCGCCACCCTCGGCCTCACAAAAGTCAAAGACTCATGCGAGCGCATCCAGCACTTCGGCCAGAAGAAGGACGAGTCCGGCACCGTCGACGAGCCCGACGAGGCGCTCTGCCTAAGGCGCATCCGGGAGACCCTCAAGGAGGTCAAGGAGCAGTATGAAGAGGTTGAGGGCGTGCTGAGGAGGTTCTACGCGTAGGGATGGGGATTGGAAGGATCACGAGGACTTGTAAAGAGAGTTGGGGGAATGAACGGGGAGTTTGTTTTTTTTGGGGGGAGGGAGGAGGGGGACGCAGCGAGTGCGCTGCGGCGTTTCGCGCTGCCGAGGCTTATTCGGGATGGGCAGAGCGACATTGGGGCCAGTGATGGGGGTGGGCTCCTCTTATTTTATGTGATGTGATGATGATGGTTGCTGCGGTGTTTTTGGGGCGGCGGGGGGCTTGGAGCTGGGGGGTGGGGAGCGTAGTACAGTAGTATGGGGAGTCTTTATTTTTGTTCTTCGCTTTTGGGGAATGGGGGGATGGGAGGTTGGGGGGTGAAAATAAAATGATTAAGAAAGTGAGGATGGGATTCCAGAAAGGATGGGGGGGTGAGGATGCTGTGTTGTGTGTGTGGTGATAGATAGAAAAGAATGGGGTCTTAATGTGTTATGTGGTTTGTTGCGCTGGTGTATGTGAAAGGTTGTGTTGTTTCCCTCGACTCCTCTCATGTGTTTACCAGCTTTCAAGGCGTCTTTTCTTCTCCTTGAACTTTCTACTCCTTGAACCTCTACCCTGCTCAACCTGATAATATTCCTCTCACCCTATCTGCCTTTCTTTCAACGACGCGTAGAAGGTTGCTATGCACGCACGTGATTTATATTCTATACTTCGGATTTGACATACAATTTGAAGTTATTTACTCATAGCTTTCCCAATATTCCATCCTCCATCAATCTCACCACAACGCCCCTCCTCACCCATTCTAGGCAACAACAACAGCACCAAAAACATATCGGGATTAACGGATATACCAGACATCCGTCCCTTACCTCAAACTGCACGTTCAAGCACACACCCGCGTCCATCGCGCGCCACCTGACCTCACCCACCCTCGCCTCCCCAACGCAACCCCCACGCCCCACGCGCCCCTCCGACTACCACCCTCCATCGCCACCACCACCGCAGCACGACGTACGATGATGGAGGTGTGGGCAAGGGGGAATAATGTGTGGAGACAACTTGAGTTCTCGCCCTCATCTGACGAGGCTGAGCTGCCTAAGGCGGGGGATGAGGAAGGGAGAAATGAGGGTGGCGAAGAGAAGGAGGAGGAGGAGATAGAGCCACGTGATTTGGATATGTATGGGAAGGTGTTTGAGGCGGAGAGGGTGGAGTGGGTGAGGAGTGATGGGTTTGGGTGTATTGGTATGTTTTGGGAGGTTCTTTTCTGTTTGGATGGGTGTGGCTACTGTTTTCCTATCCTTGTTTCGTTGCTGCTCGTCTTCAATTTGATGTTTTATCTCCCATACCCTCTCCTTTCTTTCACGTTTTTCAGACCACTCCCTCATTTTCACCCTGTTGGTTTTTGTCTACCTCCTGATAACATCGCTAACTACGCACAGTGAAATACAACACCTCTTCCTACGCCATAGCAGGTTCTCCTACGCCGTTCCTTCGTCTTAGTCTCGAAGAGGGAGACGTGGGACAGCAGCAAAACGCGCTCGCGGAGAGGCACGCGCAGGCACTTCAGCGGAATGGGATGGGCAATGGTTGGGCGGTTTCAGGCACGGGGATGGTCGTTGGTGAGTTGATATCCTATTCATATTTCCCGATTTGATTCCTTCGAGCTCTTCGCATTCACATCAGTTCCCCCTTCTATCAAGGTCTCATTCTCCATCCCCTGACGTGTTTCCCGTATCACGTATCCCGTCCCCTTTTCCCCACAACCCATCTAACAACCCCCAGACATAACAGGCATCCGCACACAACTCCCCCTCTCCCTCTCCCTCGCCCCCAACACCCTCACCTTCCCATCTCCCCTCTCCCTCTCAAAAGACACCACACAAATAACCGCCGGGACCACCCACTTCGCCGCCCTCACCGCCAGCGGCACCCTCTACACCTGGGGCGATCCGCGCCATCCCTCCCCGCTTGGCCGGCACTGTTCTTCCTCCCCTGACGATGATGGCAGCGTTCCAGCCGATGAACCAGGCTTCGTAACGGCGCTAGAAGGTATCCCCGGCGGTGGAGTAGTCAAAGTCGTAGCAGCGGGTTATGTGACGGCTGCGTTGACGGGGGAGGGGGGGTGTTATGTTATGGGTGGTGGAACGGGGGAGGTGGAGTGTGTAGAGTTTGATGTTGTGGATGTGGCGGTTTGGGATGGGGGGGTGGGGGTGTTGGACAAGGAGGGGGGGTGGTGGGTTAGGGGGGAAACGGTGAAAGAGGAGGAGGCGGGGAAGGAAGAGGAGGAGAGCGAAGGGGAGGAGAGGGAGGGAGGGTGGAGGAGGGTTGATTTGAGTGAGGTTTTAAGGGAAGGAGGGAGGTTAAAGGGGGTGTTTGGGGGAGGGGAGGGGAGTTTTTTGGTTGTGGAGAGGTGTGTATGAGCATTCCCGGCATTCGAGGCGCCTGAAAGACTATAAGGCCATGGAATAACACAGGTAGCTAGAGATGAGACTGAGAGGAGGTGAATTCAAAGCTGTGCCTGGTCTACTCGGGTTTCCTCGCAGCATGTGCCTCTATCCCGCCTCACACTATAAATATAATACCACGAACCAGCAAAGCATCCATCCCTACAAAATAGAAAACAATGCAACAATCAATAATGGGAAGGACGCAGATTTTATCCAAAATAGCGGCATAGTGCTGCAGCGTTATCATTAATAGCTGTCGGGGGGTGGACGCGGTGACAATAGGAGTCTGTGGTGGTGAGAAAGAAGCTCGGCAACAGAACATGACGGCGACAACAGAGAGTCCAGGCCGGTGACAGATTGTAATGACAACAGTTAGCAAATGCCAAAACCAACGTGGGGATGGGCCAATTTCCTCAGTGCTATGGAGTAGCCCGATGATCTCATGCTGTCTCTGTAAGACGGTCAGTCCTAATGAATTCTAGGCTAGCTCGTTGAAGTTGCTGGGTGACTGGTAAATCCGGTTTCGCTCACCTAGATAAAGAATAATGAAGAATACGCATTCTAAAAAGGAAAAAGAGAGCATCGTGAGGTAAAGCAGATGGGATGCATCTCAGTCGGAAGACCAAGATGAGCTGAACCAGTAGGGGAATAAGCAGAATGCTGTTGCCCCAACACGCATTTCAAAGCACACAGCATCCTACACACCGTACACCACTGGTCAAGCAACCCCCCAAACAGCCAGGTCTAATTCATTTGTGGATTTCGCTCGCTCTCTCGTGATATTTCTATGATACATTTGTATTGTGCACCAATGTCACCAATTCAAAGTCCACCCCACCCCTGCTCCTCCATCCCCAGACGCCATGGCAGCAAACCCACCTCACAAGTTCGTCAGGTAGTCCTCGATCTCCTGAGGGCTGAGCTTGCGGAAGCGTGGGCCCTGTGCCCCCTCGACACCCTCAACGCCCATAAGGTGGTGTGCTGGCGGGCCAATGATACCTGTACATCACGTTAGCAACCGCTTTCAATCCCATCCATCCACTGCGGGAAGAAACATACCAATCTCAACTGTCTCTCCGTTCATCTCTCCCTCAATCGTCTCCTTCAGCGTTAGCAGCGCGATGTGCACCGCGTCCTCAAGCTCCAAACCCTCCGTATACCTCTTCTCAAGGAACGTCTTCGCAGACGTCGCGCTTTTGCCAATCGCCGTGGCCTTCCATGGGTAGTAACTCCCGCTGGGGTCGACCTGGTACAGCATAGGTCCACCCTTGAGAATACCTCCAGTCTTGCCGCTTGGCTTTGGCTCTTCGGTTCCAGCGCCACCGCTCACATTATCCGCCTCCACATCCGGCTCGATACCCTCGTCCCACCCAGCAACGAGCAAGCTGACACCGTATGGCCGCACGCCACCCGACTGGGTCGCCTCCTGCATGACGCGCGCGACGTCTTGGACGAGGATGCGCGTCGGTGGGTACTCGTTGTAGATGCGCTTGTAGTTCGTGTGCGAGACCTTGCGCGCCTTGTCGACAAGCACGCGGTAGTCGGGGCCCATGCCGGAGTAGACCATGCCGATGTTGGGGGTGATGAGGCTGACTTTCGAGAGGGAGGGGGGATCGATCAGGGGCGAGGAGGACTTCTTTTCGGTCGCGAGGACAATGCCATTTGTTGCTTTAGGAGGAGTTAGATGAGGTTGCGTAGGTTTGGGGGGGGGATGGGCGTACCTTTGATTCCCAGTGCTGTTACACCTTGGTTGACTGCGTTTAAGGCATATTCTATAAATCATGAGCACAGCTCACGGCTGTAGGGTTTCACCGGAAGATCGCGTGCAGTTGAGCTTCATCTGAGACTGACCTATTTGAACGAGCTTCCCGCTGTAGTTGTATTAGCTTGGTTCGCGGACAGGACATGGATGGCTTGGAGCTCAACACGGTGATAGCTTACGTGGGCGAGAAGGTCGTGAGGGAGAAGGAGTATCTGTCCGCCATAGTTCGAATATCTGAAGCTTGGAGGAGAGTTGTGTAGATGAAGCTTCAAGTGGGCGATCAATTCAGTTGTTGTGGTTGGAAGGTGATCGTGGAAATTGCTGGGATACACCGTTCGTTGCTTGAGGTAACTTAGCTTCACAGGCAGCTCTGCCTTACGAATTCCGCGTCTGGAGCGACTGACGGCGCTAACGCGGCAACTCTAGCGAGACCACCAACACTTCGATCTCGGACGCATTCCTCCATCCGACCCTGCCGTGAGCAACCACCATGTAAGGGACTTGAATATCTGGCCTCAACCGTCGGTATTTCCTTACATTATTTTCTATTTCATAAAGTCATCGCCTTGTTTTTGACTAATGGACCTGCGAGCATCATCGCAGAGGTCGCTATTGCCCGAATCCTTCTCTTAAATGTCTGTTGAATACTGAGCTGGCAAAACCCAGCTGTTTTTCGACTTTTACAAGCTCAACACTAGCGTTTGCCAACATGCCTGCACCACCATATGGGTCAGAGTCAACCTGGTCATGGCCAGAGGAGGTAGTTGCCGATGATCTTCGCGATCAAGCTTCGCCGGAAAGTTCATTTACTCAGAGAGACTTTCGTCACGCAAAACAACCATCCGAGACGAAACCAGCACCCCCACCCCATGAGGGCGAGGCCAGCTCCAGTGATCCTCCAAAGAAACAAAAATACTACGGTTCAAGGACCTGCAGGATTTGTCTGGAGGAAGTGCACCCGTCATTCGAGACTGGTCCGGAAGGCCTCGCTGGCGTGGTCGCTCCAACTCCGACGGTGAAGTACGTGTCGGAAGATCCGGAATCCGGACGGCTAATTCGACCATGCAAGTGCAAAGGATCACAGTCATATGTTCATGAAGGATGTCTACAGGGGTGGCGACACGCCGATCCATCATACAGGCGACGCAATTACTTCGAATGCCCCACATGTAAATACACATACCGTCTGGAGAGGATGCGATGGAGCAAGTGGATTGGCAGTACCATGACCCAAATTGCTCTCACCCTGCTGATTCTTTGGGCCACCGTGTTCTTGCTTGGCTTCGTTGCGGAACCAATTGTCAAGCTATACTTGGATCCGGTGGCAACGTTGACTACCAACCCGTGGACAACATTCCGCGAACCTCTCATAGAATTTGAGGAGGGTGAGGAATGGACATGGTCTGAGCATCTTCTAAAAGGATTCGCATCTCTAGGGCTATTAGGTCTCTTGAAGTCCTTTATCATGTCCCCGTTTCAGTGGCTGAATTTTAGGTGGGTGGTTGGAGGTGGTGGTAGAGCCAGAAGGGGAGGAACCGGGCGAGAGAGACTTGAGGATATCAGCGTGTCGATGATTCTCATTGGAGTTGCCACAATCCTATACGTGAGTTCGCCTGTACCCAGTGGACGTAATAAGATTAGCTGACACAGCACACAGGCAATTTGGAAAGGAGTTAGGGCCTGGAGCCGGAATACCCTTGAGAAAGCTGGTGAACGTGTGGTTGACGTACATGGAGAAGACGACGATGATGAAGAGCCAGATGCAGGCCCGAGTCATGCTGCCGCGTCTGGAAATGACAACACAGACGGGAGCACTGGTTCGGCTACTGAAGCCGACCTAGATGAGAAGAAGACTATAGCAGAAGCTCCCAATGCTATATATTACAAATGCCGCCAGTTATCTAGGCGACGCACATATTTGCAACCAGTGACCATCACTGCACACAACTTAAGTTGGCACGAAGTCTCCTCTTCCATGGCGTGCCAACTAGTCTGTGTGCAAATATATACCGCTTTCTGGAGCCCTGAAGCCGGAGCGTCTTGTTCCACTTTCGCCGGGCGGCCGTCTGCAAGTCAACTCTATGCTGCATGTCCAGTTTGATCTCGAAAGGGAACGCTGGCATTGCCTTCCTAGCCTTTGGAACTGTCCAGGCACGTACTGAAATGGAAGTCGAATGCAGACCTGTTGATATATACCATGTAAATAATGTACACACTTTAGTCTCCGCAAAATATCAAGTTTTTATTAATATATTGGAATAACATGCATCTACTAACGAACTGGGCAACCAGTGTATTTACCTTCTGCATGTTGTTGGAATGTTGGACGAGGTCGAGTTGGATTCCCATGTTAGTTGTTACCCCACACAAGTGTGCCATTCTGGTGGCGGCCCAGGTCTGTCCCACCTCTTGGCGCCCATCTCACCCGCCAGCCTTCCCACTTCCAACACGACCTCCAAGCTGTTATTACTGTTGCCTTCCCATTGTCAGCCGCACAAAATGGCAGCCCATCGGCGCATATATATCCTCTAGCTATACTTTTTTTTCTAGAAATGCGTACATTTATATATAGATCACAGCAATAACCATCCATTCGCAACCCCACACTCCCAAAAGATGAGCTCCCGCGATCGCAAACTCCGGAGTCAGTGTCCCCACACAACTGAAGAAGCCAACACGGTCTCTTGCCAATCTAACCAAACCAACCCACTAACTCGCACCACAGATATCCCCATGTTCCCCAAATCCCCCATCGCCACGCCGCCCCGCGCGGCCCTCCAGGGCCAGGGCCGCTCCCGGAGCGGCTCGGTCTCCAACAACGCAGCGACCAATTCACGCCCCTCCAGCCCGGAACCCCCCACCTCACAACCGCCTTCGCAACCACCCTCACAACCAACATCTACCTCCCCTAGCGCTGCACCTTCCCGCAACCCCTCTACGAAATCCACCACCATCGACAAAGATGATCGCATCGCGCACCTCGAAGCCGATGCCGCCGTCATGGAAGGCACATTCGTGCAGGAGCTCGAGCACCTCTCCGCCAAGCTGGGCCACCAGGCCGAAGTCGCGCACTTCTGGCAGCTCAAGTACAGCAGTCTACACGCCGCACATGGAGCCCTCGAGGCGCGCCTGGCGGACTGCAGGGCTGAGATAGAGGAGCGCGCGCGCGAGCTAGACGAGCGGGAGGACCGGGAGAGGGACTCCACAACGCGCATCTCGAGCTTGCTGATTGAGCGCGAGGCGCTACGCGAGGGGTTCGCTGGGGCGCGACGCGAGGCGCAAGGCAGGGAGTCGGAGGTGGAGGGGCTGCGAGCGCAGGTGCGAGGGCTGAAGGAGTTTGTTTCTACGAGTGGGAGGTCGGAGGGGCAGGTTACGGATGAGGTTATCGCGGAGGGCTTCTCGGCGCTCGGGAGCGGGCTGCAGAATTGGGTGTTGAGGAATTTTAGGCGCGCGAAGATGGATGTTAAAGAAGTGAAGGAGGGAACGCGGGAGCGGCTTGAGGAGCTGTGCCCGTTATGGGAGGGACTGGCGGGGACGGCGAAGGTGCACCTCATACAGAGTATTGTGTCGATGCTGCTTGTGAAAAGGGTGTTTCAGAGATACTTCGTCGGACTGCCTGAAGAAAGGGAGAAAGAACTGATCGGATTTGAAGCATGGCTGGCATCGACATCGGGGAGTGCGGGGGATGTGAACCAGTGGCGCTCGTCCACATTAGGGCTCATCAATAAGAAGGGCTCGCTAGATAATCTAGGGGTTAAGACGGAAGAGGTCGCGGCATCTGTCGTCAGGGAAGCCATGGCTATTTTAGAGGATATTACGGATGTTGAACGGGACGCGGGGAGGGAAGTGACATTGCGAGCACTGATCATCGAGGCCATTACCCTATCTAGGATGCTTAGGGTGCAGAAGGCAAGTTTTAAGCCGATCATGACGGTTGTTGAAGGACATCAGATTAATATCTTTGATTCCGAAACCATGGATGATATAGGTGGGGAGGATGAAGAGACATTAGAGGGCAGAGATATTCTCTGCATGACGTTTCCTGGAGTCTTAAAGGAGGGAGATGAGAATGGCCAGCGCATGCAGCTTCGGAATATCATTGCTAGATCGAAGGTTCTCTGTTCACCAGACTAAAATCACAGGTAGTACAAATCTCTAGCACGACTAGAAATACTCTGAATTATGTGTGATGAGCTGAGTTGTGTCGTTGAACTATATTTAAGCTAGCCGAGACCCAACGCCAAAGGATGTGTCGGGGCGGGCCGCCCAGAGTTCTAAGTATAGCTTGTAGCAACAGAACGTCATGGGAACATATTTCATAGAGAATACCCCCGTTACTTCCTTCGAAGTACAGTGCGATGGTGTTGGATGGTACAAACCGTCAAACTGCTCACCACACGACCCTTCATGTAAGGGGTTGTTGAAGAAATTAGTACCGCGGAGATAGATGATACTAAAAATATGAGACTTGAAACAAAACTATACGAGAGGTATACATAACCGCAGAGTTACCTTCAGTCCTGTTTATGAGTCCCATGACAAGACTCCCAATCCTTCATGACATGCGCACGAGGAGGCGTGAACGTCGTCCAATTGCAAGCGCGTCAATTCTGACGTTTCCAACCCGGGTAAGGTGAAGATTTGGTGTCTGCAAAAGTCCGAGGGATCATGGGACCCTATAAAAAAAACGCACTCAGAGCTTGTGAAACCACTTAGTGATGCTGCATGAATTAGCTTCTTGGAAAGCTGTTACTGAATGGTTTCCGGAGACCATCGGTCTACTTCCCTCCTTTGTGTACTGGGAGATATTTTCCTGCTCGGTTGTACTCCGAACGAGACGGCCACCCGCATCAGACATGCATTATCGTGTGCAACAGATAATACTCTTCAGTGGGGCTTGAGCAGCGAAATATTGCAATGTTGCCATAGTCTCTGCAGGATGTCGGCGTCGTGTCTATGTTGCGTATCGTAAGCTCAATAGTTTGGTGGGGGTTGATCTTGCGACAGTTAAATTAGCATGGTAATTTGGAGCATGGGTTGTCGTGTCGTGGCGGCATAAAGACCGTGCGTCCCAATCAACCCAACTTTGGGTTAACAAAAGTGGCGGTTGTCCGATACGATCTTCGAAACATTAGATAAGATAATTATCTACCATCAAAATATTTTGGCAGGTCCAAACCGTTGACATTATACTCATCGCGGTCCATCGTGACCTTTCCCTTGCTCGCGAACACAGCGCATAACAGCCACAGTGGTGAACTGGTGCTATTCGGACCTCCTCGGCGACCAACATCAACACCCCACCTGCAACCAACCTGACGAACACCCGTCGGCACAGGGCGTTAAGCTGTCTTGTATGCGACAAGACAGGAGGTTTTGGTCGCTGCCCACCCGAACAGAACTGTTGCATTATCTCTGACCCTCACTTGTGTCCCAAGTTCGTTGCATCGGTCGACATAATGGCCGTTTATAGTATCGATAGGTTCGTTCAGGACCAAGACACAGCTCATGCCTTCGGGCAATCACGACTATCGCCGGCGGCCAGTCGACAGGACAAATCCGATGCAACTATCACCCAACCTGTGACGACTGCTGCTCATGCCCATGCTCGTGAGTCATGCAAGTCGCCGCCGACGTCGCCATCTTCAGTGACAAGCTCAACCGTGCTGTCAAGATCCAACACCGGCTTCAGCACATTCTCAAAGTCATCAGCAGCATCCGATGCAACTAGCTTATCGACAGCTCCGAGTATTGATTTGAATCACCCCGAGCTTACTCTCGACCAGCACATTCTCAACATGTCGATCGACGGTTCAAATCTTCCGTGCCTTTTTCGATACATCATACCAGACTGTCAGCATACGAATTTCGATGATTCTGAGAGCTGGTCCGAACATGTTATTGAGCATTTCGGCCGAAGCGGACCACCACCTCACGCCCTGTGCGTCTTCTGCAACAGGTCATTCGAGGATGACAACGCTATGGCCTGCTGGAACGAATACCTGGAGCATGTAAAAGAGCATTTCGAAAGCGGTACAAACATGGAACTCCGCCCAGACTTCAAAGTCTTGAAATACCTACAAGACAAAGGGATTATATCTGAGGATGATTATGCCATCTTCTGCCGCGAGGGGTCAGAGCGACCGAAGGTATCTGGGTTGATCCCGCTGAATTGCGAACCAGAAGAAATAATTGCGAAGAAAAGAGCAGAGGAAGCTGCTTCGAACCGTGTTATCGTTACTGATCCTCGTCGGAGACGAGATCAACAACGTTCACCAAGAGGGAAGAAGGCCGCATCGACAGTGATTCATTCCCCAACCGAAACTTCTTGAATAAGGAAAGAAGTGGAGTAAATAAGAAAGGAGCGCGATGTGAGAACGACATGGTGGCGCGTGCATAAAAACGCGTTCAGCTGAAATATGCGGCCGATAGGCCGTGCGGCAAGTTCCAACGCGGTGGCGAAAAAGGGTCCACGCGTGATGACTGGTGGGAGGTCTATCAGGGTCCAGGTTCTTTAACGATTTGATGATATTACTATGACTGGTATTGCCCAAAAGTACATGGCGTTGTTGTCATCGTTTGGGGTAGCTGATGAGGTTGGAAAAGCGTGGTATCTGGTTGTAATTTTTTGGGCGTTGAAGCGATGCATTTTTTCTGATGATACTTGTTTTAACACTCGACACCCTTTCGAAGTTGGATGTGGGAGGCTCCGCGATGAGCCAGGTGCCAGCCTGGGGCGAGGATATTGCTGTGGTCTCTCGGCGATGTTGCTGTTGACGGCGGATGATAGTGTGAAGTTGAGAAGTAGCTGGTCTTTCATCTCTTTTCGATAATCTCCTTTGGGGAAAGCATTACCAATGACGACTGTTTTACTTTTGCTATATGTAGTCTTCTGACTATATTCCGTCTGCTTGTGAGAAATTATTGTGTGATTTTCGTTGTGGAATGTTGTCTCTGTCCTTCCTAGTCCACGTCAGGCAAGGGGTTGAGTCGTGCAACTGGTCGTCTTTTTCGATGGGCTTACCTTTTTATGTGATTCATAGATGCGTTGAGGTGCCAGACCCTTTTTGAGACGCCGCCAGACTCTTCTGTACTCCCAGGACTGTGCCATATGCTTTGATATCCGTCACAGTTTCATATGTTGCATCCTCCTAGCCTTGTCCGGGCCGTCTGGGGATAACGCAGGAGCTATATTCCTCGCGTTCATGAAGACAATGCTGTATCAGCATAGGAAGTGTATATTCGTCATTGTGGTCTGTTATTTTCTTGGATGATTCTCGTCAAGTGGCTGGTACGTTAATATCGGGCATATCGAAGTCTATCATCTTCGCCCAGCGCCAGTTGCCCACCTCTCGGGCATATCTATCCGAAGGCGCTTCTGGATCACATTTTGGGAACCAAAGCTTGTTGTCGGAAATTCGCAACTTTCGGATATCATAACCCAATCTAGCGGGGTTTAATGGATTGCCAGACTTCCCAACCCGACACGATAGGGGTATATGTGTAGGGTGATATATCAACATCGCTCGTGAGATATATCTCAACTGAGATGGCAGAAACAGCAAAAGATGAATATATCAGTTCTTTGCAACTTGAGGTATGCATTTGTAAGAAGTAGTCATATTGAACCAAATGAGAGAAGTGATAACCAACAGTGCCCAACCTTGTTTCAAGGCTCTGGCTTCATGTGATGATCGGACAGCAATATAAAGTAACGGGAGCCAATCAATATAAGATCCCCACTCACTTTGTAGCATCTTGCTATATAAATCATCTCCGATCCAATCCTATTGCCCCAGCTCTTTATTTTCGACAGTTATTTATTGGTGGTCGTGTTGTTGGCATTTTGACGCGAGCCCCATGAGCCAGCACTCCGTCGGCAGCCCAGCCATCTTATGATTTTCCCTTAGCGAGTCGGAGCAGCCCTGCCCGCCTCGCTCCAGGCAGACGCTCCTTCCCAATTCTAATATCAAAGCCGATTGACTCACCGCTAGCAGCAATATTTGAATTTATCAAAACCATAATCCCGCAACCCCGGAGAATTCGTCATATACTGTATGCGAAAACCCGCCTTTCCGAAGGCATCGAGCGCTCAGATGATAGGCTGCGACGCCCTCCACATCCGCTATGGATGTCACCAGCCTGGTTCGCCTTGCCAGCGTCGTTCGCCCTGCAGTTGGCAAACTGTGCAGTAAGCCATCGGCCCAACTGATCCGCATCGTCCTTCTGTGACAGGACCAGAATCATACCTAAAATAGTAGCTCCCCAGATAAGTGACTAGCGTGGCAGATACCTATTAGGTCACCGAGTTGACATGACTCCGAGATCCGGAGGCCCAGGTCAGAGCCGTGAATTTATCACTTGGGAGATCCACCACCCATAGCCAAACCAACAATTGCCACTGAGTGAGGCGAGTACGAGGAGTTATATCCCAGCCTTGGTGGCGGTAACTCGATATAGATACGTTGCGGAAGCTCATAATTGGCTGAGTCCACGTCGATGTATGTTTAGGTATCTTCAACGTAGTTCCCAGTCCCAGTTTAACTCGAACGTAACGATATATATATTCTTTGTTTCCTTGAAACAGGATATATATCAAAGAAACTCCCCATGCAGAAATGCCATTCTGTATGGACCACCCGGTGATCCGGCTACTCTACCTGAATCATACTACAAATGATCCCAGGTCAAAAGTGCGCATGTTATGAAGTTTGCACCCACTGGCCCGAGGCATACCCGTTTGGGACGTGTGCACCCCTCAGGGAGCTCACATAAAATGAGGTCCCGCATGGAGAATAGGCAGCAGCTTCAAGGAATTAACACCGCGCTCCACTATTATAACAGCTCAATCCAACCATTATCTCGGTTCACAGCATTGTGCGCCCAGGGACCATGGCACTCGTAACAACCAATATCGTTGGCTTGGTGGTCATAGATGTGTGCATCCAAGGAGCTTCGATGGCCACTAAGTGTTACCAATAGTCCTATAAATCCTATCTCCAAAGACCAACGGAAACTACACGTTATATACGTTAGGAATTTATTGCTCATATATATATCCCATCCAATCCATGCATATATCCATCTAGCATTACCCAACTACTCATCATCTATACTTAACCCCTCTCCCACCCCCCTTAATGAAACTCCGCAACAACACTCCCATACCTCACCCCATCAACCTTCAACATGAACCCCAACCCCGCACTCCCGACCACCATCTCGAGCGTGAAGTCGAGGTTATCGAACTCAACGCCCCTCGTCGTCGTCAGCCGCGTGAACAAGCTCTTCGGCACAGCCCCCAGATCCGTCGTCAGCGTGCACACGTTGATCAGATCACGGGAATAGGCTCCTGGTGGGGCGGTCTCATCGCAGGCGATCAGGTCATCGGAGACAATGAGGGACTGCCCAGGCCGGAAGTTGCGCGTGTAGTGAAAGGAGATGGGTGTTATGGGAGAGAGATCCTCGCCCTGGTGTGAGATTAGCCAAGTGCTCTCATGGAAGCCATAAAGGGGAACGAGGCAAAAAAAACATACCTTGGAAATATGCCACTGCATCCGATCACTGACCATCCACCGCTCCCACAGCGGACTCCAATACCTTTCTCCAACAGCATGTTTATCCTCATCATACACCGTCGCATAGCTCGTCCCATAATGATACCTACTCTTCCTCGACACCACCATACTCCCCTCGAGCCCCCTGAGCACCGCCCCCCTCACCACCGCCGTCCACGCATACACCGGCTGCATCACCTCAACCGACCCATTATTCACCAGGTCATTCGCCTGCGCATGCGTCGGCCTCTCGCTGTACGGCGGCGGCGCCGCGGTGTTGAAGTTCGCCTTCAACCGCTTGTATAGGTAATTGCTCTGCCCGAATCCCCCTACTAACACAATTCCCGACACGATTCCGCCCTTCGCGCGGATCCCGGATACCTGTCCCTGCACGAGATCGCACACCTCCTTCACGACGGGCTCGAAGATATCCTTCACCTGCGCCGCCGTCATGACGAGGAACCCACAATCAATCCCCGCCTCCTCATCGTCCGGCAGCCCGGGAAAGGGGATATTAACTTCGCCATGCTCCTCCTCGTTGAAGTTGCGCTTAACGAACTCCTCAAAGTATTTCAACCCCATCTGCCACGTCTTCTGCTTCTTCGCCTTCATCTCATCAAACTTCGTCGCGCCCACACGCTCCCGCACATGCTCCTCAAACCGATAATTCAGGAACGCACTCCCACACAGCCCACCCGTGCCAACCGCCGACTCCTCCACCCGCAGCGGCTTCAGCGACATGATTTTATACGCAATCAAATCCACCGTCCCGCCACCCGCATCACACACAACAAAGTTATCCCCCACCGACAAGTGATTCGGCTGGATCGTCTTGAGTGCATACACAGCCGCCGCCTCCGGCTCGGAAATCATCTGAATCTCCTCCTTCGATCCCATCCCCGCCTTCTCCGCCGCAAGCAACGTCGTGTTTTTAGCTGCGTCAGACCACACCGCCGGACACGTCAGCACGAACTCCACCTTCGTAGTGCTCATAAATGCGTCCCCGTACCGCCGCGCAAGCGTGTCCATGGTGTGCTTGTAGATCTCAGTCAGGTAATCGCTAACCGCGTCGACAACAGTCTTATTATGCTTCTTAAGCTGCGTCGCTGTCTCCTTCGGCGACACGTAGAAGGGGAGTTTCTGGCTCCGGTCGAGGAATAGCTTCATGCAGCGTAAACGCGGCTCTTCGGGCTTGAACATGAATCCCCATCGTGGCTTGATAGTGTCTTCGCCACCGGCTGTTGCGGAGGGGAGGGCGGCGTAGGAGATCTCGGTGGGCACTTTGTCGGAGGTGATACCGTTTCCGCCGGGCCATGTTTTGATGATCTCCACATCGTCGGGGGTGGATGTATATACCGTCGCGACACTGTAAACCTATTAGCCCAGCTCCATCTTCACCCCATAAACCCCCCCTCCCCCGCAAGACAGAAAACTCACCCCGAATACGTAGTCCCAAAATCAACCCCAACAATCAACCGATCATTCATCGGCGCCACCTCCCTCACCGGCCCCGCAATCGCCTCCGCCTCCGACTGCGCCGACGTCCGCACCGGCATCCGGTACTGCGGTGTCCCGTTGCCACCCCCGATATTCGCCCCCGCGGCAGCAGTAGTAGAGGGGGATGATGAAGTGAAGAACGGGCGCCCGCGGTCGCCGACGCTGCCGATCCCGCTGCTGGTCGCGCTGTTGCTGTTGCTGGTGTTACTGTCGCCGCGCCCATTGGCGGGGCGGAGGGGGAGGTCGATGTTCATCGCTGCTGATGTGGATGCGACAGTTGCGCGCGGAGCGAGAGTGTCGTGGGGAGTGAGGCGGGGTTGCGCTGCTGTGCTTGTGCGAGTCCTGTCGTCTTCCTCGCTCTGTATCGTCGTCTCTCAAGTTCGCAATTAAAACAAAACAGAAGCTTAACACCGCGATTGAACAATCTCGTCCTCACACATAAATAAACACCACGCGCTCACTGCTCTGCTCTGGTCTGCTCGGGGCGGTGGGTAGCGGTACACAAAATGGCTGCCTCGCCGTCTCGGACGCAGCCTCGCGCGTGGGTAGATACAAACACCATACAGCCTCGCGGGGTCGGCTAGGCACCAGGGCGAAGGTCTTGGCGTCCGTGGTGCGGCTGTTGGTCGTGGTTGTAGTGGAGCGGCGGGGTGGGGTCGGGGTGTTCCTGGAGCTATTTTGGGGCTGGGGGGCTTACGTGGAGGATGTTGGAATTGGGAGGAGGAGGTTATGGGCGGGGTGGAATTTGGGGGCAATTGTATTGTAGGGGATTGGGAAAGTTTGAGGGGATGTGATGGGGATGTCTGAGAGATGTGATGGGAAAGGGTGGAAGGGGTCGAAATGTGATTTATGATTTATTCGTTTTTCGGGGAACGAGGGTTCAAGTAAGGGTCTCGCGGGTACTTCCCCGTGCCGTTCGGGATGCATCGTGGGTTTGACAGTACGTGTGTGCTCCGCCTCATGCGTGCTTATATATGCGAAAGGACGGCTGAGTTTTTCTGATGGGGGGGTCCTGCAACCATTCCAATGTGGATTGAGGGATGAGCTGTCACTTCATCATCAGAAACGCTGTCTCGGTGACCCAGTTTGTAGGAGCTGTGATGCGAGTCAAGTCGAAACATATCAAATTTTTCACTCAAGAATTGTCAAGTCAGTAGTGGAAGAGCCATCAAATAGCCTCTCTAGAATTTATCCATCCTTTCCATATCTCTCAGAACTATTATTAAGTATACTTTATTTCCCGGATCCCATCTAAATACAACCCAATCCCTCCTCCTCTTCTCCCGTCAACGTAGAAAGCAAAAAACGGAAGAATCCTTCTCAAAAAAGCCCATTCCCATATAGTAACAAGAGGCTCCCCCCCTCCTTCGTCCCCATAAAATAACAGCAGCGGCAGAGCAGAGCAGTCTGTCTCTAACTATCTCTCTCGCCGCCGCGCCACCATCCTAGCTATGCTGTATGTAGTGGCGATATTACAAAGGAAATAGTTGTATGTGATGTGTGCTCGAAGCACGCAGTAAACGGTCATGGTGGGTTTTATAATCCCATCCACGCCCTCCAAAAAGTAAAAGTGAGCACAAAAAAAGGCTCTCAAATCCGCTTCGCTAGCTCGCAGACTCTGTCTGAACTGAACTGAAAAAATGAAATGCGTATAATAGCTAAATGAACGCCGGCCTCGGTTGGTCGCAGCCCCGAGATGCATTGCTGGTGTGAACCATCACGAGTTAAAAGACAAATAAATAAAAAGTGGTGTATGACGCGCGATCGAGTGCAGTGGTGCTGTCGCGGTTTTCCCTTGTATCCCCCTTAACGCCTTGCAAGTTCTTCTTTTGTCTCTTAGCACAAATATACAGGTGGTTGTTGGTAGTGTGGTCGGGTGTGGTTATGGTTATGTGAGTGAGTGATTGCGTGGTGGTGGAGAGTTTGCTTCATTTAGAAGCGGTTGCCCGCCTCCCAGATACTAGCAGCCGTCGAATTCGACCAGTCATTCCCCTCGTATGGTGGCGTCGGCCACTTATGCCTGGCATCGTTATCGTCCCTTGGCGCGTTGCTCTTGAGCGTTTGGTTGCTGCGGACAGATGCATCGGCGTAGAAGAGTGCCGCGTTACCGTTGGCAGTCGGAGAGGGTGTAGGGTAAGGGTTCAGCACGGTAGGCTTGCTCTGGGATTGCCTCAGGGGCTTGCGCTCAAGCTCGGCGTTGCCGCCCTTTTGGATGTATTCGGTCAGGGAGTTGCGGTCCATGCGCCTCATCGCTTTGTTGGCGGATGTGAGGGCTTCGTCAAGGAGTTCATCTTCCTCATCCGGGACTTCGTACTGGCGGGTGCCGCCGTGTGCCTGTGCCCTTCTGGTCCTGCTCGACACTGGTCCGCCGCTGCGGGCTGCTCCGATCAGGTTATCCACTGAGCGGGTCTGAGGTTGTTGGTTTAGGGAGTGGTGGCGCTTGAGGATCGTGCTGGGGCTGATTTGGTGAGCTGGTGGCATGGGGGCCGTGCCTTGTGATGGCGACTCCAGATTGTCCTGAACGGCACGGAGCGCCTTGTCTAGCGCCTCGTGCGTGTCCACCTTGTATGAAGGGGTCGGGAGCTGGGTAGGATCCATAACCATCGACGATCTGTTGCTTTGCCATGGGCCACAGCCTACCTGTGCCTCAAGGTCATCTGCCGTCGGTGACATTGGAGTCTGATGACGACCTGAGAACCTCCTAGCACGCTTGCGGAGGTGCGAGAAGAAGCTCTCCTTCTGGCCGCTCGGGGGAGAAATGAGTCCACTGTTACCGTTAAGAGCTCGCTCTGCCTGCTGTCGGTGCGCTTCAGCATCGTAGTGGTTGTTAGATGTAACCGAGAGTTGGCGGCCGATTTTCTGGCTGGCCTTGTCGGCAGCAGACCCGCGCTGGCCAGCAAAGGATGCCGTCCTAGAAGTACCTTGTGCGGTAACTGCATCGGAGAGCGGGGAGATTGGTTTGATGGAGGGGAGTATGGGCATTGGGGCAGCGTTCGACGGGCTGTTGGACCAGGTCGAGCGCTTGGTGGGTTGTGGACGCGCTTTGGCAGGGGCGGTGGCGTCGTTCATGGTTTGCGCATGTACTGGTAATGGGCGAGGAGCCACATTCTCCTTACCAGAGGTTGGCTGCGACGAAGCAGTCGAGTTTTCCGATCGTCCGATCAGGGACTTCCTGAACCACGAAGGCTTGGATGAGGTCAGGGTCTCGGTTGAGAAGTCCCTCGAACCACGGTAGCTCAGATCCGACTGCTTGCGACCGAGCATCCTCGATGCCGACGACTTGGGTCGCAGAGGATCCACAGCATCATTAAAGTACTCGTGTGCCAGTGCCTCCCTCGACGTTGGGCGGGCCTTTGGATCCCACATAAGACACCACGTGACGAAATGGGCGAGAGGAGCCGGCCATTGTGGTGCTTGAAGAATCGTATCGATCGCATGGGGAGCCATCTTTGGGAAAGAGAAACCAAGTTTGCCAGCAAGCCTTGCGCCCTCCTTCCATTCACCTCCGCCAACCTTTGTGCCATTCTTGCTGTACCAGTTCCCGGGGCTTCCCATGATCTCACACACCCTCCAGACCTGGTCGACCTCGTTTCCACCGGGGAAGAGTGGCTTCAGTGTCGCGATTTCAACTGCCATCGCACCAATTGCCCAAATATCCACGGGCGCAGAGTATTCTCCTGCCCTCAACAGCACTTCCGGTGCGCGATACCATCGAGTAGAGACGTATGTAGTGTAGGGGAGTTTGGAGTGAGTCTCGCGAGCGAGACCAAAGTCGGCAATCTTGACGGTGTATGTTGGTGGTGTAGATGGCGGTGTGACGAGCGCCGAGTATCGCCTGAAGCTGTTGGAGGATTCTTGCTGTCCTGATGTCGAGACGAGAATGTTCTCTGGCTTGATATCGCGATGGAAGAATTGATGGTCGTGAATGTGCTCGAGTCCTTGCATAATCTGGAAAAGAATGCTCTTGACGCTGCCGCCATCCAAGCACTTGTGATCGCGAGCCTTCATTAGTTGGTAGAGATTGCCCTCCATATACTCCATGCAGATGTGAAGCTTCTTGGTGAAAGGGTCGAGGAAAATATCCAAAGCTGGGACGAGGTGAACGTGAGGTGGAAGTGTCCTCAGGAATACAACTTCGCGCAGTTCTAGGCAGGGGGCGAACGACTCAAAGTTCTTCTTCATCGTCTTGATCGCAATCTATAAATCGTCAGCGAACTGAACGGCCTGGAAACCTCCTTTGTTCCGGCGCAACTTACCACTGTTCCACGTCTCGCAACGCTGGCGCCAGCACCACGTACGCGTGCCAAAACGACACTCCCAAAGCTTCCATCACCGATGTCCTTCAGCACCTCGAAGCGGTCCTCCAGTGCCTGTCCAGTGTTCGTAGTCAAGTGTGAGGAGTGTCCTCGGTGGACAACATCGACGAGAGTCATTGTGAACCCTTGCTAAATATATATTCGCGCAGCTATAGTAGCATGGGAGAGGTGGTCGAGTTGATGCGTGTCGAGACTGAAGCAAGGGGCGGTCAGCTTCCTCCTTTACAATGCGATTGCTGTAGAAGTTTTGGGACTCACACTGTTTCAAGTTCGACCTGCTCTCTGGGAAGAGCAGCGAGAGTTATCGGGGCATTCAGGATCGAGTAAGGAGAGAGGAGCGTGTTCGTTTGGTCGGATGAAGCTGCTTGAAGGTGAGAATTGTCGGTGATTTGACAAAGCCTTCAGCAAAAGGAAGTGTTTACAATGGATTGTATGGTCAAGTTCCAAAGGAACTGGGAGGTGCTGACAGTATAGGGTGAAATTGGCCCAAGTTGGATGGACTAGGGGGAGTACCCGTTGAGTTCCCGCGAGGGTGGTTTTTTATGGATCCCAGCTTGGAGACCCACAACCACTGAATATCCTTCGTACTATGGGATGGCGTGAAGATAGTGGCTTTTTGGGGTGACTTTGAATGCGGAAACCAGTGACAGGAGGAGGCAGATGTGCGGTGTACTGTACTTAATGAACGTGGGGTTTGTGAATTTGCTGCAGACCGCGTTCGTGGGTGAATATTTGCCGTGACACCGAACGAGTTCTGGAGGGCGATTGATCCAGTACAGTGCAAGTTCACGGCGGCGTGTATATGTATATGTATACAACGTATATGATCGGTTGTATGATCAGTGCCCCCGGGAGAAAGGTAAGAGGGTCCAATCTTCTGGAAGTTCAGCGGGTAAAGGCGTGGATTGATCTCGGCATAAAACACGAGTTGGGCTCGCACTGTCGCAGGATGGGTGGTTGGTCAGTGTGGTGTATAAAATGGCCAATTTCGCTAAGTTTCAACGATTATGCCACCCTCTTTTCTTGTCCCTGCCGCCTTTGATTGGGGAGGCCGGGGGAGAGTAGAGGGCCTTGGAATCACGAAACTTCTCTGTCGCAGTGGTGAGGAGAGTGCGGTATTATTACTATCGGGGGGAATAGCGAGTAGAGTGGCCAGTGAATGAATCCAAGTAGAAGGTCGTAGTATTTGATACACGAAACCAACGAGGAGGAGCGGAGCGGGCTGGGTCAGACACGATTAAGCAGAGATGTAAGAGGTCCTTGTCTATCGTCTCTTTTACCCAGTAGCCCATTATCTATTGGGCATGAGGATTTGTATATTGCATACTCGAGAACAGTTTGCATATGAGTCGATTCATATGTATGGACGGTTTGAGGTAGGAAGGGAATGAGAGGATGCGGATGAAGGATTTGGGGATTTGTGAGCAAATCGAGGGCAGTACAGTGCGAGTACAGTTGTAGTGCGCACAGTAGTAGTGTAGTAGTAGTAGTGGTGGTGTGGTGTACAGGCACATTTCGTGGTTTTCTGGTTCTGTCGGTCGTGAACGGTTGGGTGGGAATAGTTAGTAGTAAGTACCACCGTAGTGGCCGGGAAGTAGAATGAGTACTTCCAGTAGTACGTGCGACACGAGACACTTTCCTCGATGGTGGGTGGAAAAGGGAAAGGCGCAAGAATTTAGGAGGCTTGGGAGACTTGGGAGACTTGGGAGACTTGGGAGCGACCCGGGAGACGAAAGTTGTGTTCAGTCGAGTACTCAGTCGGGGATAGTTGGTAGAGCTAGTTAGTAGAGTTAGGATAGTAGAGTAGAGTTAGTAGAGTTACAGACAGTCCAAAATGCGCAGTCACACCAAAGGAGTGCTAGTATGAGTTAGAAAAAGGTACTCTATGGGTAGTATGGGTAGTATGGTTAGTATGGGATTCTCACGCACACCGCACATCCATCGCACACCGCGTACCTGACTGGCAGAGTGATGTACATGCAGAGATGCAGAGATGGAGAGACAGACTCTACATACCAGATATGCACTGCTTAGTACATGCAGCAGCATGCAGCTGTACACGTTGAGATACATAAGCAGACAGTCGTGGCACATTCCGGGGCTCCGAGCGGCGACGGCAGTTTGCAGTATGCATTTCAAACCAGAAAGTACCGAGTCGTGTGGCAGAATGTATCTTTCTTCACCTCAACTTTTCCCCCTTGCGAATGATCCAACTGAATCCTATTGTGCGATGCGATGTGGTGTGGTCTCAGTGTGGTGTGTGAACCCAGCCTGAATCAGACGAGCGAGCACGTTGTACAGTACTCACTCACAAAAGACCCTGTTCTGTTGCCACTGATCCACCGCAATTATAAGGTACAAGGAACAGAAATAAGGAGAGGCGCAGGCATCATGCGTTACCACACGAGTAGTAGTAGCAGCCCGCAGTGCTTGTACCACAGCACCACGCCTCAGGTACATCACCCCATCCCTATCCCATCACGACGGAAAAATAGCCAGAGCAGATCAACCATCGCGGCAGAAGGAACACACACCCCCGAAAAGAAGGAAAAAAAGTTCAAGAAACCAGCACACGCACCCACCCAAGCCACACACCTGCAGCTCGCTGGGAATCACTTCCCCCAACCCCCCCTGTTCCTTGCCAATTTGCCCCTCCCCATGTCCCATGCCCCCATCATAAAATTACGGATCCAGCACATTACGGCTACCCCTGAATTAAGAGAGCACCACGACAAACCGGCCGCCCGTCCGTCGTGGGACCCCCTTCCCACTTGCGGGGATGACCTGATCGCGCCCCCCTCGACCGCTTCCATCCAGCACGCCGCACCACACTAAAAGTGGCCCGCGTAGAATGCGCCGTGGTGTGGCTCCGTCCGTACTACCGTACCGTGCCATGAAAGTCTGGAGGCCGGGAGTCGGGTGGAGAGGGGTCTGACATGCGACCTACCAACGCCGAGTGTGGAAGTCGCGGGATCCACATAGCTCGCCGCGGATTGGACCCTTGCCCGCTGGTCGCGTTGCGGCGCGTCGTCGACTAATGAGGCTAGCTGGGTCTGGCGGATGGCCGGTAGGGGAGGACGGGGCGAGGAGGATGTGTGCGTGCGGCGAGATGCGACCTGTAACTTGTCGGTTTGAATGCGTGCGAATGGTGGTTTGCAGGTGAGTCTGTCGTTTTTCTGTAGGGGTCTGTAAGTTTGTGATAGAAGTTGTTTTTGCCATGGTTGGGAAGTGATCGCATTGTGGGCGGGATTCATAGTGGAATGGTTGGTCGCATGGCGTGGCACTGCGGCATGGCGGTGGTACTATACTCCGTAGGGTGTGTTGGTCTAGACACACGTTGCTTAGGTAAGCCATCGTTTGTTCGCAGGTCGATTTGCAAGTCAAGACATTGTGCACAATTGGCAGTTGCTTGTATGACAGTCGTTCCTTCCGAGGGCATTTGTTGTTGTTGTTGTTTATATAGCAGTCGTTCCTTCCATACAAGGCGGTTGTGTTTCGTACGCTAGTCGTTCCTTCCGATGGGAGCTGTTGTTGTTATTGTTATGGCGCTCGTTCCTTCCGAATCGAGCGGTGGGTATATATGGCGGCCGTTCCTTCGGAGGGCGTTTGCTATTTAGATTCGGCAGCCGTTCCTTCCGAGGAAGTTGTGTTTTGTATCGCACTCGTTCCTTCCTTCTAAAGGCACTTGCTCTTCATATTACAAACAGTCGTTGTAGGTCTGTCATCTGTAGGTCAGCCATTCGTACGTCCATTGTTCAGAGCACAGCCAGCCACTTCTTCGCAGTCGGCTGTTCTGTGTACTGTATTGACCTGTGAGGACGTGGTTGCTTTGTAGGACGGGCAGTCGTTCCATTGTGAGGCAATCGTTCTTTCCTATGCCGGCCGTTCCTTCCCACGCGGATGTTCTTTTATAAAGCAGTTGTAGTCGTGCTTTTATAGAGTCGTACCTCCCTCAACAGTAGTTATTCGCAGGGCAGTTGTTGATTTGTAATGGCGTCGTTCCTTCCTTGACAATCGTGGCTTCCTATGACAATCGTTCCTTCCCGGTGTCTTTCGTTCTCGTGGCAGTCGTTGATATATATAGCATCCGTTCCTTCCCAGTGCTGCCATTTCGTTACAGTGCAGTCGTTCTTTCGTTGGGCCTTCTAAGGCAGCCGTTCCTTCCTGAAGAATATGTTGCGTCGTAACGCGTTGGCTCTTTCCTACTCCTGCCGTTCTTCCCTTGGGTGGTTGTTTTTTTCGATTGGCAAGTCATTCTTTCCTTAGGCAGTCATTTTTTTCCGATGGGAGTCGTTCTTTCCTTCGGCATTACTTGGGCGGTCGTTCCTGCAGCCATTGCTTCATAAGGGAGTTGTTCTGTTCAGGGACGGTCGTTCCTTCCCAAGGTCGTCTTTGCTTTGGAAGGCAGCGGTTCTTACCTCACTTATCTGTCCTCACTTATCTGTCCCTTCTCGAGTCGCTCCTTCGTCCTCGAATAGCTGTTCTTCTGGTGAGGGTCGTTTGGTTGTTCCTTCCTGTGCAATTGTGACGTCGTGGTTGGACCGGTGGTGTGGTGGTGGTCCTGCAACAACACAAGAGTTGGGGCTATAAAGATAACAACACGACCCCAACATCATCAACACCACCAACAACAACAGCAACAACAACAGCAGCAGCAAGGCGGGCTTACCTTGGCATATGACCTGCTCACCTTCTTCTGTTCCTGTAACAGGTCAATATCTGAGTTGAAAGTAAGTTTATTTCATATATATCAAAACACAGAATAGTTTCTATATGAGTTCGACAGCCCATATACTCTTTTTGCCTTACTTTGTTTTTATGCCTTTACCCTGCATATTCTCTCTCTGTCTTATTTTGTGCTTAGATGCTTTTCACTAGAGAAGCAAATACGTTTCTGTTCTTCATCTCCGTCTCTTGTCCTAGAGAGACAGCGACTATGGCAAGATGTTGACTTGAGCACCTCTTGCATAATCTGAGATTGCTACCTTGTCATTAAGCGTCTGAATTCTGGACGCTTTGCGCCATGACTGTCTGTTGCCTAAGGCCGTTAATGTTTCCAAAGGGCTTTGCCCACCTACATCTGTCCTTGATTTTCTGTCCTGCCCCACAAGTGTCTCTATTTTGCAGCTATCTTCTTCCTCCACCACATTCTTCATCTCCCTCCACACTCTTCCTCCATTATACTTTTCATCCTCTATTGTACTCTACCTCACTGCAACCTCCCCGTTAACAAAGCAATAGGGGTCAAGCATCTGCAGCACTCTCACACACCTCCTTACATCAACCACAAAGTATGTAAGTTCCTTTTTTCTTTCCTAACAAAGGCCAAGTTAAACGCGTCGTTATGAACTTTCTCAGAGGAGTTTGATACCATAACAAGGTTCACCTGACCGATCTTACTGTTTTCCAAATATTTCCTTTCATATTCATTTCAATGTTTTACATGTTTTACAAATTCACTGGGTTTACTTCCTGCTAACCTCAGAGTAGCCTGGACCACCGTCGTCGCCGCGCCTGGGAACTTTTTTCATCAGAAATCAGAACAAGGTCAGTTACTTTACACTTCAGTATATGCTACGTTTTAAGCTAACAATCAAGCAAGTGAACCAATCCCTTAAAACCCTTCCCATCTTGAACAACTGAGATCAGATCAGGATGTCGGCCTTCCAGTGGAACGAGAAGTAAGCTATCACTCTCCCTCTATCACAACCCACAACAGAGCAGGTACTAACAAATAACCAATCCAGCCTCAAGGAGAAAGGTATTGACTTGCCGGCAACGTAAGTTTTCTTTTACTCCCCTTCAAAACACCACCGATTTAACCGCTTTCCCAGGTTCAAGTGCCGTATCTGCAGCAAGGTGAAGTCGGGTACAAACGATCATTTTTCCAAGAAGGAGCTAAAGACGTACACTTCTCGGATTGCAATGGGGAGGGCAGTTACCGGCTTCAATGCAAATTTACGCTGCAGGCACTGCTCTGGTGAAAATGTTTTCGAGCTTCTTTGCCAGTACTGCAACATTACCAAATCAAAGGACGATTTCTCCTATAATCAGCGCACTGCCGCTCTGTCAGCTGTAAGTATCCCGACACAGGCAAGCCCCTCTCACAATGCAACACTAACCTGCAGCAGCGCTGTAAGGCGTGCATAAACTGGCAGGAAACGAATGAGCCTGGCACGGAAACCCTCCCGGGCCCCAGCATGGCGCTGCATCCCGACACCACCCTCGCTGCTGCCCCAAACAACCCGAACCCGGGCGCGCTCTCTGTGCTGGTGACCTCCACGGCCCAGGCTCATGGCGGTGATGGGGTATGTCGCCCTCCCCTCCCAATCCTCATCAACCCCAACTAACTTCCCTCCCCTAGAGTTCCTCTGTCTGGCGCACGACGCTTGCCAATAACAACACGGTCGGCGTCGCCACCACCAATGACTCCGCTGGGCGCACTACCACAAGACCTTCCGTGGTCGAGAGTGGCCTTCCTTCTGCCCCTGACGGATTTATGGCTCCAACTAGGATGACGTACCACGGCGACGATATCCACACTGAGTCTACACCAAGCAATCCTTATGGCAGCCGCTCCAACAGCCCTGTCTCCGCTGCTACTGATATATTTGCCCAATTTGATCCATTTGCCGGTCGTGGTGGCAAGGCCGGCAAGGTTAATGCCGGTGGTCCTGCTGCTGTCTCATCTTCTGCTCATTCAGATTCGGTTGCCGATACCCCTCCTGGCGATATGAGAACGATCCCTGCGCAGAAAACGCCCACGAAGAAAATTCCCAGGGGCAATGATGTTCCTGTTCCATCTACCACGCTGTCGCCCCTCAAAGAAGATTGTTGGATGGCTGTGCCCACAAAGAACAACAAAAAGGCAAGCACACCTTTCACAGGATATGATAACACCGGAACTGCGCACCTCCAGACTGCTGTTGCTCCGAGCACTGCCAGCTCAACTTGGGCGACCCCCGCGGCGTCCGTGACGGCACTCGAACAGAATGTCGCGAGTGGTACGTATGGACGCCCTGGTCTTACTACGCCACAAAGGGATAGCGGAAGCCCGTGGTTCAAGCCTGTGAGTACCTATCCCTTCACCGTCACTCTTCCCTGTTCTTTCTTTTTGGTCACAGAACCTCATACCCCTCTCCCCATCTCCGCTATCCACAACACCCAACTATTTTACAAAAAACTAACATCCGACACTAGAGAGCCCCGAAGGCGGATACGACGGACTACAAGTTTGAAGCATACGGCCCAGTAGATTTTGCGGCTCACGCTCCTCCGACAAAGAGACCCGAGCATAACCCATTGGATAGCGACGATGAAGTGTAGACACTTTGGTGCTGCTGCTCTATGTGAGCTTTACCACGTCCCAAACTTCCTTCGCGCCTCGTGCTTGCACTACTACTGTTATCAGCTACAAGCAGGAGGATTGAAATGGAGGGAACTAGATCGGAACACCCCATGACCTGTCTGCCTCTACGCCTATGTACAGGAGGCTAGGTTCGTTACCATCAAGCTGCCTCATTTTTTTTTTGTTTTGTTTTTTGCCTTCTATGAAAATATTAATGGTAATTCTCGTTTTTTCGATGCCGCTTATATGGATGTGCTAAAGCGTCGTCTCATGATCCCTTTCGTGTTTTTTTAAGAGGGAGGCTATAGGCAATGAAGGAGGATATATAGTTGTCGTTGATGTTTTCTTTCCTATTTTGTCGCCGTTATGCTCTTTATGATAGAGGAATGGGCAAAGATGATAACGATAGATAGCAAATGGGATTTTTTAGCCTTCTATTCCTATGCGACTTTAAAAAATATTAATGATAAATGAAATAAATTAATATAATGCGGTTTATAAAAATCCTATAAGATGATAAATCAAAATCATCCGACTTATAAACGTAAGATAATAAATCCTCTATATACCATGACTAACCCGTCATAGTAGCAATTAGTTCTAGTGTCCTGATTTTAAGCTAACTAAGCCGTTGTGGGAGCGATCAGCCTTAAAGCATCGATCTCAACGTCTAGTGAGTGCCAGCCAGTATGAGATTGTAAAATGGAAGCTAAATCAAAAGCCGACAGCTAGATCTAGGTGAGGTCAGAGATCTTTAGCGGGAGATAATATAAATGGGGCTGCGTTTGTGGATGTATCTAGGCACGGAGACGCTAATAGCTTTGAAAAGGTAACGCATAACATGGAGATTGATGAAGGATGCACTTTTTTATCTGGTATTCGTACGGATATTTGGGAAACGCGCAACAAACCCCAGTTGTGTGCTAATCACTAACACTAACATTCATCACTGAACTATTCGTCTACTAGTACCACTCCTAGCCAACTACCAACACACTCATTTTGCAACGTCTACGGTTTTTTTTACCTCTTCTTGCTCGATCTCCACCTCCAACTTCTCTGTATCTAACCCTCCTGCCTGTAGACCATCGAAAATGATAGCAATCTCCTCGAGGGATGGCCCCTTCGTCTCAGGGAATGCAAGCCAAACAACAAAGATCTCCACGAGAACCCACGGGACCCAGATGAGGTAGAACTTCCACGCTAAGTTCTGGAGGCCGACCGAAAACGCGTAGGTCGTGAGGAGGGTAAAGCAGGTCGAGAAGAGATGGTAGCAATCCCGGCCACGCATGCGTAAGCTGAAAGGCAGGATTTCGGTGATGTAGAGCCCGTTGTTGCCGTTAAGGCCGAGGTTGTAGGCGGGGGAGAAGAGGTAGAGGAAGGCGACTACGGCGCTGTCAGCGGCTTTGTTGTTCGGGTTTGAGGCAAAGACGGCTGAACCGGCGGTGATGCAGACGAGACAGAGGAAGATGCAGGAGAGGGAAGAGAGGTAGAGAACGCGGCGGCCGACTTTGCCAGGAAGGGTGGCGAAGTATAGAGCTGAGACCCAGGACAGCATTTGTTGGGTCGCGTTGATTAGAGTTTGTTCGAGAGAGGTGGTGAGGCCAACAGAGGTGAGAACTGGGGAGAGGTAACTGGAAAGTGTTGTCAGTAATTGCAATGGTAGGTAGTAAATGAATTTTTGAATATTTCGCTGAGTCGCAGAATGTACTTACTATGAGATGAATGCATTTCCTGACAACTGAGTGATACATCCGCACCACAGCAGAATAAACAATCTCTATCGGTTCCCTGGTGTCTTGACGAATTCAAGGTAGTTTTTGATTGCACTTCCCCGATCAATGCTTCTCTCATAGGCAAGAGCACTCTGGATTTCGGCGTATTCGAATTGCACTAGGAGATCGTTCTCGTCTCCTTCGGCATGGTATTTGACAAAGAATTCGAGCGCCTCTTCACTGCGGTCCTTGGAGATCAACCAACGCGGACTCTCAGGAACCCACCATAGGCCAAGAAGCTGGATTACGGATGGGAGACCCTGAAGGGCGGAAGGGATACGCCACGCTGCACTCCCAACGATGCGGAATGTCCCAAATGTAGTCCAAGCCGCGATAATGGAACCGAGCGCGTATGATGTGTTGAAGAGCGCCGTTGCGGTTGCTCTGTGGTGTGAATGGGCGATCTCGGTGATTAAGGGGGCACCGGAGGAGCCAAGGAAGACAGTACCACAGCTGTGAGAAGATTTAGTTAGTGCTGCCCTGCTTGGAATACAAGAGAAAGACATACCCAAGAACACCTCGCGCCACGACAAACATTGGCAGGTTCGCGGCACCAGATTGAAGGGCTGCTCCAATACAGCAGAGAGTTGCCCCAAGTGCAAGACCAGCGCGGCGGCCATATCCATCGCTCACGAAAGAGATAAATGGAATTGCGCATAGGCCACCGATAGGGTAGGCGGTATTGAACAAGCCTAAGGTCAACCCCTTTGGGTTTCCAAAATAGAGTTTCCAGGATTCAACGGCCTGCAGACCATTCATCATTGATCCATCGAAGCTTCCCATCGTGTAAATCTTCGCATCTAGGGAAGGAAGTGGGATAGCTAGCTTACCCTTAAGTGAAGATAGAGAGTAGTGGGAAAACGAGGAGGAGGTTGAGCGTGCGCAGATTCTTGTGCCTCCACCAGTGTTCCGTGTCAAGGCTGCTCGCTGGCATGACCAGAGCCACCGAGCTGGATTTAGGAGCATGCATTGCTACCGAAGGATACAGTTAGAGGGTTGAATTGTTGTATCCGATCGTCGGGTTGCACCACCAGAGTCCGATGTCTTAACGGGATGGTGATCAGTTCTAGGGAAGGGACTCGAGTACGACTTTGTCGATGAGCATGACGTCTTCGTTAGGAGGATAGGCTCCCTATATGATAGAACATAGATTTAACGATTCACGAAGAGCCCGGTTCCTTTTCGCCCGGTGGTCTAGCCCAGATTGTGAAGATAGCGGAGATGGCATTGCCCCAAAAAATTGTAGTGTCTTACATTGTGTATAGAGATAGAGCTCCTCAAGTGTGGAGAGAGAGGATGGAGAGAGTCCTGGGACGAACCCCGGCTCTCCGCGCTCTCTCAAGTCAAGTAGCTTGAAAGTTGGAGACAAATCTTGGGAACCTAGACCTATAACAGTAAACAGTTGGGATCGTTACCAGGCCTGGCCTACTTAAAATCCAATATTGGGGTCCGATACTGAGTCTTCATTGGCGCTTGTATTCGCGCTTGTGTTCACGCTGGCGGCTGAGCCCACAACTATACGCGTATAGATGTGCCGCTGTCTCCACATTCTGTAACCTCTCGCGGAGTCCCCGCGGAGTCTCGTCTTCAACATCGGGACATCAAACATCAAAGCATGAAACTTAAAACATCATTACCTTTTGTTGTATCTCGTCTCGTGCCCCTTCTCGCTCTCTACTTTCCCGAAAACACACTACACTGGTATATGACGATGAGATCTCCTGAACCGAGTTGTGTCGACTAAACATTCATTACATTCCATCTACTATACTCTAGGACCCTAAAGTGACTAGTGTGGACCTGGTTGCACTCGTGGATCGATGATTAAAGGTGGGGTGACATATCTTTTCGTCCTTTCTTCGACAACTATTTATATCTACGTTCTCAGTCCCTTCTCATAGACAAGTTTCCGTCTGTGCAATCAATTATTTATACTTCAGTACCACCCATCTCTCATTGCTGAATTCGCGATGGCTGCAGCCCCTTGGATCTGGCATCCTGAATAGAAGGATGGGCCGGATAAGTGCTCTGCTGGGGGATTTGTGCACTTTCGCAGAACGCTCCATCTTACGGCTGAGGCTCTTCCCAGCCATCCTGTCAAGATCCAAATCAGCGCAGATACAAAATACAAACTGTACATAAATTCCCGACTCGTTTCCGTTGGTCCAGTAAAAGGAGATGAACATCTCTGGTTTTTCGACGAAGTGGATATTCAGCCATACCTACGCATCGGCCAGAATCACTTTAATGTGCGAGTATTACGATGGTATTATGCAACGTTTTATGCGGCGAGTTTCCCTAGGTTGCCATATGCTGGCCTTCTCATTCGAAGTATTGGGGAAGGGGCGATAGACGTTGATACCGGGAATGCATGGGAAACGGCTATCGACTTGTCAACCCGGCTACCAATTGATAATGAGGAGGACGCATTTTTGCATGTGTACGAGATTGTTGATACTACAAAGGATGCTGATATCAAATGGGTAATAGCAAAGAAGTTGACTTTTCCAGCTTCAAATGGAGAATGTGCTCCTTGGAAGCTGTCTCCAAGAATGATCCCGACTCCTAAATATCAGTCGCTGAAATTCAAAAAGGTCCATAACATCAGAAGTAGAAAATCTCAGTCAAGTTGGGAGAAAGCTTTGCTAAGTTCTACGGGCACAAGTCTTCGCCTTCCCGCAGGCACTTCACATCACGTGGAGTTGGAGGCGAAGCATCACATCACAGCTTTTTGGATTTCAAATTCGAAAGACCTGCAAATTCGGGCAGCACCCTAAAAGTATGTTATTTCCATATCTCAGTATATAACCGATTACTTACTTTGATTTTCAGATAACCTATCCAGAGTGCTACGAGGACCAGCCAGAGCAGATATCATGGGTTCGTCAGAAAGGCGATCGACGAGATACCACTAAAGCCTTGCTCGGTCCAGAAGATATATATCTTTTCAGTGGGAAGAAATTAAGTGTAGATTTGCCTCAACTCTATGGGCGAACTGAAGAAGAGGAGATATTTACTCCATTCCATTTCAGGACTCTTCGCTTCATTGCTCTAGACATTCTAGTAGCAAAGGACTGCGATTTGGTCATTAATGGCATCGACATAACAACAGCCAACTACTCCCTTGAAGTACTGGCAGACTTCAAAACCCCGAATATTGATCAACCAACCGAAAAATTATGGACGACAAGTATCCGAACCCTCGAAAATTGCATGCATGATTGCTATGAAGACTGTCCATTCTACGAACAGCTCCAATACGCCATGGACACTCGCAGTTCTGCTCTCTTTACGTACGTGCTCTCAGACGACGGTCGGCTAGCCCGTCAAGCCATTATACAAGTGCACAATTCGTACAACACAAATACTGGACTCACGGCTAGCCGGGCTCCAGCACATAAACACCAAATCATTCCCAACTTCTCGCTCTATTGGATCTGCATGGTTACCGATTACTTCGAGTATTTCGGAGACAGTACGTTCGTGCGACAGTTCATGCCAGCTTGCGATGGGGTTTTTGAATCTTTTGCTCGTCGTGTTGATTCGGAAGTGCAACTTGTGGGGAGTCTAGACGCTGCAGTATCTGCTTCACAGTGGGATTTTGTGGACTGGACGCCAAGGTGGAGACCGTTTGGGATTCCACCAGCTGGCGAACGAACTGGATATTTGAGTTTCACTAATATGTTATACGCGTATACCTTAAAGAGGGCGGCGAAGCTTCTAGGAGGTATTGAGCGACCTGCACTGGCTTCTGAGTATCTTTCTCGGGCCGACTCGATAGTGGAAGCTATTCAAAAGCACTGCTTCGACGGCGACGTTTTCACAGATGGGTTGGCGTCCATGTCTAAACCAGACGAAGATATGAGCCAACACTCCCAAGTCTGGGCTGTAATATGCGGAGCGGCTGTTGGAGAGCAAGCCCAAAATATTCTTCGCACTAGCTTGTTCTCGCCTAATTTCACAGCAACCTCGATCTCGATGTCCTTTTACACCCTTCGCGCTCTTTCTCTAGCAGGAGGGAATTTGTACAACGATTCTTTCCATGCCTTCTGGAATCCCTGTAGAGACCAATTGGCTCAGGGCCTAACCACGTGGGTGGAAGATGATGTAACCCTTAGATCAGATTGTCATGCTTGGGGAAGTGCGCCTATCTATGAGTTTTTGGTAGAGGTGGTTGGGATCAGACCGAAGGAGGGAGAGTGGGGAGTCATTGAGTTTAAACCGAGGGTTGGATTATTTGCAGAGTTAGAGGCAAGGGTTCCTTTTCGTGTTGGGCAAACGAAGGGCGTGGCGCTGGTGAAATGGAAGAAAGAAGGTGAGAACTTTATCGTGCATCTAGAGATGAGGATGGATTTGGGAGACAGTGAAGTCTTAGTACATGAGTCAAGAGAGAATTGTAGCGAGGTAGAAATGTGGTGTTTGAAATAATATGAACAGAAAGGAGTTGGGTAGATAATCATCTTAAACCTGTTTAGGCTCTTAAAAGCTACTACGGCCACCTACCTGATAAATATATTAGAAATTGAGAGGCAGTACTGTTACGATAGAAACGTAGGATTATAAAATCATGGCATAAGCTAGTAGATTTTGCATGTAATGAATCACATTCCATTTCCATTGCAATCTGCGAATATTCAGTAAGCATCATACTTTTTGCAATACTCCTGGCAATATTGGCCGATTTTAGCCTCGTAGGACGTCCGCGACTCCGCGTTCGGGACTCCACATAAACCCGTACTATGTCCTGGCATACCTGAAGCTAAAAACAAATCGCAGCATTAGCGTCGCGGAGGGTCCGCGGCTCTACTCTGACTGCCCCTCTAATTCTAGACCAATGTCCAGCTCACCCACCATCGTATCTGCTTTGTAGTGAATTTTGCGGATATCAGAGAACTGACTAAGAGAGTGCTATATTCGATAGCCTGCTAATATAAAACTGTTTGTGCACCTGATCCCTTCACTCAATCCCTTCAAGTACTTAATCTTTAGCGTCATCTTCATTCTTCCCTTCCTCTCTATTTTCTGCCTTTTGGTAACATTCAGAACGATTTGTTTCTGTGGTTGATCCTTAAGTATGGAAAACCCCCCTTTCGATGTCGAAGACGTTATTCGAAATGCCTCTATCCAAGAAAAGATCTCTTTGCTCAGCGGTATGCGATCTAGACTCAAATTTCAACATTCAGTTCTAATATATGCCATACTCTAGGGAAAGATTTCTGGCATACGCAGCCCCTCGAGAGATTTAACGTCCCTTCAATTCGTACAAGTGATGGCCCTAACGGCATTCGCGGCACGAAGTTCTTCAATAGCGTCCCTTCAGCGTGCCTTCCCTGCGGGACTGCACTAGCGTCCACCTGGGACTCAAAGCTTCTATACGAGGCTGGAGTCTTACTAGGCAAAGAATGTTATGCTAAAGGTGTCCATTGCTGGCTTGGTCCTACTACGAATATACAACGATCGCCACTTGGGGGTCGGGGTTTCGAATCATTTTCCGAGGATCCTTACCTATCTGGCAAACTTGCTGGGTCCTATATCAACGGTGCACAATCAAATGGCACTATTGCTACTATCAAGCACTTTGTTGCAAATGACCAAGAACACGAACGTATGGCCGTAAACGCCATCATTAGTCAGCGGGCCCTGCGGGAGATCTACTTGTTGCCATTTCAAATAGCTATTGCCGATAGTTCTCCTGGCGCTGTTATGACTGCATACAATAAAGTCAACGGAGAACATGTTGCAGAAAGTAGACATTTCATCGAGGATATTCTACGTGGAGAGTGGGGTTGGAAAGGGCTAGTCATGAGTGACTGGTGAGTATATTTGTGCAATTTCTTTGCGGGAAACTACTGATACTTGTAAAGGCTTGGAACTTACTCAACCTCGAAAGCATTGGATGCTGGACTTGACCTCGAAATGCCAGGTCCAACAAGGTGGCGGGGAAGCATAGCAGAGCTTGCTGTATCGTCGCGAAAGGTTACCAACTCTACAATCGACGCTCGTGTACGGAATGTATTAAACTTCGTTAAACATGCAAGTCAGGTCAAAGTCTCCCCCATAGAGGGAAAGCGAGATTACGCCGAAGACCGCGCTATTAATCGTAACCTCGCAGCTAACAGCGTCATTGTGTTGAAAAACGAAAACTCGGTTCTGCCACTTTCCAAAAACATCCACGAGATCGCACTTATTGGTCCTGGGATCAAAGATGTAGCATTTTGCGGAGGAGGGAGTGCTAGGTTGGAGCCATACTACACTGTCAGTTTGTACCAAGGAATTTCCAACGCTTTAGAGGAAGGCGTCAAGATTCAGTACGAACTAGGGGCATATGCGCATAGATATCTTCCAACTCTAGGTCCAAATATAACAGCGCCAGACGGTCAACAAGGCGCTATTATGTCATTTTATATCGACCCTCCTTCAGTTAAGGGCCGAGAAATGATCGATCAAGTCCATGTTCCGGACACCTCATTTCAGTTAATGGACTATCGACATCCTCGGCTAGGAATACTGTACTATGCAAGTCTCGAAGGGATATTTACTGCACCTTCTACAGGAACTTTTGAGTTTGGTATTACATTGTACGGATCAGGAAATCTCTACATTGATGACAAATTAATTATTGAAAACACAGAGAACCAGAGGTTTGGAGACTCGTTCTTTGGCAAAGGCACTGCAGAGGAGAAAGGCACGGTTCAAGTAGAAGAAGGAAAGACATACAACATTAGATTGGAGTTTGGAAGCAGTCCTACGTCGAAGGTTGTCCGACCTGGCATGGTTGCCTTTCCTGGCGGCGCTGGAAGTATTGGAGCAATTCTTCAGATGAATGAGGAAGAAGGTATTGAGCGGGCCGCGAAGCTTGCTGCGACAAGCAAATGTGTTGTGCTATGCGCCGGGCTATCAGTAAGTAGCCAATGCCCCAAAACTCTACAGATGTAGTTATAGGCTAACGCTCTTCCCTTCGTCGTATAGAAAGACTGGGAAAGTGAGGGCTTTGACAGGAAAACCATGGACCTCCCAGGCAACGTCTCGAAACTTATAAGCGCAGTGTTAAAAGCAAACCCAAACACAGTAATCATTACTCAAAGCGGTACACCTATTAACATGTTGCCTTTTACTGGAGCCGCTACAACTCAAGTGCACGCTTGGTATAATGGTAATGAGACTGGAAACGGCATCTCTGACGTTTTATTTGGGAACATAAATCCTAGCGCGCGCCTACCGCTATCCTTCCCACGGAAGCTGAGCGACAATCCAGCTTTCTTAAACTTTACTAGCGAACGTGGACGCGTCATCTACGGCGAAGACGTCTATGTTGGCTACCGGTATTATGAGAAGCTTGAACGCGACGTTCTGTTCCCATTTGGGTAAGTTAAGTCCAGTCACCTTTCAAGCATATTTCACGCCCCCGCCCCTTTTAAGATCATGGACTGTTTTCCACCACTGCTGCAAGGAACTGCACGTACTAGCATGCTTACTATTTCGTTTCTAGTCACGGACTCTCCTATACAACGTTCTCCTTCTCGTGCCTACGTATTTCACGAAATAGTGTGCGACTTACAGTGACCAACACGGGGACACGCGATGGCGCTGAGGTTGTACAATTGTATATAGCACCAGATACACAGAACTGCTCAATCTCACGACCCCAGAAAGAGCTAAAAGGCTTTGCCAAGGTGTTTCTGAAGGCAGCGGAGAGCCAGGAGGTGGAAATCGCCCTTGATCGCTTTGCGTTGTCATTCTGGGATGAGATTCTCAACGCGTGGGTCTGTGAAGAGGGCGAATATGGCGTGTTGCTTGGTAGGAGTAGTGTCGATATAGCTTTACGTGGTACTTTGAGCGTAGCACAAACTACGACATGGAGTGGATTATAGGACGAAAAGTTGGTGTTTTGATAATTTTTAAGCAGTGCCGGTACTGATAGTTATTTTTCGACCGAAATATAATTTGAGAGGACTATATTCTCTGCAGAAAATTAGTGCTGCCCTGTGATATGATGTGACGATTGACCCTTTTCTAGGAGTCTACGGCTAGTTGTCGAACGGGTGATGGTGGATGTACAGGCAGGGTCTTCCAAGGCAGATATTTTCAACGCCGCTCGAAAACTGCCCACAACAATCCAGTGGTCTGGTCTCTCAGTTACTTAGCTACCCTAGCATTTTTCGGTGGTTAAAATTAACGCCCGCGTAGATAGAGATTTAGATCAGGCAAATGCATCTACGGGCAGTTTCAATTTAAATACAGACTTCCGGTTGACGCCTCTATAACAAACTCTACATTAGAACCACGACACATTTTTACTAAGAGACAGCAGTAGCAGTGTCGGAGCATCACTGAAAACGTGACTGGTCAGAATAGCCCCAAGGTATGGAGAAGATAGTTTCTTAATTTACGAAGTCAAAAGAAATACCTTTCAATTTATCATTGACGTGCTATATACGCAGATAGAATGCTTCAATGTTGGGCCCAGGTATACAATTTCCAAGTAAACAAAGCCTCTATTTCTATTCTCCATAGACCTGAATGGGGTATTTCACGTGTATCAACCCAAACCTTTGAGCTTTGGGGTACAAAGTTCGCCTCTTATCAGATCGACTCGATCCTTGCCTCTGTAGACTTGGCATACTTCAGCTCGTCCGTGGCATCAGGTCTCTTGCCATCAAAAATCTGGGCAATTTCCTCTAGGGAGTGGCCCTTCGTCTCCGGGAACATGAACCAGACAATTGCAAAGAGAATGCCTAACAGACAGCAGAAGACAATATAGTAGTGCCAGCCAATAGCCTTCATCGCGACAGGGTTTATAAATTGACCAACGATTAACCCAACGTAGGTCGACCCGAGAGTGACGGTGAGGCCGCGGCCGCGCAGTGAATATGGGAAAATTTCCACAGTATATGCTTGAAGCAGTGGATTCCAGGCGATGTCATAAAAGAAGTAGTAGATGAAGATAAATGCCACCACTGCATTACCAGAATTCTGGTCAAGGGTGCGGCTGAAGTAACTTGACAGTGCGGTCCAGATGATATAAGAGACTAGCATACCGCCCACGGACCAGAGAAATAGGGTACGACGACCTAAACGATCAACCATCAACGCACCGGCAAGAACTGAGGCAAACCAGTTGAAAATTTGGAGCAAACCATTAATTAGGGCTTGCGAGGCGACGGAAGTGATTCCAATGGTGTTGAGGACGAGCGTTAGGTAGTACGATATAACACCCCCCCCATTCCACTGTGCTCCGAATCCTACGACAAAGGCAATGAATGTTCGCTTCCTGTTCGCTGGAGTTCGAATCAAATCCATATAAGACGACTCGGAAACGACGACTTCCTCAAAGGAGATACTCTCTTCAATTTCTTTCAGCTCAAATTCGACTAGGAGTGAAGTCACATCTCCACCAGCATGATGCTTGGTTAGGACTTTCCGCGCCTCCTCTATTCTCTTTTTGGCTACAAGCCACCTATGCGACATATCAGAATCTTTACTGCAGCTCCGTTAAGTGAGAGGTGAGAGATTTGAGTATACCTAGGAGATTCGGGGACGAGCCAGAAAAAGCTGATTTGAATCAAGGGTAATGCTCCCTGAAGTGCCGACGGGATCCTCCAGCTCCATGAAGAATCGAGTCGAAACGTTCCATAAGTCGACCAAGCAGCTATAATTGCGCCGACATACTAGAAATCTGTTAGAATTTTTGACACTACCCATATGAAAGATAGTACTTGCATAAAATGTGTTGTATAGTGCAGTGACTTTGGCACGGTGAGTCGGGTAGGCCAGCTCTGTGACTAGAATTGGACAGGGTTGAGAGAGGAAGACTGTTGAGACACCAATCCAGAAACGCGAGACAATAAACATTGCTAGATTCTGAGAAGCTGTTTGAATAACAGTTCCGATCAAAAGCAGGATAAAGCCAGCCAAAATGGGTGCTTTTCTTCCATAGTGATCAGAGATCCATGTGACTGGTAAGAGACCACATACTTTTCCCACGGGGTAGACTGCGTTCATTGCTCCAAGAAGTGCCCCGTTGGGATGTCCAAAATAGCCTCGCCATTGTGGAAGTGTTTGAAGACCGTTCATCATAGAGCCTATATGAAGACAATTTAGCTGAGTTCTGTGAACCAACATCTAAGTCACCCAGATCGCCAAAGCGGGATAGCCTACCATCAAAGCCGACGGAAGCAGCAGAAACGAGGAGAACAAGAAGAGTAACATTTAGTCGTAAAAGATGTCTTGTTCGATACCATGGTTTTGGATTTGGTGGAAGAGCCTAAAAGATATGGGAATCAGCAAGCTCTCTTACATTTAGTATAATCAAGGAAGCAACCACATACTGCAACGAGTGTAGAGCCAGCAGCGATCTCACTCTCGTTCTGCTCCTTCGAGAGAATGCCCATGGTGGATTAGTTGAGAATAGAAATATTTGAGCACCGCCTTGATGTAGAGGTATAGTTAGATGCAGGAAGAAGAAAAAGGAAGGAAATACGAGCCATCTTAAGTAGAGCTATGAAGTAAATCATGTCAACGTATGGGTCTAAGTAACAGGATGCAGAAAAATGGATTGCCAGGCGACGACTAGGCAAAAACGGGACCGGGGAATCTCCGCGAGAGAGCGAGAATGTGGGGATGGTGGCTGTCAAAGACTAGACGGACTAGTTGTGAACTAGAGGAGTGCTGTGCCAGATATTCCCCGCTCTACGCATACACCGTGTACCCCATGGTATGGATACGCAGGGATAGTGATTTAAGTATGTTTTTTGAGGGGAAAAGATCGATAATAACGATTATACCTCCTTAATTATTTTAAGAATCCCGTGACATCGCTACCCACATAGTCGCCAGCCAATGGTTAGTCTACCCTGAAGTACAGTGCTCTCGCATTCGCCAACTAGGTGGTGACACCAAAGGAAGATATCAGCATTATTACAATCCTTTAGTAACCTGGATCTAAAAGCATTCAAATAGGGTTACGTTACAGGCTTACGACTTATGGCGCCTCGGTCACAAGCGAAGTACACAATTATTTTTATATGCCTCTTTCCTGGGATCGTGCATGGTACCCGAGTATATATATATATATTTCTAATATTAATTAGCTCGTTGAATATTTGTATCGACCCTATGTGTGCACCCTTGTTTTATGTTTGAGCTGGAGTCGTGGGACTCTGCTCCATCTGGACCAGAGTGGGTAAAGCGAGTTTCTCCACTTTACCCCACCTCGCATTCGAGCTTGGCGGAGCGTGAACTGGCAAATTTTTCGCGACCACAAATATTTAAGTTGGTAGTAACGATTTTGTGAGTCTGTGGAGCATGGCGGTCGGTGCTCTGCAAACATATCATCCCAGACGTACTCTCTATCTTCTTGCTTTGGTTGTGCCATAGGTTACCACCCCGTCTTGTCGTAGTTATAATTGACCGCCTCTTGCGCAACAAAGTTTCTCAAGACAACATGGAAGAAGCGTCACCTACTTCTCGCCCTTCTAAAGCTGCACGCATTGGAACGCGTCGCGGAGCCTCCGCGATGCTTGCGGATCAGATTTCGGAGACATCTCGACCTTTTAGGCCTACCATACGGGGTCCCACAGCTTGTGAAGTATGCAGGAATAGAAAGACTAAGTGTGATAACCTAAGACCAACATGCAGTTATTGTTCCAGGGTCGGTGCCACTTGTTCTTATCTTAACGATGACGAGGCGGCCATTTTGTGTGTTTTCCCTTTAGTAGGCGGCTTTACACTGCCTATTCCAACCCCTACCAACCCTTGATACCTTTACTTACTTTATTAGACATATCAACGGCGTGCCTCAACTGCTTCAGGTAGTTGAGCATATTAAAGATCTTTTCCAGCACCAGCAGGTGCAACAATGCCATCAGCAAAACTTGTTACCTTCACCAGGCGCCTACGAGGATATTCAACAGAATTATAGGCCTACCTGTCGTCATAACTATTATAAAACTACCAAATCTGATGAACGCCTGCCTGAGAGAGATACGAATCGCCTTCTACAAAATATTTTCCCCACAAACCTTCGTTCAGTGCTGAAGTGGAGAGTCTTTCCACAACCATGCCCACACTCGATAGCCATGGTCGATGACGATATTAGTTACCCACAACAAAGTTCGCTGCCTAGTTTAGAATTATGCGAATTATCGAGGCTAGAAGCAAAATACATTGCTTGTGTCCATGCCAAAAATCCGATTCTCGACCTAGTAACTCTGCATGACTTGATCTCCCAGGTAGCTGAGCATGGTCTCGACTGGTCGGCGCGGACGTGTTTGGTCTCCATGGTCTGCGCCCTAGGAGCCATTTCGGAAGAGTATACCCATGCATACACACCAGACAGGATTTCGGGGTCCTGTTTGCCACATGATGAGGCATTCAAATACTGGGATATTGCAATGAAGCGACTTGGATTCGTCATTGGACAGAATAACATAGAATCTGTACAATGCTTATGTCTAACGGGGTATGTATGATCTGATCACTCTCTCCTTTACAGGAACTACAAAATAGTATCTTGTTATGACAACTAAAGCAGCAACAGAATTTGGTACATGTGTAACATGCAACCTTTGCAAGGATGGAAGTACTTCGCTCTTGCGAGTAATACTTGGTACTCTATGACTAACTCAAGGTGCTATATTCCGGTCTTGCCTCGTCTTACCCATGCTGACCTTTTCATATAGACTTGCTTTTATGGCAACTGACAATGAGTATGGACAAGAACAGTCGTTGACCCGTGAGCAAAGTCTATACTTCACGTGTTTCAAATCAGAGTGGTAAGTTGGTCTATATTAGTCTGATACCATCAATAATCATATTCCTTCTATATCATGAACTATACTAAAATTTGGTCGTCTAAGCCCATCTACAGTGAAAATCCAGAACTAACATGCTTCTAGTGAGCTTACAATCGAATTGTCATTGCCAAAGTCTATTCTCGAAAGGATGGATTACCCATACACATTCCCCTTCCCACCAAACATTGACCGCGAACTGGTTGTAGGTGAGGACATCCATGGTGAGAGAAGGACTTGGTACTATTACCTTGCGGAGATTGCCTGTCGACATCTTATAAATCGAATTATAGAGGCAACTCAGTTGAAAATACTCGACCCTTCAGCAGCTGGGATTGAGAGGATGCTTAGAGACCTCGAGATGTTCGAAACTCAGGTTAATGATTGGTACTTATCCCTGCCACCGAGCATCAAGTTTCCACATCCATTCGGCACCATACAGCCATTGGAAGACGAGATCAACCAGCTTCTCCGAGCTCGCTACCTCGGCATCCGTGAACTGTGCTGCCGACCATTCGTTGAGCTCGTAATAAATAACGACTTGAGTAATATGCCATCTGAGCTTCTCGCCAAGGTCGGCGGTATTGCATCTCAAGGCTTACAGTACTGCATGTTCCGTCTTCAGGCAGTACCGCCACAGTACCGCCATCATGGTCTTTGGTTCCAGCTGCCAAATTCGACGACGTGCGCCCTAATTTTGCTGGCTGCGGATAGAGCGCGGCATGAGCTGCAACCCAACGCGATCGAACACATCAAGATGCCACAGGGGTGGCGCGAGCAAATCTTGACCACGCATGACCTTTTGGCAGGGTATTGGAAATCTCGACAAGGCAGCGTTTGGGCATACTTCCAGGTCTTCCAGTGGGCTTTAGATGGCTGTATCACATCGTTGTGAACAACAGAAAGTCGGGTAGGTACTTGCGTGCACCTATACTTTGGGGAGTATTGCTCGAATCTGTCTTGATACTGATTGGCGTCAGAAAGATTTTCCGCTCCTGTCCTGCTTTATGTGGAGATTGCGGGTCTACGAGCAGCTAATGATAGCTAAATGAATCTAAAAAATTGACGACGATATCGATGCTAAGGGAGAGTGCACTTAAATTTTATTTCTGGCGAGGAGCAAAACCGGCTGCTATATTGGCATTCGATATGTAGAATAAATAAGTAGGTGGATTTGACCTCATTCACCAACCTCTCTATCATCATTCCAATGCACTACCTTAACCATGCCCCAATTCCACGATGCATGTCTGATCTTCTTTCCAAAGATGTAAAGAGGTATACCACACAGCAGGACTGCCACAGAGATACCAGCCATAGTCCCATAAGCGTTTAAATACCCAACCTTATCAATCCAAGGATTGGTGTAGAAAGAAAGTAAGAAGCCGAAACAAGATTTCAATGCCATGGATGTAACGGTAACCTCGCCTGCAATAGGGCGATAACAGTCGATAGTGTAGACAAGGGAAACATTTGTTGCTTGGACGATTGAAAAATTTACTTTGCAAGTTAGCAGCTAGCTGGCAGAGCGCATATGTGACAACTTACGTAGTCCCAAGCCAACGGTAGGACACATCCAATGGAGTTTGTACTGGATTCCAACCCCAAATAGAACCAATCCAAGTGGCGTGGTAATCAAACTAACCACAATACTTGGTAACCTCATCTCGGGTTCTCTGAGGCCGCCATTCCGCTTCGTGAACCAGTCTGCCATCTTGTCGGTCAAATGCCCTCCCATATATATGCCAACCAGTGAGCCGACTATGGCAGAGAAAAAACAGAGACCGGTTTGCCACGGCTGAAATCCGTATGCAGTATTGTACGCTGGTGCGACGTTGGATGTCACTGCCACCAGGAACCCGATGGTGACTGACATGACGAGGGAGCCCCATAACACCGGGGGAAGAATTATCAGAGCAAGTGGCCGGATAAAAAGATGGGAAAGTTTTTCCGACGTATAGGTCCCAGAATATATTTTGAGTTCTTGTAGGTAGGACTTGCGTTTTGGGGTAGCTGGGATACTCTCGGACTCCAAATATTCACCGGAGCAGCCAGGTTTTTCCTGTGCGAGTGATGCCTCGGAGATGTTGACCATAGAAGGATCTCGGTTGTAGCTTGTTTCGGGGAAGGTTAAAAAAACGAGGAGCAGAAGAGCGCCTATTAAAGCAGTTGCTACATAATAGATGGTGCGCCAGGTGTTGTGAATGGTGATGAGTCTGGCTGTTGTTAGGAACTTTCAAGAGGACTTGATATGTAGTTTCCATATATAGTTGTTATGTTATAAGATGGGGAGGGAGCGTATCATTAACAATTTTGGGATATAGACTTACCCAGAAATAATGATACCTCCTGCAACACCACATGAAAGAGCTGACGAATACATACTATCTATGTTCAATAATTATTTCATGTTGATGGGTTGGGATTTGGACTTACCCCATAACAGCTCCACGTTCATGAAGGAAGAATACTATAATAATGAGCCAGTAATCTAGCACATGGGGGATAGATTAACTTTCCGTCAGCAATAGACAAAGGGGCCATAGTCTCAGCAGCGCCAGCAGAAAACCCCATCAATATACGAGCAGCCAAGAAGCTAGCGTAAGACGTTGTGAAGGAGAGCCAGAGCGCAGTGGCAAAGTACAAGGAAAAGCTTGCGAGGTATATGGGTCGTCGTCCATACTTGTTAACTAACGGCATCCACAAGATATTGCCGGTGCCTTGGAGTAGTGCAGTGGTAGTAAAGAAATAAGCAGTCTTCGCAATTGCACCAGGCATGCCAGCTCGGCCAGCTGTAGGGAAAAAGTCCATCGCAGTTTCAATAATAGAGACGGTTGGCCCAGCTGCGAGGAAATTGCACATAAACATTGCGATACAAATCAGGGTCGCCATGTAGTACTTCCTTCTCTGGCTCCTAGTACATACATTAATGAGCGCAGTTGAATTGATATAAAATAGATGCCACACGTACCAGTTTAGGGGATCATTGGGATCCCGTGAAGGAGTCGGAATAAGGATGATCTCATTGGTGTGCTCGTCGCGCTGGCGGACACTCCCAAGGGTTTGGATTTTCGTAAGTGGTTCCTTGGCTCCATCATTCGTCCGAATGGGTTCTGTTGTACCTGACATTGCGCAGGCTTGTCGATGGGGCAGCAACTACAGTGCTTTTCGGTCTAGGTGTAAGACGATCTTCCGACTAGATAATATAGGCAACCAAAATAAACTTTAGTAAGGTAATAGTTCATGGGGTCTAGGCCACCGAGAACTCGGGTGATGGAATGAGTATTTAAGTTCCAAAGTGAGTAGAGAGGTAAACGCGTCTGGGAGAAACTGGGGAAGCTCACTAATGCCGAGTCGAGTTACCGCACCCCGCACGATCGGAATGCGGGGGATTATTGACAGGGGGGTTCTAACGAAACTGTGGGGTGTGGGGGAGCCGATCTCGGAAACTCACAGTATGGGCCCCGAGGCTCTAGGATTTGACGATTTCATCCCATTAGCTGCAGAAAGCAATTAAAATATCTTAAAAGGACACCTCAAGCAATTGATTTTCATCATATCATTTATACTGTCAGATTAAATCCTCACAATGGCAACTCCCGCAATGTTCATCACCTGGAGAGATTCCGCCGACGCCAATGTCTACGAAAAAGAACGTGTCGATCGCGTTTTTAATGCCATAAAACCGAATCGGTATCCACGAGCGATAGTTAAAGTAACCCACCCATCGCATGTGCAAGAAGCTGTTCAATTGGCAAATCAGTTACAATGCAGAGTATCGGTGAGGTCTGGGGGTCACAGCTGGGCAGCATGGAGTGTTCGTGATGACGCAATTCTCATTGACTTGGAGGGCCTGAACGAAGTTGAGCTTGATGAGAGCAAGAGAATCGTAAAGGCGTCACCAAGTACTACAGGAATTATGCTCAATGAAATTATTGGAAAGAGGGGCTTCATGTTTGGGGGTGGGCACTGTCCTGATGTTGGGATTGGTGGTTTCTTGCTGCAAGGTGGAATGGGGTGGAATTGCAAGGTACGACTCGTTTACGGAACTTTCAATCATTTAATAACGGAGAGATCTAGAATTGGGGATGGGCTTGCGAGCAAATCGTCGGCCTTGATGTTGTGACTGCTGCTGGTGAAATCCTACACTGCAACGAGACTGAAAATGCAGAACTTTTATGGTGTGCTCGAGGTGCTGGGCCAGGTAAGATTATATCTGGTACCTTAATAGAACTGTTCTTTATAACACGACTACAGGGTTTCCAGCAATTGTCACAAGGTTTTATCTAAACGTCCGCCCGAAGCCTGCAGCCATGTATAGGTCTACATTCATATATCCGATCTCTGAGTATAAAATCGTGATGGATTGGGTTATTAAGGTAACAACAATTTCTTTGTTACTCCTATTACGCCACTTATCCACTTTCGTATATTATATACACGCATACTCCATTCCTTTCCTTTTGGTTGACATAACGAAACATTCTGGACCTAACAAAATCTTCTAGGCCTCACCCACATCTGACCCAGGCAACGAAATCGTAGCCGTAAGTCTCATACCCGAAGGAATTGACGAAATCTGTATAATGGTACATATTGTCACATTCCAAGAATCTGAATCTGCAGCCTGCGAAGCCTTGCGACCACTAAACGACTCTCATCCGGCTGGAGCCATAGTCGAAGTTATATCGCAACCTACCAGCGTCGCCGATCAATACCAGGACCAGGCCAAGGCAAATCCGTCAAATCATCGCTACTGCACCGAGAACGCGTATATAAACGATGATGTGGATGTGACTGCTGTATTGGAGAAGGCATTTACAACACTTCCCCATCCGAAGAGTTTTGCGCTTTGGTTTTCAATGGCTCCTATGAGTAGAAGACCATTGCCAGATATGGCGTGCACTATGCAAAGTGACCACTACTTTGCATTGTATACGGTTTGGGAGAATGTAGAGGATGACGTGAGGTGTAAAGGGTGGGTTAATAATATTATGAAGGATGTCGCACCGATGTCTAAGGGTGCTTATCTTGGGGATTCGGACTTTCAGATCAGGACGACGAAATTTTGGACAGATGAGGCAGCGGAGAAGTTGATGAAACTGAGGAGAAAGTGGGATCCAAAGGGAACGGTTAGTGGGTATCTGGACGATGGAGATATATCTGGGACAAGAGGATTAGATAACCAGAATTGGTCTAAAATCTAATTTTAGAGATCATAATATCAAATTATTTACTACACTATTTCTCATTTCGAATACATGGCGCAGGTAAGTGTTGAGCATTGAGATATATAGGCAAATACTATAGAGACCACCCAGCATCTATTACCGCATTTGCACCCGTCACACTTCGGCTTCTTACAAAACATAAAACCTGTTCCGCAACATCCTATATTGGCTAAATCAGCAACTAATCACGATTTTTCAACACGCACGAGTCAACGAGTTCTCAGAATTGTTGAATCGTGGATAATTTCGACAAAAGAGCGAAGGATGGATAATTTACCTCAACCGTAGCAAATCTTTTTAATTGAGCTTTTGCCATCGCTGAATCAAGCCGTTCTTGAGGAAATTTTAGACCCCAATCCTACCATCCATTAGTTTTCAGCCAAAAGCGGTAAAATTTATGCGAAACAGACTGTAAGGAGGATTCCAGGGGAAACAGAGTTCACCCGTATTCTAGGACTGCAAATCACAGCCAAAGATTTAGCTAAATGGATCTGTGCTGCTTTTGTAACAGAATATGCCTATAGATAAACTGTTAGTCTAGTTGAATCTCTAAATATAGACAAAGAAATATAAACTACGCATTAGAAATTCTCATACCAACGAACTACCGCTTGGTCTCACTCCAGCCAAACTCGCCGTGGTGATAAATACCCCTTCACTCTCATCGAGGTATTTCTTGGCGGCACGCATCAACCACAGATGACTCTTCACATTCATATTCCAACATTTATCCCACATCTCCTCATCGACATTATCATCTAGATCATTGAAATCCTGTATTGCAGTCCATCCCCCATTACTGAAGACAGCATCCAATTTTCCCATTTGCGATACGGATTCTGTGACCAAGTGTTCGATGTCGGACTTTTTAGACAGATCCGCACGAACCGAAACGAAATTCTGACATTCTTTGGTCTTCGATAAAGGAGAGATCTGGTGTAATTGTTCAATCAGAGTATTCGCACGTGATTCATTAGTAGAATAGTTGATTATCACTCGCATGCCAGCTTTGGCAAAAACTCGTGCGGTGGCAGCGCCTAGGCCAGCAGAGCCGCCGGTTATGAGGACTACTAATGGTGCTGACATGAGGCGTGAGTGTCGTAGGAATAATTATCAAGTTCATTGTCTCGAATATGATTAGACCATTATCCCCATCTTCTGTCTTCAATGTCTTTTCAAAACCAGTGTTTAGGCCTACCAGCCGACCCGGAGCCGACAACACGCAAGCGTTGCCGCGGCCGACACCACTAGCCCCATGTTCCTGTCCCCCACATTCCTGCCGTCGCCACGCGATCCCCCACAATCCCGATGACTGTAATTGTTCTAGCCTTTATCAACTTGAAGGACTGGTGCCTGACGTTGCATGGGCGTCCATGTGGAGAGCCGACGGGAATGGCAGGCCACCCCGGTGCCCGAGTATTCATAGCCTGCTTGAAAATAAATTACTAATTAAAGACCGCGTCCATCTGTCTCTCATCACATACGAGCAGAATATAGCACACTTGACCCAATCTTGCTCTGCAATCCTTGAATATTTTAAAGTACAGGAGCGATGGCGACCAAATTCTATAACGCCGCGAATACCACCATGGCTGTGGTAGTGAATGGCGACACTGGCGGGGTTAACGGAGAATGCAGCCGGAAGGGTCTTGATATTGCTATTGTAGGCGCTGGTATTGGTGGGCTAGGTGCTGCCATTGGATTACGCAGGGCTGGGCACAATGTCTCTGTAAAGTCCCCACATTGACATGTATCAACCCTCCTATACTTACAGTTTATAGTTGTATGAACAATCCCAATTCGCATCAGAGGTCGGTGCTGCAATTCATCTTGCTCCAAATTCTAATGGTATCCTGCGCCGTTATGGCATCATGGCAGAGGAGTTTGGTGCTGTGGAAATGTCGCGCTTGGCTGAATACAACGAAAAGGGCGTCGAGACAAGAAAGGTTGACCTGAGAGAACAGAACAAGATATGGCAGCATCCATGGATGTTGGTGCACCGTGTTAAACTACATGATAAGTTAAAGCAGATCGCGACTGGAAAGGATGGGAAAGGAAGACCTGCAGAGCTTCACTTGTCGAGTAAGGTATTGGCAGTTGATACAGAAAATGCGACGATCACGTTGGAAGGGGGAGACAAAATACAGGCAGATTTGATATTAGGGGCAGATGGCATATATGTGAGTCTACTTTTAGTCTAGCGAATTGTTGCTGACGATGCATACAGTCTAAGACCAGAGAATGTATTACCGGGCAACCTAACAAGCTCTTTGGGTCAGGAAAAGCTGCATTCAGATTCCTTATTCCCCGAAAACTTGCCAGTGCAGATCCCGAGATAAAAGGACTGCTCGAAAATGACAATGAGTTGGTTATTTGGTACGGGGCCGATAGACGTGTTGTGGTTTACCCATGTGATAATAACGAACTACTAAATTTCGTCTGCATTCATCCCGAAGGAGAATCACAAGGTGGCACTACTGGTATGTGTTCATTCTTAGCCTCTACTAATGAAGTTGCTAATATGAAGAAGAATGGAATAAGCAAGCCTCTATAGATGACCTTCTGAAAGTATACCGAGACTTTGATCCAAAGTTACTATCACTTTTCAAAAAAGCCGATCCAACCAGTTTGAAAGTTTGGAAGCTCCTGGATATGGAGGTCATGCCAACATGGATCAAAGGGAAGATGGCAGTATTAGGAGATGCCGCACATCCTTTCTTACCACGTAAGATCTTACAAGAATAAATGTACTTTTGTATACTAACCAGAACAGATCAAGGACAAGGTGCAGGAATTGCCTTGGAAGACGGAGCCACTTTGTCAGTGGTCCTTCCCTTAGGCACTCAACCTGAAGAGGTACCAGAGCGACTTAAGCTCTATAAGCAAATTCGTTATGAACGCGCAAACAACATCCAAGATTACTCTCGACAGGCTGGTGTTGACTGCGTGGATGGAAAGCCTGCTATTGATAGTTTGTCACCCACTCTCCCACGTCTTGTCATTGCCTTACTAAGAAACCATAGTGATGAAATACACAGCTTACAACTTTGGCCATGACGAGTTTGACAACTCAACAAACATTTTCCTCAAATGGCGACGCGCCAAACATCCGGAACTCTACTACCGCATGCCGATTGCGTTCGGCCCTGCACCTGGCCCGAGACAAGACATATGGGGCAACCCCAGGTCCAGCCTAGATCAAACGTTCCTTACGGCATCTATCAAATTTCGAACCTCCGCAACATTTCTGAAGAACCTGTTTCCAACCGAATCGTTTCGCTTTAAGTCCCCTGGTTCCGTGGCATATGCGAGTTTCTCGACTACTACTCTGGGAAACATGACATGGTTAGGTGGTGGCGGGTACAATCACTTCGGATTATACATCCACGGAGTCCAATATACCAAGCGAGATGGGACGATCATTGACGGAACATACATGCCCCTCCTATTCGAAAGTTTAGCGGACCCAATAATATCTGGCCGGGAAGACCTAGGAATGCCTAAGGTATACTGTGCAATCGATATCCATCGTCGATCCGAATCATATCGTATGCAGGCGTCGTGGCAAGGCGCTAAATTCTGCGACTTCAACCTTGAAGGTCTCTTAGCTACCGATCCAGCGACAGAAATGGGGACAATAGGCGGGGAGTCCGACTACGGAATCCTGACATACAAATATATTCCTGCGGTAGGTAAAGATATGAGAGGAAAATCAGACTGTGAATATCCAATCGTGGTCCCTCATGAAGAAGAGTCGAAAGTGGTGCCATCGACGGTCAAGAGCGTTGCGAAGCCGGCAAAGGCTAGCGTTAGCTTTGACAAGTTGGATTTGGATGCACTACCCACATTACATCATATTGTGACTGTGCTTGCAGATATTCCAATTTACGAGGTCGTGGGTGCGAAGGTGGTGGAAGGTACTGGGGTGCCGGATGTTAGTACTGCGAGGAGAATCGAGTAGGATTTAGTTCAGACAACGGGCATAGCTTTAAAATTAAATAACATGATTTTCAAGCTGCAAATACCTTTACATTTTAGCGGTTCATATAACGTTAACAAAGCCAACAAGAAGCGAGTTAGATTTCAATTTGATAGTAAGGCTGTCCAACGAGGTTTCTCGTACACGTGGCATTTGTCACATGAAGATGATCACAATGGCCTTTAAATGGGTGTAAAGCAAAAATCGATTTAAATCTTTATGAAGATATTTCCATCAGTTCCGACTCTTAGGAACCTGTAATCCACCATAATCCTCCCCAAGTTCCTGGCCAGCAATTTCTAATGGTTTACATTCCTGTAAAATATACAACATTCTAGCCCACTTGCCCTCCGCCCCTACATTTTTCCACGCGTGTATAGTGCCACGCTGTATGCTCATATCACCACGCTTCATCAGTCGAGTAGCACCTTTATCAAGGATGAGTTCAATTTCGCCCTCTAGCACTACACCATAGTCGAGCGAGACGGTACGGTGCATGGGCGATGTCGCGCCTGGTGGCAAGTCCACCAGGCGCAGAACAGTGCCACCAGGGATCATTACACCAGGAAGGTTGTGTAGGTAGTCTAAAAGTTGTACCAAATTAGCAACACAAACCTGACATACTTTTCATCTCATCGCAGAAAATAATAATTCGTGTGAGATGGGTTGCATACTGGAATATACATTAACATCCGCATTGTCATTTAACAATACCGGTGACTCGTTCGTTGCGTAGCATAGCGAAAAGATGGCATCGTTGGGTATTTGCTGGAAAGGGATTTCCTCCGGGAGTGCTGTACTAAAGATCGCATTTCCATCACTGTCATGGTCGGTGATGAAGCGTTTTGGGTGAGAGAGACCACGAGTAGAAGCTGGTGGTACGTCTGTTGATGTTGGTGGCGGTGGACCCATGGTTAACAACGAGGATGAGGAAGATATTCTAAGATTGGAAATGTAGAAAGAGATCTTAGTAGCTGGTGTTAAGAATAATAAAGTCGATTTTTATGGAAATTATAAGGACTCGGGAATTCGATATATGAGTAGTCTCTATATTAATACATAGCGTGTTTCGGATGATAGCGATGGGGAATGTACGATATCGCACTACAGTACCCATGAACCATCTTGGTACAATACTATCCAGTAAAATGATAATGGTTCGCATTTCCAAAGTAGTTTTCGTTCGGCTCGGCCCCTCCAAGTTAAACCCGACATGGAAATTTCCCAGCGAACCCGAAAAAGTCCACCCCCACACCATTCCGACCCCACATCATTTGTAGAGGGGTTCAGAGGACGTCCAGTCCATACCAGCGCATTATAATAAGATAAGAGTATACGATCGACTGATTCCCAGACCATCTCTTCCTCCCGATACAAAGAGCAATTGTGACAATACAACTCTATCGACTAAATGGCGGAAACCAATATTATTAGAGACATCAAAGAAGTGCACAGAGACGAGGAAAACAGCCTCATATTCGAAAAAAATGTCTCAATCCCTCTTAAAAAGTCGGATTTACCTGTCCGCTGTAACGTCTATCTACCTCTAAGTACCGAAAATGGCAATAAATTCCCAGTGCTGGTTACATACGGACCATACGGAAAGGACATCCCTTACGCCACTTTTTTCAAGGGCTCGTTCAACGAAGTGAATCCTGAGCATAAAAGTAAATACAGCGCATGGGAGACTCCAGACCCCGTGTATTGGACTGCGCGAGGCTACATTGTTGTGCGTGCTGATGAGAGGGGTCTGGGACAGAGTCCAGGGTTGCTGGATACGATGAGCCGAGGAACCAGTGAGTGTTTCTTTGATGTGGTCGAATGGGCTGCAGAGCAAGAGTGGAGTACCGGAAAGGTTGGTTTATTAGGGATTAGTTATTATGCCGGTACGCTCATACCCTCCCAATACTTTTATTTACTCAAGTGCTAAACTCTAGGCTAGGAAGTCAATGGCGAGTTGCTGCGCGGAGACCAAAAGGTTTGGCTGCTATAATTCCTTGGGAGGGAATGTCGGATTACTATCGCGATCGATGCCGCCACGGTGGAATACTATCCAATAAATTCGTCGACTTTTGGTGGAACCGTCAGGTTCTCGTGAATCAATACGGCAAGCCTGGACGTTCAAAACTCACATTCCCTCCAGATGGGCCTGGTGCCCGTGGCCAAGAAGATACCATTGAGGGTGATTTATCAGAAGATATTCTTAGGAAGAATCGCATGGACCAAACTGAAGACAACGAAGCAAATAGATTCAGGGACGATGAGTACTATGCCAGCAAGGAATTCAATTTAGAGGATATCGAGGTTCCACTACTGTCTGTGGCCAACTGGGGTGGTATTCTTTTACATTTGAGAGGAAATGTCGAGGGTTATGTGAGAGCGGGCTCAAAATTCAAATATTTGCGCTTCATTACCGGTCGACATGACCTCCCATTCTAGTCGGTCTATCCTCTTCTTTCCTCTCTGTCCGAGCAATCTAATACAAGCCGCAAACATATCAACCCAATTTGAGCGGCTAATAGTGTTTTGATTTCATCTCCAACCTCAACCCCTTTTCGTACTTACAGGGAACCAAGGGCTAGCTAACAGTGTTGTATAGCTACCATAATGAAGTCGAGATCCAAAAGTCATTCTTCGACGCCTTCCTAAAAGGCCAAGATACCTACGGCTGGTCCACACCAGGAAAAGTCCCGCCTGTAACTATAACCATTCGCAAAGGCAACTTGGGATTTAACGATGCTGTTGCAGAGTCCGCATACACTAAACGCACCGAAACCGCATGGCCACTCCCTCACACTCAATACACGAAATACTTCCTCACATCCAGAAAGGAACTATCCACGACTCCCTCAAAGGAAACAGAGGAGGTAAAGTTGACTTATGATGCTTTAGGATCAATAGATGATTTCCACGGTGTCAGATTTGAGACCAGGCCGTTTGAGAAACAAACGGAAATAACGGGCCATGTTACTGCGCATTTAAATGTCAGCATGACTCCTGATACCAGTGAGGACGCTATGTTGGAGAAAGATATTGATCTTTTTCTTACACTTCGACACATCGATCCTAGTGGGGAAGAGGTGTTGTATACCGGTACAGCGGGCGACGGTGTCCCATTAACCAAAGGCTGGTTACGCTGCTCGATGCGAAAAGTTCACGAAAAGCACCCGAGACACAGAAGTTACTTGATACATCGAGAATATGTTTCTACAGATGTGGAACAAGTCAAAGCAAGAGAGGTGTATAAGGTGGATGTCGAGATCTGGCCAACGAATGTCGTGGTTGAGAAGGGAGGGAGAATTATGCTTGAAGTAGCCAGTGGAGATACGCAGGGTTGTGGGGTCTTCCAACATAATAGTGAGGCGGATAGGCCAAGGTGGAAGTTTATGGGGCAAAATCACCTGCATTTTGGAAGGGAGTTGGAGAATTATGTTACTCTTCCCATTATACCTACAGCATAGAAAGTTGCCGAAAATGAGAGCGACGTTACATATTATTTTTGAGATAGGTATTGCTTCTTGGGTGATAAAGTTGACGAAGAAGATATTTTTCTAAAAACAGAATACCATCGAGCTTATATATTTTTGTATTCGGTAATTTAACTATGAGCAGTACCTTATCCGCATCCAGAGGCTGTCCTAACCCGACGCTTTCTAGTTTGCATAGTTACTCAAGTTGAGTGTTTCTCTCTTACTACTGTCAGCTCTACCTTTGAGCCCATGCTAATGCGGTTCAGGCTTAACAAGTTGTTATAATATGCTTCGATGTTTATATCATATGCCAGGTAAGTAATCTATATAATCAATCAATAAATAACCCCCCACTTGCTGTCAAGTTGAGCCCATTAATCCAACTGGCCCTAGGTTCACACAGAAACCCTACCGCGAACGCAATCTCCTCAGGCCTCGCCATGCGCGGCCCTACGGGCGTTAGGTCAAGAGTAGGCTGCATTAATTTCATGAATGATTCTCCCGCCGCCGCAAAACCCTCTGTCATAGTGGGTCCCGGACTAACAGAGTTGACTGTACATCCATACTTTGGCGGCAGCTCTCTAGCCCAGCATCGTGTAAAGGAATCCACCATCCCTTTCGTTCCGGCATAGATCGTCTGCATAGCAGGTGCTGCGCGAGATGAAATGCTATCGATATTGACGATCCTTGAATCCGTCTTGGAGAGATGTGGTAGCGCAGCTTGGGTAAGAAGGAAAGTACCTCTGCCATTCAGGTTTACAAGTGAGTCCCAATGTTCTATAGTTTGTTCCTCGAGCGGGAGATTAACAGCAATTGCCGCATTATTAACAAGGATGTCAACCTTCCCAAATTCCTTCACTGTGGCGGCGACGAGGGTTTGAGGACCGTCAAGTGTCGAGATATCCGCGCACACAGAGATTGCTCGAGACGTGAGACTGTTGGCCAACTCGAGTGCTTGTGTCTCCAAAGCTGGAAAAGGGTAGTTGATGACTATGTCGCAGCCGCGTGAGGAAAGTTCGCGTGCAATCTCAGCTCCTATACCGGAACATGAACCGCTAATAATAGCAGTCTTGCCTGCAAGCGTCTGGGGTGGTAGAGGTGATGTGGTAGAAGCCAAGGGTGATGTAGTTATTGAAGTCATTGTCTGTTGGCGGTCGGCACTGTAAAGGCCAGGTGAGGAATGATGTGGAAATATGTGACTGAGACCGTATGAGCTAGATAATATAAGGCCCTTGCTTTGAACAATTCTGGGGATCATCAGCGGGGAGACAACCAAGTGGTGTCTCGGTTGGTGTCCACATCTATCCGATATTCGGCAATATGGGCAAAAACAAGACCCGAATTGAATGGTGATTTCCGATTGGTATATACTCAACATGAACCCCGCATAACCCCGCATAAATCCCCCGCACATCCCCCGCATAACCTTCCGGATAACTTGTGCACGATAATCCCGATATGAAAATGATCATGATCTATGATTAATATATTTTATTGACCCTGGCTTCAGATCGATATATAGCTCAAAGTCCCCTAAAATTATCCCCATCGCTTCAACTCACGTCGGTTTCTATTCAGACATCCACCCACCCAATACATCAAAGCACTCAAGATGACCCATTATTTAAAGACAGGATCTCTAAGCACGGCTCCATCAAGCAGCAGCGCACCAACCAATGTGCCATCCGTTGTCAGCTCAGTAATCGAGGATATTCGCAAAAATGGAGACTCTGCCGTCCGCTCCTATTCCGAAAAATTTGACAGGTGGTCGCCTCCTTCCTTCAAACTTTCTGCCGAAGATATCGAAGATATCATTAGAAGTTTACCAGAGCAGGTAATCAAGGATATCAAGGAGGTGCAACACAATGTGAGGACGTTTGCTCAGGCACAGAAGGAGAGTTTAAAAGAGTTTGAGCTTGAGATTCATCCAGGAGTTTTCTTGGGACAGAAAAACGTGCCAATTAATTCCGTAGGATGGTAAGTTATTTCCCATTCTAATACACTTTGTTGTTCATAGATGGCAATTCCTTTGCGCCCTACTCCCAACTATTGTGAGGTAATTAAGAGATTATTACTAACAGCTTTCTAGCTATATTCCAGGCGGTCGCTATCCACTCTTAGCCTCTGCTCATATGACTATCCTCACCGCCAAAGTCGCCGGCGTCCCTCACGTAATGGGATTTACGCCCCCGATCAACGGCTCTATTCCCGCAGCTACAGTAGCAGCCATGGCCATGGCAGGTGCGGACGCAATATACATTCTAGGTGGCGTGCAAGCCATTGGTGGCATGGCAATCGGTACTGACACAATCCCAAAGGTTGACTTCATTGCTGGGCCCGGCAATGCCTTCGTGGCCGAAGCTAAACGCCAATTCTTTGGCGCGGTAGGCATCGATCTTTTTGCAGGCCCAACAGAAGTCCTAATAATTGCAGACGAGTCCGCAGATGCATTTACTGTGGCGACGGATTTGTTGAGCCAGGCAGAACATGGGCCTGATACGCCTGCTGTCTTAATTACGACTAGTGAGAGTCTAGGCAAGGAGGTAATCAGGCTGATTGACGTGATTTTAAAAGATATGCCGACCAGGGAGCTGGCCGGAACGAGTTGGAGAGATTTTGGAGAGGTGGCTGTAGTAGGGAATCTTGATGACGCGTACAAGTTAGGAGATACATACGCTTCAGAGCATGTACAGATCTTGACAAGGGAGCCGAGGGAAGCGTTGGAGAAGATGACGAATTACGGAGCTCTGTTCTTAGGAGAGAAGACCTGTGTTAGTTATGGTGATAAGGTGAACCCCCATATGAAACAAAGAAGAAAGCAAAAACTAATGGGAAATAGGTCATCGGGACTAACCATGTACTCCCAACAAGAGGCGCTGCACGATATACGGGAGGTCTGTGGGTTGGGAAATATCTTAAGACTGTCACTTATCAAGAGGTAAAATCAGCCAAGGCGAGCGGCGAGTTAGGCCAATTATGTGGACGCGCTGCAAGAGTGGAGAACTTTGAGGGACATGCTAGGTCGGGCGATGTACGAGCCCATCGCTTCTTAAATGATCAATTCGAGTGGATTGATATTGCAAATCCGGGGACCAGAACGGCCTCAGGTACAAAACTTTAGGCGGGTATTGTAGATCGTTTGTAGCTACCCATAGATATCTGAATAACTATTTTCCACGCCTGTTTCGTTTAGTTTCTCGACCTGAAGTGGTGCTCTATCTTTATTGAGCCGCTCCGCCATTATGGTGATGTGGGCAGCATAACCAACGTCAAATTCCATTCAAAGCTGACAAAGCTCCACACTGCTTTCAAGGAAGAATCAGAAATGAGCAGTTGGCGAGCATAATGGTACTAACCGTGGTAAATAAACCCCCAGTACAGTGCTTGGAAAACAAGGGCTGCAAAAGAACTGTCGAAGCTAAAATTTCGGAGTCTGTAGGATTATAAAAGTTGTAGAGATAGACAGGGAGGGGAGTGGAGGGTTGTATATAGTTAGTGTGCTGGAGTGCGGAATATATCTATTGGATCGTACAGCATACATAACTTACGTATAGTTAGACATAACCTTGTTCCTTTAAACTACATCACAGCCATTATTGACGTTCGTTGTTAGCATTCGTCATTCTCATATTCATTCAATACAATCTGCAACTGCGAATTATTCATCGGAAAGGCCATAACATCCTCATTCCCAAAATAAATCTCCTCACATATACAACTTCTAACTTTCGCTCTGGGGACTTTCAAATTATGGATATGGAAGGAACTACTACCAAGCCAGCCTCGGTCGCAGCTTCCTCGAGGCTTTACAGCTGTAAATATGGAAGGTATGATTATCAAGCAAGCCTCAGTCGCACCTTCCTCGAGGCTCTCGAGTTATAGATATGGAAGGATTGATTAGTAAATAAGTCTCAGTCGCAGCTTCCTCAGAATTTTCGAATTATAAACACGGAAGGTATGATTATCAAGCTGCATCAGTCGCAGCTTCCTGAAAGCTTTCGCCTTTCCCACCTATCTAATTCTTAAAAGTAACCGTCTTACTCCTGACCCACTCCTCCAATCCTCCACTCCCAAACCTGCCATAACCTGAGCATTTTACCCCGCCATGTGGCAACATCGTCTCATCATGCAGCGTCATCCCATTGATATGCACTGCACCACTCTCAATGCACTTTGCAAGCCTCAGTCCGCGCCTGAGGTCCTCCGTGAACACTGCTGATGTGAGGCCATATGGGGTATCATTCGCGATCCGTACCGCTTCCTCCTCGGTTTCTACCTCAATAATACTCACCGTCGGGCCAAACGACTCTGTATTATACAATTCCATCGCCTCCGTCACTCCCTTCACAACTATTGGTGACATATGCGTCCCCGGTAGCTGATGATCTTGTTCCACGGTCCCAGTCAGCACCTCTGCCCCCTTCCCGACCGCATCCCTCACGAGTCGCATATTCCTGTCCACAGCCGCCCTATTTATCAACACTCCCTGCTTGGTAAACATATCGACCACCTTCTCTCTGTATCTCTCCTCAAACGCCGCCGCGACATCTTTATGCACCAAAATCTTTTCTGTGCTCATGCACACCTGTCCACAATGCATAAATGCGCCCTTCGCACACTCTGTCGCGGCAACTTCCAGATCCGCATCCTCACATACAATCACAGGCGCTTTGCCGCCCAGCTCCAGCAAGACGGGTTTTAGGTGCCGACCTGCGGTCTCGGCGATGATGCGCCCGACGACCGTAGAGCCCGTGAAGTTGATTTTCTGGACACGCGAATCGGCGATGAGGGCTTCTGTGATGGCAGCTGCGGAGGAGGTAAAGTGCGCAATGGTGTTTAGAACGCCGGCGGGGAGGCCGCCGAGACGAAAGCAATCGGCAATGGCCCACGCGCAGCGCGGGGAGAACTCGGAGGCCTTGAGAATGGCAGTGTTACCTGCGGCCAAGGCATAGGCAATAGAGCGGACGCCAAGGATGTAGGGTGCGTTCCTAGGATATGTTAGTCGTGATGTGGAGGATATTCGGGAGAGGAAAGGTGGGTAAGTATATATCTGCATTTTGTCCAGAGAGGAGAGGAAAGAGGAAGAGATGGAGAGAGGAGTACCATGGAGCGATGCCTAGAATGACACCGTATGGCTCCTTATACACGATTGCGCTTGTTCCCGGATTCCCTGTTATCGGCGCATCGCCTTTCAGACTTGAGATTCTGCCTGCGATATCTTTCAGGATATCCGCTGCAAGTGTGATGTTAAAGTCGGACCAGAACTCGCCTGCGCCAGTTTCATCGATCATATATCTCAACAATTCCTCGTTTCTACTCTTGAATATTTCAGCAGTATTAAGAAAGATGTCGCGTTTTGCAGCTGGGGGGAGGTCGCGCCATTCCGGAAAGGCTGCCTGGGCAGCGGTGACGGCGGAGAGGGCGTCGGCGACGGAGGCGGAGGAACAACGGTGAATTAGAGACCCGTTAATGGGAGAGTGGACGTCGAAGGCTGGGGATAGGATGACTTCTTTGCCATTGATTTGAGCAGGGATGGTGTATAGTTTCCCAAGTTCGCCGTTCACAGGGCCGGTGAGATGGCTAGTGGAGAGATTCATTGCTTTTGTAGGATGCGACAGAACCGTATGAGTATTTGATTCACAGCAGATGAAACAGAAATAGCACGAAGAACTGATAAAGTTAGAGAGGAAATTCAGAGTGAGAGGGCGGTTGTTGTCTTGGCCTCGACAGAAAGAGGAAATTAAAAGAGGATAGGGGGATAGGAAGGATTCGAACTGCACCTTTACTCTTTTCACGGGGCTCTACGATTGTATAGGTTCGCAGGTGATAAGCTCCACAAGTGTCACTTACTCACAACAATAGGTTTATGGTCTTAACCCCCGGGGACAGCCATGAGGCTTACTGGTCTCCGTTTCACTGCCCTCGGGTTAGTGGACCACACCGAAGGATAGTGTACGTGTTTATACATACACCGTAGTTACACTATTTATGTGCTGCATTCGCTCAATTGTGTCGTTATCACTTTCAGTGTTATTTAACGATAATGTATCAAGTCTCTCAAAAGGGGCTTGGCGACCTGGGAAGGTCGTGACCAATTGATGCGTCATTGGCTGAAGAGCACATTTCCCCAGACTTGGCAAGTTTACTATATATGGCTTAGTTGCCCCCAACCCCGCACCCCCCACATTCCGACAAGTACCCTCTAAATTCCCTTATATTCCGCATCTCCTCCACAACTTCCCGGTCCTCACATCAAAATCCCTTCGCAGCCATGAACTCGACCGACGTAACAGATCCGGATCCCGATCCCGACAGTAATCAGCGAGGCCAGAATCAAGTCCAGCCCGGTCCGTTTAAGTGCAATGTCTGCCAACGGACATATGCCAGGATAGATCATCTTGCACGCCACTTCCGTTCCCGTAATGTGACTCTCGAGAGCCTCCGCTCCAGAAAAGATTTGGTGCTAACCACAACAACGTTTAGATACCTCCGAGAAACCATATCGATGTGAGGCTTGTTTCAAAACTTTCAACAGGCCGTATGTATTAAATATAAATATGTCATTCTTCTCTAATCAGTGCACGTATCTAATCTTCTCGTAGTGATTTATTAAAGAGACATGCACAAGCTCACACCGACAACCGCCAGCACCGCAAAACATGCCCGTCTCGCCCAGGACGTGTGTCGCATGCATGCAAGGCTTGCGCAGCTGCAAAGCTGAAATGTAAAGAAGAGAAACCTTGCCAAAGATGTGAAGCTAAGGGTGTCACTTGTGAGTATAACGAGACAGACGCGACAGTTAATGGATCGTGGCAACTATCTAGCAGCTCTCACGATACCATACAGCAAAATATTGGTAATCCTTCGTCTGAGGATACATTTGCTACTCAGTCTGCGAATGAACCAAGACAGCCTCAGGAGCATGATATCATGGATTATACTTCGGGCAGCAATCTAGTTCTTGGTGAATTGGCTTCGAGGGGAGGTGAACATGTTATAGATCCAGCCCAGAGCCACAATAGAGATGGTAAGCTTCCTCGTCTGAAGATAAAGTGTTACCTTTCTGATATATTTCCTAGACATGTCTATGTCATTGCCAATGGAAACCTCCCTATCATCAAACGCATTGATAGACTGTGACGAGAGCGAATTCGCCGATTTCTTACGAGAGGTCATGATGCCGACCACGTTAGAGCCATTCAATGGCCAACAACCCGTCTCTCAGGGAACCGACGCCCAGTCAATGGCCCTCAGAGATGTCTTATCTTTCGGCTTGGAATCTAATCTCGAACTCAACGATCAAGATTACACCCTCATGGACTTTTACCAAGGAAAGGCCGTCTACGATACAGCCTATGTCAAAGAGGTCATCGACATATCATCCTTGCAATATGAAATGCCCACACCACAATCAAACGCACCTACAGAAAAGGTCGCAGAGCGTCTTGCGCTAGGCATTGAGGCTTTTCGCAAATCACTCTGGTGCTGGACGCCCGTTCGCGCAGACACAGGATTAGTTGAGCAAGAAAATTTTACTCTACATCCTTCCGAGATGAGCAGTCCTGCAGCACATTTCGCGGAATCTATGCACGTCAATACTGAGAGTCTCAATGCCGCGGGTCGCGACAAGATCATATCTATGGTGCTAAGTACATGTTTGAGGTCATCATTCACAAAAGTCATGTCTAGCTTCCCGTCTGTAGAGTTACTGGATAACCTTCTGCATTGCTTCCTCGCATACCATATCATGCAGTCAGATACTTGGATCCACTCACCGACGTTAAAGATTGGGGGACAGAATGCAGAGCTATTAGGTAGCATTGTTTCAGCGGGTGCCGCTCTTTCTACATCTTTCACTATTCGCAAGCTAGGATTTGCAATCCATGAAGCTGTGAGGAGATCACTTCCGGTAGTTTGCGAGGAGAATAACTCCATGACGCGTGACCTTGGCCTGTTGCAAGCCCTGGCCCTGAATCTAGATGTTGGGCTTTGGAGCGGTAATAAACGAAAGATGGAATTGGCAGAAAGTCATGCACTGACGGTCATAACGATGTGTCGACGAGCAGGTCGATTTTTGAGATCGAACTACGTGGCTATTATTCCCTTGGAGGGTGATGAGGGTGAGGCTTTAGAGAATAAGTGGAGGAGTTGGGCGCAGCAGGAATCCTTTAAGCGGTAGCTATCCCAGCCTACATTACGCTCCAAACTAAATTTGCTAATATCTGACAGACTCGTCTTTCACCTCTTTATCCGTGATGCCCAAACCTCAATCTCGCTCATGAATCCCACCATAATCTCTTACGCCGAGCTCTCGCTCCCCTTACCGGAATCCCGCAACCTCTTCCTCGCCCGCACAGCTGCCGAGTGGAAATCAACCTACCTCACTCAAACTTCTTCCATCAACTCCAACGAGCGCATCCCATCCTTACAACAATGCCTCCATGACATATCTCCTTTAAACAGCCCCTCTGTCAAGGCAGCCATCGACTCTGCCCTATCTCATTCTATCATCGCTTACGGAATCTGGGGCCTAATCCTAGAATACCGCCAACTAAACTCGGTTGCAAAGGCATATCCATCAATACGCCTCTCCTCGAGCTTTTTAGTGCTTGGACACCGCCACCAAGAACTACGCGAGCTATTAGAGCCTTTCTCCGCCTCATTGCCCGAGCCGGGGCCAGGGCGAAAAAATCAATCAAGCATAGCACTCCAATCCAAACTGTTAACGGAGCTCCTCATCACCAATCTATACGTATCCTTCGATAGCCTACAAGTTTTCGCTGGCAGGGAAGGCGAAGAGGAAGCCCGACGCGTCTATCCCTCTCTCCAACAATGGGCTGCAAGCCGTGAAGCCCGAACCGCTGTGTTTCACGCCGGGCAGATCGTCCGCTATGCGAAGTTACTGAATAATAGAAGGGGTTTGCAAGGAGGATTGCGAGATTTCTTCGCCGTCGCGGTATACCACTCTGCGCTCACATTCTGGGCGTTTGGCGTCTTGAGTCTAAGGCCGAACGCCCAGCATGACCAAAATGAGTCTGAGCTACCACTCGTTGGAGGTGTAAATAGCGTAGACGAGGCTGGTGATAATTCTGGGGAAGAGCTTGTCCGGTTAGATGTGGAAGAGAGTTCATTTACGAAATCATTCATTGCGCTACAACGTGGGATACCGTGTTTTTTGGTCTCTGAGGCTGATGGGTGTACGTCAGAGGAAATCGCCATGTTGCGTGAGCCGGGGAGTGTCATGAACGCCATTGTTAAGATCTTGAGGGGCGTGGTTGGTGGAGACGAAGCGCCGCCTCCACCACTAGTGGAGAATTTAAGCCAGTTAATAAGGGAGCTGGGGGCTGCGGCGAGAGGTGTAATAGTTAAGTGATATAGATATGGTAATAAATAATATGCCACTTCTCATTCCACAACTAGAAACGAGACACGAAGTATGTTTCGACAGCGCTCGTACAAATCCTGTCACTTTCAGCAGCATAAAATTGGCGGCTTTTACAAGCACGAAAACTTGATTTTACGGCATTTAGCTCTCTATCCGATACCATGTACTAATTATAGAAGTATGCTCAGTGATACTACCCCATAAAACGATGTAGGAGAGATGAGCAGCCACAAGAATTCCGACAATAGACCCCCATACTTTGGGGGTAAGTACGGAATGTGGGGGAATGTGGCTAAACGGATGGTCGGCCCCACATAAATGTCTCGCCACATTATATTTCACTCAATAAAACGAGTCTCGGAATGTGGGCTGCAAGAATGTTGGGAAGCCGTTCTATTGATCTGCCCATTGTCTATGACTTCAGCTTACAAGCTGTCACTTTCAACCTCTTCTTTGATTATGTTGCGTCTTCGTATGCGTTATCGGTCTTTCAGTTTTAAAATATGGCATCTACAAACAAATTGACACCTGTCCATTTCTTCTCCCATGGTTCAACCATGATGCTTGGCGAGGAGTCTGCCTCTGCTGACTACTGGAAGAAATGCGGAGATGAAGCACTCGCAAATGGCATTGAGCACGTCGTCATTATGGGTGCTCACTGGGCAACAATTGGCGATGAAATTGAGATTGCGGCGAATCCCAAGCCGGAGAAATCACCAGTCGCTTACGTCCATCACGATAAATATGTCCCTTACGCCCTCAACCCCGATATCCCGATGTCGCACAGATGTCTAGATCTGCTTAAACAGTCGGGCTTCAAAGCAAAGCTGAACGAGAAATTCGACTGGATACACGATACATATTTGGTTCTCATCCGGATGTTTCCAGGGGGCTGTCCGCCAACAACTATTATATCCATGAACGCTCGTTATGATCCACACTTTCATGTGAAGGTCGGCTCCGCTTTGCGCCCCATGCGCAAGGAGAAAGTTCTGTTTGTTGGCTCTGGTGGTGCTGTGCACAATCTATATCGCAATTCATGGTTCCAGATGTTGCGCTTCCGTGGTACGTTATTAGTTTATCCGGGCGGGGAGCTATATTTTACTTATAAGAAACCGCACAGATAACTTCGCCATGCCTTCTCCACCCAGTAGTCTATTACTTGATTTTAGACAAGAGTTTGAAGACGCTATTACAAAGACATCAGGTCCTGAACTCCGGCGGGCTATGACGATGTTGATGAAAGTTCCCAAATATAGGGATGCTCACGCCACTGATGATCACTTTATGTCAGCCATGTTTGTTGCTGGGTTATGTGGCTCAGTTGAGGATAGAGGAACAGTAGCTGAGTTGGGAGCCGAGGACTGGGAACTACAAAATATGTGCAACAGCCAATATACGCTTGGGAAGTGGCCCTCAACTGGTAGGGTGGTAGCTGCTGTTTGATGAAGGATCCATTGGGTTAATTCGAGTTGATATGTACAGGTTTTAGGGGCATTTCTAAGTTTAAGCTATCATATTCATCATCGTTTTAATGCAAATCATGAAGCTGGAACATAGGAGTCGGACATCATACATAGTGACATGGTTTGAATCCCGCTGTTTCGTACGATATTATAAAATAAATAAAACCCGAAGTCTTTATAGAATAAGATAGATTGGTTGCGCGCCCTCAGATAACACATCCGTATGCAACTGCACATATGTTGTAGATGATTTTATTATTAAAACAGTACTCCTACATAATCACATCGAACTCCTAACTTTCTTCCCCACTGCCCATAGCCCCCACCCTGCCGCCGGCACCACAATGCTCAAGACAACACCCAACCCTAACAATATTCCCTGTTCAAAGAATCCAATATCATGCCCCTGCGATTGTCCCGTCCCAGGCAGTTTCCGCGTCGCTAATGATCGTAACTGCTTCACTTTCGTGGTTCCATTTGGGTTCCGGCCAGGAACAAGATGTTCATCAACTACCGACAGCTCGGTGGGTAGAGCATGAATGTATTGTGGACGCTGGATTGAAAACATTTCGGGGCTATATCGGTACTTGTACTCCATAGCGATCCCACATGGCGCAGCTGGCCCAACCAGGAGATTCACGGGTATTTGATTGATGACAGTGAGATGTGCCTTGAGGTGTTGGGCAAGAAATTTAGCTTCCGGAGGTTGTGCAAAGATATAAGCTGCGAGTAGATTTGACCTAATTACCAGTAAGTTGAGAGCTTTAAAGTTGGAGTTAATAGTGGTGTAGATATACCTCATCTCTTTGATAATGGCATCAACCATGCTGGTGCTTGTAACTATGGGCAGGTAGCAGCCGTGGATTTTTATTTCGGTCACTAGGCAGGTGCTTGAGTCATGTTAATCTTCAAATTCCAAAAATCTCGACGAGAAAACCAACCTATCCGTGACATGCGCTAGGATACAATCCGCAAAACGAAATGTTGACAATTGCTCTTTGGCAATAGCGTCTTCAAAGAACTTTTTTGTCTCGGCTTCAGCATTGCTTCTCGACCTCTTGGCTTTCACGCCAGAAACAAACATTTGGCTCGCATATTTTGAACATGTTGCAAAGAACTCATCCTTGACATACTCATTAACAATGACCAGGTCTGGGCTGTACGGAGAAGCGCCTTGAAATTTGAAGCGTGCTGTTACAATTGCCTTTGCTGCAGCTTCAATATCTGCTGTACGGTCTACAATAGCAATTGTTCGGTGCTTGTTTTGAGAGGAAAGCGAGTTAGCGATGGTTGTTGTTGTTGTTGCAGACGTTTGGTCGACGAGTAGACTTGATAAAAGAATTGACGGGTCCTCAATCAATTTTGCGGAAATAACGAAGGTGTCGGGATCTAACGCTTCTGGTAAGACCTCCTTCAGGATAGCATCAACTTTGAGAAGGGTATCAGGAAGCTACATAAATTAGGCACACGTCTTCAAGCATCAGGACTAACGAACCTCTATGACGACAACATTCCCCGCCGCTAAAGCCGCCGCCAATGGGCATACAATCGAATATAACCTTGTATGCGTAGTAGGGCGAATAATTACTAGACCATATCCTACCTGTCTCTGAGGGTTATCAATCCCTGTTGCAATCAAGTACTCGTCATTAATTGATTTTTCGAAGCCCAGGCCCTCGTAGAAATGCTTCACGGCATTCATGGAAAGATAATACTCTGTCTCAGCCTCGGCATTTGAGCTTTCAACTTGTGCATCTTCTGCAATCGAATTGCATATTAAATTTGCGCTATTGCAAAGAGTAGCATGCAAGCTTTGTAGTTGGTTTTGACGGTAGCGAACGTTCTCAGTACGGCGGTCAATAAGAGACTCCTGAAGGCGCTGGATGGGGTCCATTCTCGTGATTTCTAGAAAGTGTTTCGGTAGGTCTTTCCGGATAAACAATACTGCTTGCTTGTGTATTTAGACATTATATCAGAAAATTACGATCGGGGTGGCCAACCTGCTGTCGGGAGGACGCATCGGAATGTGGGGGATGGGCCGAGCCTAATTTCAAACACATGACACAAAGAACGACAGAACCTCCAGCTTCCAATATTATTCAATACATTAACGCAGCCCTCTTTCTTTTCTTATGGTTATCTCGGTATTAAAATCTCTAATATGTCGAATACAACTACGATAGCGAGAGCGACGACCGCTGAAATACAACATATTCTAACTGACTACGAGATCCATCTCACGGGATCCGAGAATGGCACAACAACAACTCAACCACCGATCCCGCGTCAAAATCAGCATTCGGCAGCCGAAAGTCCTCACAATTGGCCTAGCAATTATCGGAGGGTGCCTGATTATCGGCCTGTAAATCGAGAGTTGGATTACAGCGAGAGGCCGTTAGGAAACAATACTTTTGAGTTCCTATTTTTGAATGTTATGTTTACAGGAGTTGCCACTAACGCAGTAAGAATCAATTCTCTGTGTTTGAATTGAATCTGCTGACGATTTTAGGGTATTGCAAAATTATGGGGACAAACAGGAGGGAAAGTTTTCACGAGGGTGTTTCGCTACTCCATCGGCGGGGAATGGTGATGATAGTAAAGATCGTTGGGCGCAGAGCAGAAACATTTTACTATCTCCTAAGAGTCTAGAGGCGCAAATAATATGTATATGTTTTTTTTTGTATACATCTGTTGCTTGCTTGCGCTACGTGGTACGGCCAAACTCTGGCGCTGATACGAAAATGTTGCTTTGCATTGCCTAGCTTGGCTTACTTACTTACTTACATACGAAGGCAACACACGAAATAATGAAGTTTGTGGTCACTCATTTGCGTCTTCGCTTCTTGTGATGTCGGAATATTGAAATATCAAAGGGGGGAGATCTGATCATTGATCTACCCCCACTACCCCGCCAAGCTACCCCTTCCGAACAATTAATTCTCGGACTAGGTACGTCCTTTCACTAACATATGGCCGAGCTTATAGCTCTCGGTCGTGAAATCAGCCATCCCGTCTACTGTTGCTCTGTTACGGTGCTGCGGCGGAAAGTACTCCTTCTTCTTTTGTTGATTCTATGGGAGGAGCGAGATGGTTGCTGGTGAGATGGGGTTTACAGTTCCTAGTTTCGTCTGTGATCTTCGACTTTCCTCTTTTGCGGCTTGCGAGTTTGCGAGCGAAGGCGTGTGAGGATGAGCTTGAAAATGGTATAAAAGGAACGCGCCCGCTTTGAACTGAGAAACTATATAAAGATCAGATTCCAATGCGAAGCTGTGCTTATGTCCAATTGAGAGCTTCATAGTTTGTGAATCGGTCCTCACAGATCTAATTTAGTGTGCCGATCAAGATTGGGAAAGAGGGACAAGTAGAAAGACAGAGACTATTCATATGGAGCATTTTGCAAAGGTTAAGCTATCTATGGTTACTACTACTAAGCAGAATTGCTAAAGCCACAGTTAAGGTAGCACTAATGTTACAACCGTGAGCCTGTGGCCTAATTTAGAAGGGTTGTGGCCGCCTGAGGCAGCGAAAAAATCCCTCATCATGATTCCAGGGTGGTGGAGGTTATATTCAAACCAACATCGCATTCCTACTCCCCTCTTCTCTTAGGCCCATCATGTCTCCGCTCCTGGTGATACCAGGTTCACCACGCTTCAAACGGGAATGGCAGCGCCCAATCTGCCGATACCTTCGCAGTTTACACCAACCAACCTGGGGCTTCACCATCTTCCGCACCGTTTATACACCACAATCAGATGCCCAGTTTCCTTTGTTTCTAGCGAAAGTTGATGCTTATGTCGAATCTTCTATTGATTATGAGCTCAGTCCAAGGAATTTTGGGGTCCCTAGTCCTGAACCACCCTTTGACTCGGGTCCGAATGAAGAGATGAAGAGACGATACGCAAACGATGTTATAGAGAGCCCTGGCTTAGACGGTGCAAGTATAGATGACGTTAGAGCTGCATTCACAAAATGGTTAAAAGATAATGGGGTCGATCTCGAATTTCACCAACTCTATGCTCGACATCGAGTGTGTATCATGGTCGATGAGGCTGTTCTGAATTCTGTAGCAGCGGGACCAGAAGATCCAAATCAAAGCTATGGACTTGAATCTGTGTGGGTCAGGGTAGTCGAGTACTTAGCACCAGGGGAACAAGAGTGGCAAGGCTGGTTGAAAGTCGGATTAGACGCTCTATATTTTCTCTGGTTTGAGGTTTTTGCAGGTGAAGAGGTCGAAAGCATGTTCGAGGTTATGACGGCAGAGGGGGAGGATGTATTCACTGGCTGAGAAGTTGCAGCTCAACCCGTCTTAAATATATTTAAATCCCTAATCGTACTCTATTTGCTAAATTAGTGTTTGTTCGTTTGTGTTATTCACTGCGATTCCTACTAATATTCTTGCACTTAAATCATCGTCTCTTGTGTCACGTCTTTGAATGAATAGGTATTTTAGGATATTAATGAAGCATCTCGGTATATTGTCTTTTCTCTAAATTGCTTTGGTAAAATAAAAAAAATACAACAGTGGGTATTCGGTGGTGATCACCCACCCAACTACTAATATAATCCCATTTGACGTGATATAATCACTCTCACAAGGCTTCAAATCATCAAGGCTGTCAAAATACGGCATTTTGTTCTTCATGCATCATGTTAGACGCAATGAGCCTCCTTCAGATATTGGCATCGATTGATATCAACTTTCGTGCAATCGGCCTATATCCACAATATAACTATATGCAGCGGTTGTGCTGATCGCTTTAGTGTATAGACAATCATCATCTGTAAGGTATCTACATCTAGAACGCGAGCCTCATAATATATGCAAGCACTTTTGACGTGATTTACACAAATGGGGCAAGTCCCAAAATTTAAGCAGAGCCGTCTTGTTTACGCTCCAATCTTAAAACCCCTAGGCAAGAGAGTCTGGAATGTCCTAGTTGGATCGTACTTCCTCGAAATCGACAACAACTTCGCCTCGTTCGCCGCACCGTACCCGGGATAAACGGCCTGGAAGCCGGCGGCATCGCCCATGTAGTTGAAATGATCGTACAAGCCCGCGGCCTACGTCGCATTGTTGATCGCATAGGTTGTGCTTATCACCCGCGCCTCAACCGCTTCATCGTGCTCCGAGCCGAACCATTCGACGACCTCCGCGTACGCGAGGTATACGCCCTTCTTGGGATCGAGACCCAGAGCGTTGCCGCCAACGCCGTTTGCTGCGGAGGCGGCCATCCAGAGGGATCCAATGGGCTGCCAATCCAGTTGGATGACAGAGATAGCCGCTGGCGGGACGACCGCATAGAGGGAAGTCACCAATATCCAACAGGTTATACAAAGGGAGTCAACCCACAGGAGACGCTTACATGCCTTTAAACTCAGTTGTGACTTTCTTGGATAAGATGAAAAAAGTGAGATATTCCTTTACGGTTCTTTCCTTTACAAACATGAATTAATCTATTAACACTTCCTCGCAGGCGGTTGCATCAAATGCCTCTCCATTCATGACTCCATGTACATAGCATTCGCCCACAAGTTTCCAGCTTTGCCCTTGCGCACGCAAGACAAAAGGGTAATTTGCCCCTTTCAAAATGGCAATCTGGTCGCCAGGAGTAGCTTTGGCTGGCACTAACCCATAGTATCCCCTAGAAGTCATCGCAAACCGCCTCCTCTTGGTGTATTGAAGGCTTGACGATAGAAGAGCTTCAATCTCTCCTGTTTCCCGGTCATCTATTGGTATCAGATTAACCCTCTGTAGCTGTGAACCTTCTGCAGTTGACACAGTAAGGGAACCTTGAATCGTTTTCTTTGGAGTATGCTTTTTTGCTTCCTCCCATAGCTCCTGAAACCTTCCTTTCATGATATCATATTGAAGTTTCGGACAGCCAGCAAGTTGAGTCATAAAGAAGGCATCCATGGCTGTGCCTCCAGCGACGTAACTACCCCTCTCCTTCAATTCTGCAATTGTTTCCCAAGCATGAGCATTGCAGCAGCCTATACCCCACGCTTTGTCGATCAAACCCGAGGTTCTCGTAATCTGGTCAAGAAGAACGCCCTGGCTAGTTAAAGTTTTTCCGTTCACATATATGCTTGTACCGCAGCCACTGTCGCTTCCAGCGTGGTGATCGAAACGAATGCCTGAACAGTTTGGTACCCTAAAATTAATTGGCATATCTTCCCGGCTTGTCCAATCGGGCACCCATGAAGGCAGGCAGGGTATACTAGGGCCACATTGAGTGTAACTGAGTATATCAAGGTTATCGTCTCTCTGTATGTACGAGCTAGCGAGATTTGTATAGACCTCGACGACAGTCATATTATAGTCAACTTTGCAGCTCAGAGATAAGATGTCTTTCGATCCAGCAATTCCTAACAGCGCAAACACTTTATCCCGTGGATCAGTAGAGTCTTTTCGTCGATATTGGTCCAGGAGGCTTATCAGCGATGTGCTCTTCGACGCTCTTAGTTGTAGAACGGCCATGACCAACGCAGGGAATGCGCCAAGAGGTTGGTGAAGGTTCGCTTTCCGAACTTCGAGACAAGCGAATGTATACGCTGCTGCGAAATACTCTTCCCAGGATAGGCAGTATTGCCCCCAAAATAATGAAACGCTATTAGACGAGAGAGCAATTTCTTGAATTATCCAGATTCTTGAGAAGTATGGGCGCTGTTCCAATTGAATAAAAGGTTCAAACAAGCGTACTTGCTCATAAACTCGCAATATACTAGGATGCCTTAAAATACGGAGATCAAGACGAACTGGACGTGGTTTCCCTTGAAACGCTTCCTCAAATATCGCTAGGAGGTATGGGATAAGTTCGAAAGCTCTAGCAGTATTCGCGGTTTCTAGACCAAGCCAAACCAAGGTCTTCTTGGCCTGCTTGTAGATCTGCCCCATGATTCCGACTTGCTGCGATCGTTCTAAAACATTATATTGATTAATACAGATGGCATCAATCCAAAGAGTTCTAGGGTCTTCCTTGTCGCGCAGCTTGACTAAAGCGTCGTGAAGATTTCGTGTTACGTCGATATATTCTTTCCCAATATAAATACGAATGGTATTGGCAGTATCGCCCCAGCAATAGCTCAGAGCTTCGTAGCCTGGGTTGTCGCAGAGGTTCACGTTCACAATGCTGCCCTTGATCGGTTCGCCAGTTGCGCCGGGTAAGAGCTGAAGTAAGCGCGTCGAACCGTCATTATTGTCTTTGGCGAGGGGTAGGTATTGATATCGTACTGCGTCTTCCATAGTGAGCTACGAACGAGGTTAATGTATCCACGCTAGTGGAGAATCTTCGAGAAAGTTGAATTGGCGGCTGTAGTCTCCTTTATCTAGATGTAAAATGTGCGCCTTTTTAAGCATGGTTGCCTAATCCTCGGTATGCCCGAGGAACTGTGCCTTATACCACAAGCCAAAATATGCTTAGTTACTTATCTATCAACAAACGAAATTTAATAAGATGAAGGATATTATATATACTTTATAGTAGATTAACTTCATCTCCGGAACCCTTAATATATTACCCTCGAAGGCCAATTTTGGGGTTAGGTTGAGGCAGCTGCGAGAACTCGTAGCCCTAGATGAGATCTATTTTTAGATGATCAATTAGCGCTGATGTTTTATTAATGGTTTTTTCTTCCCTTAAGCTGTAGTAGAATGTGTTGTTGAGTTATGGTTTGCGTTTTGTTTTTATTTTGTTTTGTTTAGATGCTCAAGCCTTTTTCTATTTTAGGCAGTGTGCAGCGAATCGTGACTCGGCATGATTCGCCCCGAATCAGACTCGAATCATGATCTGGTTCGGGCTATTTCTTAATGATTCGAATCATGATTCGGCCAGTATTTGAATGATTCGAATACTTGCCAAGACATATAATATGTCCAAGCGTCTAGCTGTGAAGGCTTGTCGCCGTCCTTAATATATAGCTTTTTAGATTAACATTTAATACAATTAGTACAATCATTGTTATTATGAGTGATTCCGAGCTATATGATGTTCCTAAGGATCTTGATGATTATGTTGCCGATGAAGATAACAGTAATGCGAGTGTATTGTTAACGATGAGGATGTCGAAGATATAAGTCAAGACAAAGGTTAGGCATAGTCAAATATTTTTCGTAGTTTTCAATATTCCATACACTCTATTTCAGCCTCAAAGATTCGAATCATGACTCGAATCAGATTCGAGTCATGATTCGGCGAATACCTCAAAAATATGAATGATTCGGCGGATCGCCGAATAGTATTCGGGGGGTGATTCGCCGCACACTGATTTTAGGTGGTGGTGATACGACATTTATTCTCCATTTTATCGCAACAAGTATTATAATTGTCACCCCCATTTTTACTAATATTCACAACAATTCGCGCACCGAAGTGATCCATATACGAAATAAAAAGTCTCTAAAGCACCTGTTTGCTCATTTACTCATTCTCTACTTGCGACGTCGAAATACTGAAAGTGGGGAGATCGATCACCACATCTACCCCACAACCCCACCAAAGGAAAAGATCCGCTGTTTGTTGGAGATGGTGGGGGTAGTGGGGGGGTTGGAAGATTGGGGGAGAGAGAAGAAGTGAGAGGGGAAAGGGGGATGGATTGAGCGATGAGAAGGGGTAGGGGTGGCGATTGGTTGAGGTTTTTGAAGAGATGGATGGAGTATTCATGAGGCTGTTGGTGATGAGAGTGGAATGGAGTCTTTATAGAGTGTTGTCGAGTGTAGTCGTTATAGTGTTTTGCCCTAGTGTCTCCGGCAGTTGGACTCGACTCGACTAACGACGCTTGTACGGCTAGACTTGACTGTTGGTGTTTGTGAGTAGAGGAGCCAATAATCACACTATAACCTGCAATATAGTATCTCGACTATCTCGACTATCAATGCAGTCTATGCTAGACTCGACTCTCACAATCTTTAATTTATACTCTTTCCTGTACACTTTCTCGTACATATAGTGCATCCCATTGTACACTCCTCGTCTCTCACATAACACTTCATTTGTACACTGTCGTCTCTTACACACTACTACGTGGTCACTCGGCCTCACTACCGACCCGTGTTATAGTAGTCGAGTCTTGTATCCTGCATCGCCAAGCCAGTCAAGTCAAGGCCCAATCCTCACTTTTTACAATTTTATACCCATTCCCATGACATCACCCCTCCGTTAAGCCACACCGATTTGCCTCAATCAGCTCTATTTCTTACCCCCGACCTCCTCCCACCCCTCCCTCATCCCTCCCCCATCGCTCCCCCATCTCTCATCCTCACCCTCGCAACCACTAAAATCAAATATAATGACGTCACCACCAACAAGCCACACACCACACCTTACATCCTCTTCTCTCCCTCCATTTCCAAATGAAGCATCCACTCTCGCGTCTTGTTTCCCATAATCCCGCCGCTTTGTTCCCACTAATCCCAATTGATCAATACACGCCTCACAACTCCCCCACAATCCCCAAAACGGACCACTCTCGTTCATTCATGACGGTACGCTAAACCCCGTCTGGACGCCACCGTGGATAGCCGGGGTGAGTACCGGTCGGGATGCGGGGTCTCCACTTGGTGAGCTGGATCGCTGGGATCGCTTAGTCTTCCTCGCATGGCAAAGTCCTGCTTTGGTGCGTTTATCTTCCTAATTTCTTGTTGCTCAACTTTCACGCGCGCTTCTTGGCGCTGCCGAATGTCATTCGATTGCACGAGCAAGGGAAAGCGTGCGGGTCATGAGCAGTATACAAGTATACGACCTGAATATAACTGTGGTAGTACATCGATTTGCTGCTATTCTCTCACTTTATGTTATGTACCTACCCACCTCCGCCTAGGGATTCTAGAGTCCGCAGAGAGAAAAGAGTGTGATGCCCACTCTTTTCCCCTTCCTTCTCTGCCTCCAATTATTTCCCCAATTGCTCCTCGGGATGCCTTGTTACAGGCTATTCCTATCATCCCCTCCCGCCTTTATCTCCCCCCACATCCCTCCCTCCCTCCCTTTCCCTCCCATACCCTCCCGCACTTCCAATCACGTTCCTAGATGACTACAAGGCAATCACTACTATAGTACTATAGTAGTGCTACCATCTACAGAAGTCATAAAGTCACTACCAATGACTACCAATACTCACTCTACTACTTCCCCACATCACCACCTCCATCTCGCCCCATCAAGGATTCCCTCGTGATGATGTCAAAGGTACCAGAAGGCGTAAGAGACTCCCCCTCGACTATCCATAGAAAAACTGGAGATCGGATTGTCAACATATAACTTAGTGGGAACCCCACACCGCTAAGCAGTTTTACCTCTTTCTTTCTCTAATCATATATTTCCTTCCTTTGATAAATCTACTTAAACACATATACATAAATATATACTGTGGTTCCCCTCATTCCTATCAATTCCATCTTTCAACAAACAAATCCCCAATCCGCATGCCAACCATGGCGGACCTCAACATGGACGACCCCAACAACAAACTCACCACCATACCAATCGGCAGCAATGAGGTCGCCGTCCCCACACGCATCAACACCGGCGAGCCCTCCTCCAGCTCCTCCCCCGCCGACCCGTCCAGCCCTCGCCGCGACTCCGTAGTTAGCAAGCCCGATCAAGAAGAGGATGAAGATGAGAGACTAGCCGGCATCACCGACGAGAGGGAGCGCACGCGCCGCAGGCTAAATCTCAAACTTGCGAATCCGCTCGGCAATTTCCCTGTCGAGAAGGTCGGCGACATGGGCGAGCAGTACTGTCGCGAGTTTGCGCTGGGCGAGGCGGAGGATATTCGCGCCTTCAGACTCGGGGCTATGGTCGCTAAGGACCCGAATATGTTCCGCGAAGTCGAGGGACTAACTGAGGACGAGCGCAAGGTGTTTTCCGATGAGCTGGAGCACAAGTGGAGGCAGCCTAAGAAGCTGTATCTCGTGATTCTGCCTTGTTCGCTGTGTGCAGCTGTACAGGGAATGGGTAAGTTTTTTTCATTTTTAATTATGATACTTTTTAAGAGATCACGCGACTAACTCCCCCCAGACGAAACCGTTGTCAACGGCGCCCAAATCTTCTACAAACAGCACTTCGGCATCGGCGAGAAGGACCCCCGCTCCACCTGGCTTGTCGGCCTCCTCAACTCCGGCCCCTATCTCTGCTGCGCCTTCATCGGCTGCTGGCTCACCATCCCCTTCAACAACTGGTTCGGCCGCCGCGGCACCATCTTCCTAACCTGCTTCTTCTCCGCCACCGCCTGCTTCTGGCAAGCCTTTGCCAACACCTGGTGGCACATGTTCATCGCACGCTTCTTCCTCGGCTTCGGCATCGGTCCCAAATCGGCCACCGTGCCCATCTACGCTGCTGAGACGGCGCCGCCACCCATTCGTGGCGCGCTCATCATGTGCTGGCAGATGTTCACGGCGTTTGGTATCTTCGTCGGGTACGCGGCTGATCTGATGTTCTACGAAGTCAAAGACCCGTCCGGCGTCTCGGGGATGAACTGGCGTCTCATGATGGCCTCCGCTATGATCCCTGCCGTCGTAGTATGCTGCTTCGTCTTCATGTGTCCTGAGTCCCCGCGCTGGTACATCAGCCAGGGCCGGCACCACCAAGCCTGGACAGCAATCCAGCAACTCCGCTTCAACAAAGTACAAGCTGCGCGCGACCTGTTCTACATTCAATACCTCGTCAGCGCCGAGCTCGAGACCATCAACATGGGCAACAAAGCCAAGGAACTCATCGGCGTCCCGCGAAACCGCCGCGCCCTCCAGGCGTCTGAGTTGGTCATGTTCATGCAGCAATTCTGCGGTGTCAATATTATAGCCTACTACTCTTCGGAGATCTTCCTAGAGGCCAACCTCTCTGAACTCTCTGCCCTGGGCGCCTCAATGGGTTTCGGCGCTATAAATTTCTTATTCGCTCTCCCCGCTTTCTACACCATCGATACCTTTGGTCGCCGCAATCTGCTTCTCACTACTTTCCCATTAATGGCGCTGGCGCTGTTCTTCACGGGTTTCTCGTTCCTCATCCCTGAGACGTCGGTGGCGAGAATCGCGTGTATCGCCCTCGGGATTTACCTCTTCGGAATGGTCTACTCCCCTGGCGAGGGCCCGGTGCCCTTCACCTACTCCGCTGAGGCGTACCCTCTGTACATCCGCTCGCAGGGCATGTCCCTTGCCACAGCTACAACCTGGTTCTTCAACTTCGTCCTCTCCATCACCTGGCCCTCGCTCCTCGAAGCCTTCGGACCGACGGGGGCATTCTGCTGGTACGCAGCGTGGAACGTGATCGGGTTCTTCGGGGTGCTAATGCTTGTCCCTGAAACCAAGGGGAAGACGCTTGAGGAGCTGGATGTCGTGTTTGGGGTTAAGAGCAGGTTGTTTGCCAAGTATGGGCTGCAGCAGTTTGTGTACTTCTTGAAGGGAGGGAAGTTGAATAAGAGGGCCGAGAGGCCGGAGGAGCCGGTGGGGGAGCCGGATTATGATGAGAAAACCTTTCAGAGTGAGACAGAGAGGGTGCAGGATAGGAGGGTTTAGAGAGGGGTGGGGATAGAAAAGATAGAGGAGAGGCGTTGGATTTGATTGTTGTGGTGGATTTGGATTTGGATTTGAATTTGAATTTGAATTTATTTTTGGGATTAGATTGGAGTGGAATCTTGTATTTATATAGCCTATACTTGATACCCCCAAATTGACGCATATAACATAATAACCAGTGTTGCCCGAGTAGTACTCGCCGTGAGTACTACTCGCCGAGTACCCGAGTACTACTGTAGTCGGGTGATATTTTTGAGTACTCGGTGAGTCCCCGAGTACTACTCCGAGTACTACGAGTACTGCCAAGCCCTTAGCAAACAGGGCAGTGTTCACCAAATAGTATTCGAATAGTATTCGGGGTTTTCCCGAATACTCATAACCTGATAATATTCGGCGAATACTCATACGAAGTTATAGTACTCGTCGAATAGCACTCGCCGAATAGTAATAATAGGCTATAGAAAGAGTCTTTAAAAGTTAGTGGAACTAACACGTGACTGCAGCAGCAGTCACGTGTTAGCACATTTTATAATAACTGATTACTAATACTACTTTACCTGCTAATATTCGTTGCTTTGCGTTCTAGGCCGTGCACGCCAAGAACTCGAATAGTATTCGAGTCTTTGGCAAATACTCGCCGAATACCCCAAATTTTGCCCGAATACTACTCGTCGCCGAATACTATTCGAAAACCACAAATACTAATACTATTTTGGGGAACACTGAAACAGGGGTAATTAAGTGTAAAAAGAGTAAATAAATGGAGCCTTACCTTACTTACTTACGTTCTGAAACTAAATATTACCATCTACGCTTTAATATCTACTCTACTTAAGAAGTTAGGGTATTATATTATAAGGTAACGATGAGGATAGCAGTAATAATGTAAATAATGAGTTAGAATAGTATATATATAGTAATATTTCAATTTCTATTTATATGCGAGTAGTACTCGGGTATTCGAGTACCAGTACTCGAATACCGGTACTCGAGCTTCAATTTTGAGGCCGGTACTCGAGGTTCCTCCGAGTAGTACTCGGAGCGGTACTCGGGCAACACTGATAATAACTCACCACCATCTCGCCTACTTTCAGTGATTTTCAGTTCTTCAGCGCTTCTCAGTTTCTCATTGGTCTTCAGTGGCTTACAGTGTCTTTCATTTCTTGAATGGTTTTAAGTTTTTATCAGTCCTTCCGCGCTTTTCAATTCTCTAGTGGCTCTCAGTAGGTTTCAGTGTTTGTGTTTCTCGGTATTCCCCGGCGCCGCCTCCAGTCCCCTTTTCTAGACCGACCCCCCCCCCAAGCTGCGCCCAAACCACATAGCCATCGTCTATAAGTACACCCTACTCTCCTCCGCTCCATCAGTCTATCAAAAGACGAAAAAGACACGGCGAGGTATAATGGAGGCCACGTGGCTGGTGATGTGGCGCTGGGGTTATCTGGTGTGTTTAGGCTGCTGTCGTCGCTGTATGTGCTGTCGTTAAGGGCTGCTGTCACTGTCACCACTGCTCCTGTAGCCATTCCTATTGCTGTCCTCGCGCACTACCATCGCTATCCTACTCCTCAAGAATAACACATACATCACTACACCCGAACCCCTGGTTGCTTTCTTCGAATTCTTGATCTGATTGTTTGTCGTTATGTCAGCTGTGAGGCTTTCCATCTTTGCATTGTTAGATGAATTCTGCGGCTGTGATCGTACTCGAGTGGGACAAGAGGGATTATATAGAGGTAGCTATTCCTGATGTATCGTGTTGTCCGTGGTAGACTACACTGGAGGGTAGGGAGGAAGAGAGAGACTGGGTTAGGAGGGATTAGAGACTTGAGGGATATGAGAGCTACTCCTACCTTTCCCCTGACTGAAACCATCCATCCCCAAAGTGACGAAGGTGGGGGCTAGAGCGACGGGGGTAAGACAAAAAAGGAATGCAAAAATGCGTATATATAAACCCTCTCCCAGCCGATGAGAAGACGTTAGCGGCGACGTAAAGCAGCTCAAATCAGTTATGAGTGACTGCTGTGTGGTGCGTGGTGTGTGCTCACAGAATACGGGAGTTGCGCCGTGCTGCCTCAGGAAGTGGAAGGAAGGGTGAGATGCTGGTGTGTCATTGCTGTCGCCACCTTCTTGCTGTTGTCATAGAGTTCTGTCGTTGTTGGTAGGTGCTGTCACCACTCTTGTTACCGCGCGCACTCTCACCACCGATCAGCCTCTCTGGTCACTGAGAGCTGCATTTGCCGCGATATTCACGGCGTGATTATTGATAGTCGAGTGTAACCATTATGCGAGGCGGATGAGAGGGGTGGGTATGAGATGAAATTGGGATGAAAAGGGGTGTACGACGTGGAACGAGGTTGGGATGATATGAGATTGTACTTGATACCTTTCCCTTGATTTCTTCCCCCTATATTCCCAAGGCAATGGAATATATGAATAGAGAAATAGCGAGATGGAATTGGGAATAAAAAGCACTATATAACCCCTCTGTCCCATCGAGCCGTTGAGAGGAATCATGAGCATCGAAGATAGTGAGAACCTGTGTTCCAGTATTTGCTGTGCGGTGCGTGTCGGGGGGAAGGCGGTGGACAGGGACTGTGCTGTGTCGGGAGGGGGATGGACTCACGTTGTGCCACCGGGGGAAATGCTGTGGTCGCTGAGTTGCTGTGGTCGCGGTGCTCCTACAGCAGACGCTGGGAAGTAAATTTGATGGCACGGGGCCCTGTTGCTTAACAGAAATGCCTGGGAGTATATTTTCAAGCTCGGGGGCCTCCAGTGATTAGCCAAGACAGCTCGGCTGTGAAGTGATTCGGAGCTCCGCAACGAGGCCATCTTCGCACATATTCATTGCCTGTAACCCTGTTTGAGGTTAATATTGCTTTGCGATAACCAGAAACAACTTCACGCATGGCCGTCTCCATTACTCTGCCCGCTGACGGGGGTGACGGATGTGCCTGCCACTGATATAGTCAGCAAGTTTGGGGCCTGCAGTTATATGGAGAATATATAGGTCTGGTGTGACTCTCAATATGAAGCTAATGGAGGGTGACAGGGGTAAGCACCGTGGCTGTTCTCACAGATTGACAAAGAATTGAATTATTATACGCTGGTCGTCCATCATCCTGAAATTCTCCAGGGTACCGCCTTAAAATATTGTACAATGCAGCCCCCCCCAATGATCCAACAAGCATGTACATCACTCCTACCACGCCTATAAAGACAGTCCCAGCCCTCCCTGGCTTCCAATCGTCGGCATCGGCGTCGGTGTCGGCGTTAGCGTCCCTGTTCCCGTTGATGTCTTCGACGTCTCAGACTTAATCTTCCGCCGCCTTGCCTTCGTGCGCTGCTCCACATCCGCCCACTGCTGCTTCCAATTGATGATGCTCTGCGTCAACTCCTCGTCATCATTAAACTGCACATAGTCTAGCCCCTGAACTTCGAGCGCGCGCAGCTGGACACGCAAAAAGTTCAGCTCCAATTCCGTGCTCTCATAGTCTGCATCTCTGCGGTAGTGTTAGTGGTAGTAAGTAGAATAAGGAGGCCAAGGCGACGTACAACTCCGACACGTGATCCTCAAGTTCTATCACTCGCTGTGCTGCTTTTTCAGCCCGCACGACGAGAAGATCGTGGATATGCTGCTCACGTCAGATCAAGTCCTCACGAAACTTAGCAAACAACTAACCTCCGACTCCTCCCGCCTCTCCTTCAGCTCCGACACCGTCTTCGTAAGCTGAACCAGCAGCGCTTCCGCCTCCTCCGCCAACAACGCCGACTTTGTCGCCGATAGTCCACCCACAGGCCCAGCCCTTGACGGCGCCCTCGACACCCCGAACATCCTACCCGGACTCTTCATGCTTGGCGACAGCGGCTGCCAAAAACGCTCATCCTCCCCTCCCCTGCTAACACCGCTCCCCACGCTCGTAAACGACTGGAAACTCGACTGTTGCCGTAGGACGGGCGATTGCCGCAGAGTACGTTCCATGCTGTCTGCATCGCGGTGGAGGAGGGAGACATCACCATCGCGCAGGTCCTGCGATTGCAGGTGCGTGGCTAGGTCGAGGAGACGCTGGATGAGCACGTCTTTGCTGTCGTGGGTGATATCCTCAGTTGCGTCTCGGGAATGGAGGGCTTGGGTGGTGGGGGAGCGCAGTTGCTGGTGAAGGATGGGGAAGTCGCGGATACCGAGGAAGTGGAGGCTCATTGTTGCGGTTGTGCCTTGAAGGGGGGTTGGTGGGTGGCCGTGAGGCCCGGATGTCTGTTCTGTGAGTGTAGTATTTCAGTTACTACCACTTCCTCTCTGTGCAAGAGGTCTTCTGGTAAGTGCACGGCGCTGTAGAGCTTCTGGCCCCATAATATGCATATAAAGCTCAAGCGATTGATTCAATGGTCGACGGTGATGGTGACAATATTCACGGTTTGGATGCGGAAGATTTGATTAAACACTTCTGATACACTGAGAGGAGTACTTTTCTGGTAAAACAAAAACGATTATATTAATACTCATAAGCATTGCGAGTGCTGGCTCGTGCAATATCAGGGCAAGTGCATCCGGTGCACATTTGATGTTGTTGATAAAGGCAATGCCAAGAGTCGGGGTCCATATAACAAACATCTCCTCGCCGTCGGTGAAACTATTACCCGCAATCTTATCCAAAAGTTCACCCACCACAGACTGACAGCTGTGAGATGCGTTGGCGTAACATCAAGACATTGAAGTGTGATCAGGAGATCTTGTGAATCATCCGTACCGTCCCGAGTATTCCGATTGTCAAAGCGGCAAAAATAACACTTTATATCACAAAATACACAAAATAAGCAAAATGGCAGCAGGGGTACGTTGGTTGTGATTGTGAGTCAAGACGAGTAACTGACAACTCAATAGGAAGATCTCCAACCTTCCCTGGAGGTTATTCGGGATGTGCTCGCAGCTCCCACGAAGGCTTCGCAAGCGCCTAACCTAGTCCCGGTATATGCCCAAATCTCCTCCGACCTCATCACTCCCTCCACCGCATATCTTAAGATCTCAGCGAGATCGGAGTCCGACTACTCGTTTCTGTTCGAGAGCGCAGCCGCTGAGCTTCTCGGACGATACAGCTTTGTGGGTGCGGGCCCGAAGAAGATCTTAAAAACCGGAGAAGGCCATGGTCCGTCAGTCGACCCATTGCCAGCACTGGAGGAGGAGCTCGCGAAGTACACAGTTGCCCATATTCCGGGACTTGTGTTACCACCATTGACTGGAGGAGCAATTGGTTATGTGGGCTATGACTGTGTTCGTTACTTCGAGCCCAAGACCGCGAGGGATATGGAGGATGTTCTAAAAGTGCCGGAATCATTGTTTATGTTCTTCGACACCATCATCGCCTTTGACCGCTTCTACGGCGTCATCAAAGTCATTACCTTCCTGCACGTTCCCGACGACCTCTCAAAGCTCGAAGCAGAGTACGAGAAGTGCCAAAAAACTATCGCCGAGCTCATCGACGTCCTCCAATCCTCAGAAACCCCACTACCCCACCAAGCACCGATCGTGCTCGACCAAAAATACACCTCCAACGTCGGCCAAGCCGGCTACGAATCCCACGTAACCACCCTCAAAAAACACATCCTCAAAGGCGACATCATCCAAGCCGTGCCCTCCCAGCGCTTCGCTCGCCCCACCACCCTCCACCCCTTCAATATCTACCGCCACCTGCGCACCGTGAACCCGTCTCCCTACCTCTTCTACATCTCTTGCGCCGAGTTCCAGATTGTCGGCGCCTCGCCCGAGCTGCTCGTCAAATCCGAGCTCGGCCGCGTTATTACCCATCCCATCGCGGGCACTGTCAAGCGCGGTAAGACCGTCACCGAGGACGAGGCCCTTGCCAACGAGCTGCGCGAGTCTCTCAAAGACCGCGCAGAACACGTCATGTTGGTTGACCTCGCCCGCAACGACATCAACCGCGTGTGCGACCCCCTCACCACCCGCGTTGACCGCCTCATGGCCGTCGAGAAGTTCAGCCACGTCCAGCATCTGGTCTCGCAGGTGTCAGGTGTTCTGCGCCCTGATAAGTCCCGCTTCGATGCTTTCCGTAGCATTTTCCCTGCCGGGACGGTGAGCGGCGCGCCAAAGGTGATGGCTATGGAGCTTATTGCCGAGCTGGAGAAGGAGAAGCGTGGTGTATATGCTGGTGCTGTTGGGTATTTCGGATACGGCACCTTGGATGCACAGGGGAATGAGGTTGAGGGCGCGATGGATACGTGTATTGCGCTGCGCACTATGCTTGTCAAGGACCAAGTTGCGTATCTTCAGGCTGGTGAGTTATTTTCTCTCCCATATTTAATATTTTCATTTATACTAACCTTACAGGCGGTGGCATCGTCTTCGACTCCGACCCGTACGACGAGTGGGTAGAGACCATGAACAAGCTCGGCGCGAGCATGCAGACCATCTCCTCCGGAGAGGACCTCTACGCACGCAGCCAAGATAAGGTTGCCGAGAAGGAAGCTCTCGAGGTGGAGAAGGCAAAAAGCTCCGGGGCCCATATTGACTTGGCACTCTGAGTAGCTTCTTTGGATAGCAATAATATTATTATGCCTCATGAAGGATAGCTTTTTGGTAGCAGTGTCCCATCGATCGCGCTGCAAATCTGCAAATCTGTAAATTTTGAAAATTCTTTGTCCAATTCTATGATTGTATTTCGCCCTCTCTCCATTCTCCTCCCCACACGTCAAAATGCTTGGCAGCAGCCGCAGAAGAAGCCAAAGCAAATCCCTCCCCGGCCAAAAGAAGCATTTCACAATATTCTGCTCTGATAGCCCTTCGTCTCCCCTCTAAAGCCCCCCCATCACCCCACAAAACCATAAAACCAAGCCTAGAACGTCCCCTCGCCATCCTCCCCCACAAATCCTTCCCCCCTCAACACCTTCCCCCTCTCCTTCTCCCTTCTCTCCCTCACATTCCTCTCCTCCTTAACCCTCGCTTGCACCTCCTCCACATCTCCCCTCTCAAAGCCCACTGGCACATCATCATCCTTATCAAGGTCCACCTCGCCCAGCAACAACACATTTTCACCTCTCACCAGAAAGGTCCCTTGTGGCACGTCCGCAAACTGCAGTGGCGGTGAGTGCGTGAAGAGGCGCTCGGATGTGGATTGGAGGACTAGGTTTGCTGGGGAATGTTAGTACATAGGGGCTTTAAGGATGACGCATGGGAGCTCACCGAACTGGTCCCAGCTTCTCAACACGCCAATTAGCTTCCTTCCGTCGCGGAGAGCGACCATAAGTTTCTCTGTAGACACACACGCATTAGCCTCTCTTCTTTTTCCCATTCCACCCCCTTCTTTGCTTTCCCTCTCCGCCGCTTTATCTTCACCCTCAAACGCGCCCCAACCAGCCATCCTCTCTCCCCTGAAGCCACCAACGCAGGTGTGACTCACTATCAGTTAAATCCAGCAACTGCGCAGCCGTCGTAAACATCTGCGGCGGCAACTGCTGCGGCGCCTGCTGGGCATGCATCGCCTGACCCAGCGCCGGCGGAGCTGGGCCGCCCTGTCCCCCAGCCCCAGCGCGCTGCTCGTCGAGACTCAGCGCCTCAAGCGGCGGCGGGGGGTGTGCTTGCGCGTGCGCCATGGTAGGTGTACTTTTGTTCGGTTTGGAGGGGATTATCGGGTCTGCCAATCCATTGCATGGGGGGTTGTGGTTGGTGGTAGTTTGTTTGGAGGTCGAGAACTGGACTGGGATGTGAGGTTGGTGGGGAGGCAGGTCGTGTGTGGTGGGCGTTATCAGCACGTGGTTTGGGGATATGGGAAGGGAGAAGCTTTCCCCCAAAACGTCCAATTCCCCCAATTTAAGGTTTCAACACTCCTAATGATCCTTAAACGTCAACCACTCCCGCTCAAAACAACTCTTTGACACCTTGTCATACGTGCAGCATCATTGCCGCATAGTGTCTGAACAAAGAGCTAGCTGTTTACTCAGCCAGCACCACTACCTGGGAAGCCACGTTGGGCTCGTATCCGCAACACAGAAATCAAGCGCATAGCACGTCAGCTGGCGACAACAATCTTCGACACCCACCCATCTTCACTCTAGGAGAGCACGACTGCCACTCGTTTCGGTCGCGCTTTCCTCGTTGTCTAGTGTCTGGATACCTTCCAAATAGTTCTTATCAAGACAATGCACTTTGCCTTTCCCCCAAGGAAACCCTCAGCGCATTCGACAATGTTCACCGCCCGCGCATCAAAGGCGCCGCTATTCCGACGGAGTCGGATACAATTCCTTGTGCTATGTGCATTAGGGGTTAGCACTCTACTCTTTATCATCGCGAAGATTTTAGGCTTTGGGGGTGGTGCCCCCCCTGGAACTCCCCCGGTCGTGATCATCACGGTTATAGACCCCGGGTCACAGAGCAAACAATATATCGCCGATATCAAGGAGAATCGTGAACAATACGCGAAGAAGCATGGTAATTCTCACTGGCGTGGACAGTATTAGGACAAGGGGCTGACTGCTTTCTAGGATATGCGACTTTTTTCCCAACCGTCAACGACTACCCGCTTGGCGATTCGCCTGTGTCATGGTCGAAACTCCCCGCGATGCGCCACGCCCTCACTAACTTCCCATACACGGAGTACTACTGGTTCCTTGATCAGAATGCGCTCATCATGAACCCTAACCTCAAGATCGAAACGCATATTATGAACCCCAAACGAATGGACGCCCTCATGATCAAAGACCAGTCCATCGTGCCGCCAGACAGTGTCATCAAGACATTCAAGCACCTAAAGGGCCAACAAATACATTTCTCTATCACGCAGGACAAAGATGGTCTGGCGCCAGGAAGCTTTATTGTTCGCAACGGAGACTGGTCAAAGTTCCTTCTGGATACGTGGTTCGATCCGCTATATCGCTCCTACAATTTCCAAAAGGCAGAGAGACACGCCTTGGTATGTTTTAACTGTCAAGCAAGGCAAGACGATGGCTAATAAATCCCAGGAACACATCGTCCAATGGCACCCAACCATCCTGTCCAGGCTCGGCATAGTCCCGCAGCACATTATGAATTCGTACAGCAGAGCCCCCACAGCCACAACTGGGAAGACAGAAGTATACAAGGAGGGAGATTTTGTCGTCAACTTCGCTGGTTGCGATACTACCACTCAACCGAAATGCGAGGACGAGGCGAAGCCCTTTTCCAAGAAATGGCGACAAGCTTTCAGTTCGTAGCGATGGCGGCCCGAAGCCGCAGGTCGGCTGTAATCAAGAGCGACCGGAGCATACGAGTGAGTCCAAGAGACTCTAATGAGCGATGATAAGAGTACGGTGGGCGTTAAGGGGCGTTGAAGACGGCATTGAATCATTTCATGTCCTTGCATTTCACACTGGGGCCACGTCAAGAATCAGTCAGTACGGGGATTGTGCCATTGGGGCGCTATTTCAAATTTCTTGTATATCATTAAACGCATTTCTGTGGGAGTAGGACAGAGCTGTCGGAGTCAAGTGATAGATACGTTTGTAGGGTAGGGTATATATAATGCTGGCCTCCTTTTTTGGGGCGCTTAACTTTATTTTGTGCCATTAGTGTGACTGAGTGGTAGTAGGAGTAGCTGTCGATATTCTTGGATGGAAAAGATCATCTAATTTGACTGCGCTGATCTTACGGTTATCTATATACAAGAATGTTTGGCGCGTGGTGGCCGGATTTACGTGGTTTAATTCACAAGCTGGGTATGGTATTTCACATTGGAAGGCACGGTTTTGCGATGTCGAGGTGAGTTGTTACAATTGTTAGGGCTATAAATGATTTTTTTATCTGCCGTTTTCCTTTCATGTCGCCCTGCGCCAATGCATGCATCCATTCTTCCGTCTTTCTCTTTCTCTGCCCATAAATCGCAGTTTAAACACCACTGCCCCACCTACTCCCAGTTCTATGAATCCGGCCAGAATGGTCTCTGGCCCTGGAAAGTCTTTATAGCAATAAAACAGAATATGCCCAACAACGCCGTCGCCAATGCTTCAAATAATAGTCTTGCGCGTAATGCCCGTTCAGCCTTTCCTCGCAGAGGCGGGTACAAAGGCAGCGAGTCAGTGTCTTTGCCATACATGATGTATAGCTCTTCGCCAGCGTCCAGAAGACACCGGCAGGCGCAAGACAGTTTTAAAGTGTACAGCAAACAGCCACCCCCGTAAAATCAGTAGGTGGAAAATAAAACAGCACGCAACGCGCAAAATGAGGCCCGAGGGCGAGGCAATCGTAGAGGCCCCTAATAGAGCCATAACGAGAGCCATCACAGGTGTACCCCCGGCATCTCCAGCCCATGTCCCACGTGTCCTGATGTCCGCCCGCAAGCTGCAGAGGACACAGGGGAAGCTAAAGATGCCAGGTCCCCCTGCTACCGCTTGACGGTGGAGCGCTTGATGGCTTCGACGAGCTCCGGGCGAGGCTTGAGGGCTTCGAGGGCGTCGGGGTAGCTGAACCACTTGCGACTGCGCTTATGGCTCTCTGGCCAGACGCTCTTCTCCTCGGTAACGGTGGCTTCGTAGAACTGGTATAGGGCCTTGGGCGCGTTCTTTGAGATCTGCTTAGCCGTGCGGGTCTCGGTGATCTTGCCCAGGTCGTAGTCCACCTTGCACACTATGCCGGCCTCCTCCCATGCCTCGCGCTCCGCCGCCTCGATGCACTCCTCGTCCGTCTCCCAGCCGCCTTTGGGGAGCACCCACTCGGCCCGCCGCGTCGACTGGATCAGCAGGATGAAGGTCTTCTCTTTGTTCGTGGGCACGATGCCAGCGACGAGGCGCTCGCCATTGTCGCTGTAGCCTGCGAAAACAAAAATCCGTCAGCATGATGAACTATGAAGACTCATATAGAATCGCCAGCTCCCCAGCTAAGCCTGAGCTCGTTTTGTAGATGAGGCGGTGGCCGCGGGGCATATTGTGGTTTGGGGTTGTGCACACGACCAGAACAGCGGTGTTCGGCGCACCACGCAACCCACCACAAATTATTTGGCGACTCTCTCGCGCTCATGCAGGAAGGGGCAGTTGGGACTCACGCTGCTTGTTTCTTCCGACGCGCGACTCCATGGAGCGACTTTGCGCCATGGGGCGGATGGAGAGTGAGAGCGACACCGCGCTGGTGCTGCTGGGGCGGCGGTGTGTCGATGGGCGAGAGGACGTTTGCCCCAAGAGCGTTTTCGCAGGCAGTGCGGGCAGTTTTGGGGGGGGGGCGTGCGGGCGGTGCGGTTTGGTCGGGTTTCCCAGGCTTTTAGTGTAGCGACATTGGTGAGCTAAAGTGTGGTAACGAGGGGCGAGCCGGCGGTTCGAGAAAGGACCACCACGAGGGGAAAAGTTGGAGCTGAGGAGAGCTCCGGGGAGTTGGAATTGGCTTCGAGGGGGACGGGATGAATGGTATAAATGGAGGTGGTAGAGTAAGATAATATGAGCAGGTGGAATTTCGTAATTTCGAATTTTGGGGGCGTGGCGGTGATAATAATTTTTGGGGAGTACTTGAGTATCGTGGGATGCGATGTGATAGGCAACCAACCAACAAAAAGTCTCTCTGGCGTACCCGGCTTTCGAGACACAAATCCGGTTCCTATGATGCAATGAAAGGAACTCGGTCGTTTTAAAGTGATTATGGCGATCCAACAAAGATAAACCTAAGGATAGGTATTATTGAGAATAGTGAGAGTATTGAGAATATTGAGGGTGCGGTGAGTATTGGAATTATTGAAATTCGAAGTGGTAAGCCCGGAGGGGGGCGGGGGTCTTGATAATTGACAGAGGGGCGAGTGAACAAGCGGTCTTCTTTGGTTGTCAGTCTTCATGCCTGCCTGCCCGCGTGCTCTCCTCGTGTACAAGTCTAGAATAAAAATAAAATAAGTCCCCCAAAAAATACAGCGGCACTCTAGTCCCAAGTGAGGCTGAGTGGGGATGACGGTGTTGGTGTGTAGGTAGGGGGAAAAGGGTACTTTATTTAATGATGAGTACTGTTGTTGGTGCCTTTATGAGAAAAAACTCAGGAACAGGGAAGAAAGGGGAGAAGTTTCTCGTCGGCGAAGGGATACGGGACATTCATCTATATAGACAATTCTCCAACCCCAAAAAATTTACATGCCCATGTTAAACCATGACCAGCTTCCCCACCATCTGCGGCCCAACGAAGACCACGCCTCGCGACGCCTTCTGGGGGGAAGCAAAATAAGAAAAAAAAGGAAATATATCCTGACCAGCGAACCAGCAAAACCCGGCCTGCAGGCTTCTATACATGACGCCTGATGAGTGAAGGAAATTCCGAGCTTGCCCGGAGCTGATGCTAGATTTCCTATTGTGGAACACTGGATGACTCCCCTGGAGCAGCTAGGAGCGTGGAGGGACGTGGAGGGACGTGGAGGGGCGTGGAGGGCCGTGTAAGGGCGTGGGATTAGAAAGACATGCTGGCATGAGCGGGAGGTACGAGGAGGTATCACGGGCGAGGGAGAACCCATCATAATGGGATTATTGGGGATTATTGGACTGTTCGGTGTTTTGTCTAGCCTCGTCTTTGGAGCGGCGATTTGTCGCCGGTGGTGGGGGATGTGTGGGGGGGGAAGGGACGAGTGAGGGGGGGAGGGGGTGAAAACCGTACGATGATATGCAGTGTCAGTTGAGAAGGCATGGAAGGGCTGGAGGGCTTGCATCTTGCATCCTGAATTGCCGTCCATCAATGGCCATCGCAGGCTGAAGGCAGAAGCTGATGATCAAGGCAGGAAGGAGCAGGTCTGAGTATGACTCGTAGGTTGTTGTCAATATGATCGGTATGGTCGGTATGGTCAGCATTGTCAGACAGGAGAGTCTGAGAGTCGGTAGACCCATCTAGCACCTCTTACCAGCTACTAACACTACTCTACTCTTAGCTACCCATCTACCATCCTCGGGCGTCCCCGGCTGTCCCATTTTCTTTTTTGTGGCCATCACCAGTTCCAGTTCTAGAAAGTACGAGTATCATATCACCACATTAGCACATCAGCATATCAGGGACCGGCGCCGGATTTCTTCTGCTGCTTCCACTTTCCACTTCTACCCCACTATGACATGTATTGGGAAGGCCGGCAAGGCACTGTGCAACCTTACACTGCATGAAAAGTACTATACAGCCGCATTTGCCTCCTACTTTAGACACTTTAGTCCGCCAGCAAAGACAATATTTGGCGTTAATATAACAGTAGTCCAGGATCATGCATTAAGAAATCGAGAGACTAACGTACAGTTACAGTAGTTAGTCGTATTTTGCTTTGCCTCAAAGATCCTTTCGTCTAGAATACTGTGGTTTCATTTGCCTTGCTTGTGTCGCCTCAGCCGAACTCGCCGCGTCGGGAGGCTCTCGTCGACCATCTTTTTGTGTTTTGTGTGATATCAGCCTGTGTACCACCAACCACATACCTCACCAGCTCATCAGCTCATCATCCACCGCGCTCTCGGCGCGTCGACGATAATTGTTCACCTCACGGAAGCAAGCTTACCCATATCACACACCTGACACAAAGACGCCGTACGACGACGACCACGACGGACTGCGTGGTCGCCAGCGAAGCCAGTGGACCTCGTACCATTACTCGTACTGCGCTGCCGCACTGTACTCGCTGTACTGTACGCGCTGTACCGTGCTGTACTCTACTAAAACCACTTACACCACTCTACCACCTTCTACCTACATTACCCGCACGGCGAGTCCGGCACAGCTGTGGATCCAAGCAAAAAACAATGTCCTCGCCGACAAACTCCAACTCCAGCACCACCACCATCGTGCCCGACGCCGTCCTCGGCCCCATAGGTCAGCCTCTCCAAACCCTAATTCCGCCCCCTGACATGCGCTCTCCTCCATTCATTCCAGAACGTGGGCACATCCCTTGGATGACGTCCGTCCTCCCACCCTCGCATATCCCGCGGGGCCTGTCGCCGTAGCGGCATGCACGCCGCACTTTCAGGATGGCCTGGTGCTGTCGGTGCTGGGTTGCTGGCTACAGTGGCCCCCGCGCTTCGGGTGCAGGTGATGATCTGCTGCATTTTTTGGCCCCTAGGGGGGGAGAACCGTGGGAGGCGTGGGTGGCGGAACCCCCACGCTGGGAGTGGGAGTCCTACGCTGGAGAATGCTGGTCCAGAACACGTCAGAGGTTCTGTGCCGGCGAGGGGCAGTCACGAGGAGAGTCACGAGATCTAACAAGGATTCTGAATTGAGCTTGCTGCTTGATGAATTATTGCTGATAGGAGACGTCATGTAGGCTACCACGCACATTCATGCGGATACTGTAAGAGCAAGGCCGAGCGTAGGTCTTCGAGTCGCGGGTCTTCAGGAAGTAAGCATTCATCTCTATTCATCTCTGTTTTCGACGTCAGGTTCTCATAGTCATTTCTCATTGGGGAATCTCTCCTCAGTTTTTCACGGTCAGATTCTTATTGGTTTCATTTTCCTACATGCTTCTCTCGCTGTGAAGGAAGCAAAACTCATTCTTCTGAATAGGCCCTTCCTACTACGCCTCCTCCAAGTACCTAACCCCCAAGTTCTATGAAGACTTAATATGTAGAGGCTGGAGGCGGTCAGGGACCCTCCTCTACAAACCTGACCTCAGGAACGCATGTTGTCCCCATTACACCCTCCGGCTGGATGCACCCGCATTCAAAGCCACCAAGGACCAGAGGCAGGCCCAGAACCGCTTCAACCACTACATACTCGGCGATGAATACATCAAAGAGACGGCAAAACTGCATCCAAAATCCAAAGCCGAAGCAGCAAGATACAAGCAGACCTTTGATCTCTGCGAACGTGTCCACGAGAGCGAGCTCTCTTATCTCCAAGAGCCAACAAAGCCCGCCCACGAATTCGCAGTCACACTGGACCCAGACACTTTCACAGAGGAGAAATACCTCCTCTACGAGAACTACCAGCGTATCGTCCACAAAGAGGGTCCAGATGACATCTCTCGCCACGGCTTCCGCAACTTTCTCTGCTCCTCGAAGATAAAGCGCAGCACAACGATTGTTGATGGTAAAGAGAAGAAACTAGGCTCCTACCACCAATGCTACCGCCTTGATGGGCGCCTCGTCGCCATCGGTGTTCTTGATCTTCTTCCCAACGCCATCAGCGCGGTCTACTTCATGTACCATGAGGACCTTCACACTTGGAGCCCTGGTAAATTGAGCGCGCTACGCGAGACGGCTTTAGCCATCGAACAGGGGTGTAGATGGTATATGATGGGATTTTACATCCACGGCTGCACCAAGATGAAGTATAAAGCAGACTATCACCCACAGTACATCCTAGACCCAGAGAAGTACACGTGGGACCTCCTCGATGACGATCTCAAGCTACGCATGGACGCACGGCGCTACGTCTCTCTCTCGTCTGAGAAAGCACGGGGTATCCCCGCCCCAACTAAAGAAGAGGCCGAGGCCGCCGCTGCTTCAAGGTCCGTTCCTACCCCGTCTTCCCACCTCCAACCCCTAACATCCCACAGATCCCCGCCACCCACCAACGACGGCGACGACCTCAACCTCCTTTCCCAAAACATGCCCGGTGCCCTCACAGCCGACGAGCTCGAAGCCTTCGACCTCGGTTCCCTCCTGCGTCCTTATGGGCGGGGCGCGGTCATAAGGTTCAGCGATATAGATGGCTGGGAGGGGTACCCGGAGCCTGGGGATGGGAGGACGGATGGGGAGCCGGTCATTAAGCAGGCGCTAGGGGATTTGGTGGCGGTTGTGGGGACGGAGTTGGCGGGGAGGTTGGTGGTGGACTTTGCGCAGAGGTAGGGTGGGGGGAAAGGGGGAGGGTAAAAGGGGCGTATCTGGGGTAATGTTGGGTATGGGTTGGTTATTATACCACGTCGTGTTTTGTGTGAGCCATGATTACTCTCTATAGGAACTTGAAGTTACAGATATGGAAGGAACGATTACCAAGCAAGTATCAGTCGCAGTTTCCCTTGAGTTTTTCACAGTGATATATATGGAAGGAATGATTATCAAGCAATGCTGGGTCGCAGCGTCCTCGGTGGGTTTGAGTTATAGATAGGGAAGGTATGATTATCAAGCAAACCTCAGTCGCAACTTCCCCGAGACTTTTGAAATATTTATATATGGAAGGAATGATTATCAAGCAAGCTTCAATCGCACCTTCCTCAGGATCTTCAAGGGATAAATATGGAAGGTATGATTATCAAGCGCTTCAGTCGCGGCTTCTCTAGAACGTCAAAATTAGACATCGGAAAGAACGATTATTAAGCAAACTTTGGTCGTAGCTTCCGATATGTTCATAAACTTGAGGATATACTTGGCTTGTGAGAATGATATCTATGGTCTCGTGCCAATTTTCTGGTAACTATTATTTGGGCTCTATTCTCTGGTCTCTATTCTCTGTTCTCTATTCTCTGGTAACTATTCTCTGGTAGGTTTTACCATTGAAGCGGCCTTTACGCCAATTTTGCATACTGTACACTTTTCAGATGAAATGAATATTAACTCAGAGCACACTTAATTTGTTTAGAGGCCCTTCTTGCAATCATCCCAAAAAGCTATACCTCATCCTAGAGTCTTGGCATAAACTTTGCCAATCCCTGCTGTAAATATGATATCGATCGCATCTCAACCTCAGCCTTGCGCTAAAAGGCTGCACCACACTAACGAAATAAAGTCCCCAAACAGCCCTTCAACACCTCCTACCCCTCCACCACCACCACCCCAAACGCGTCAATCCGCACACCCTCTCTCTCACCAGCGCACACATCCTCTCATCGCGCGCCCTACCCCCGCGCAAACCGCCACCATGGCACCAACCTCCACACAACTCCTCCTCCTCTCCCCCGCCGAGCTCTCCTACCTCCACACCTCCCTCTCCCTGCACCCCCCCCTCCGCCCCGACTCGCGCACCGCAACCCAATTCCGCCCCCTCGCCGCGGAGACCGACATCCTGCCCTCCACCAACGGATCCGCACGCATCTGCTTCGCGGACGGCACCGAGGCCATCGTCGGGATCAAAGCGGAAGTCGAGCGCACGGCGCAGCAGCCAGGCGCGGGCGAGGGATTCGTGGATGTGGATGAGGAGGATGAGGAGGGGAGGGGGGGGAAGAAGGGGGGGGATAATAAGTGGGTGGAGCTGAGTATTGATATCCCGGGCTTTAGGGATGATGATGCGATGCCTGTTGTGCTGAGTTCGATTCTGGCGGAGGCGTTGTTGGCGGATGGGTCGTTCACGCCGAGGTTGTGGATTAATCGGAGGTTTCATTGGAAGCTTTATATCGACGTTCGTACCCCAAAGTCTCCCCATATTTGAAGACCGAGCGCGCTAACACCCCACAGATCCTCCTCCTCTCCCCACCCCTCTCCTACCCCCTCCCCCTCCTCTCCCTAACCACCTACCTCGCCCTCCTCTCCACCCGCCTCCCAGCCCTAAAATCCGAGCGCGACGAAGACCCCCTCTTCAACGACGACTGGGACGCCGCCGTCCCTCTCTACCCTCGCCACACCAGCACCTCCCGTCCACCAGTCACCATCCTCGTCATCGCAGTCGGGGAGAACGTCCTCTTCGACCCAAGTAAGGAGGAACTTGCCGTTGCGGATGCCGTGCTCGCTGTTTCGGTCGCGGATCGATCGACTACAAGCGATGAAGGGGGGGATGTGGATATGCAAGGTGCTGGTGGTGAGGGGAGGAAGAGGGATATTAGATTATTGAGCGCGAGGACGATTGATCCGCCGGCGAGGTTGACGCCGCCAGGGGTGCCGAATTATCTGAATACGGCGACGGGGGGGGATGCAGCGGCGAAGGTTGAGACGGGGGGGGAAGAGGGGGTGTGGAGTGCGAGGAGGGGGGGGACGGGGAGGGAGATGGTGAAGAGGATGGTGGGGAGGGTGTTGTCGAGTGGGGTTGTGGAGGAGGTTCTGGATGGGCTGGAGGGGGTGGAGGTTAGTTAGGTGGTATCGCTGCTGTCTGTCTGTCTGTCGTAAGAGGAGTCAAAATAAAAAGGTCGGAGTTTGGGGATAGAGTAATCTATAGAAATACAATCAAGTCATTACATTACAGCCATGGCACGACAGATATTGCATAGCACACATGTGGTTTATTATCAGTTTCTTCATTTTTGATTTGCTTGCGCTGGTAGCTATTGGTCTCCGTATCCATCTCTCATAGTAGGACCGCGAAGTCGAGGCCGAGGGACGATGCAAATCGCGTAGCTATCTCTTCCTACTCACTCCCTCAGCAATCGCACCAAGGACATCTATCTAACCTCCCCCCTCCCGCGCCAGACAACCAGGTAATCACCCCTCCCCTGCCCCAAGGTCCACCAAAGTGCTTCATCTCCGATCCAGATAGTAGCACTCCCGTCCCATCATCTCCGTCCAGATTCAACCCCGCAAGTCGCCCTGCCTGCCTGGAGAAGCAAAAACACATCCGCAACGAAAACCATCCAGCAGGTTCGGTCTGACGCTCCTCATCCCCACCCCATTTCATCTCCTCATCCTCTCATCTCTCCAAACATCCTCCTCATACCTCCCTCCTCCCCGTATCTCAGTCCTCCCCTTGAAGAAGCTAATTGTGACATAATATACATCCCCTCATGGCGATGGCGACAACTTTTCCGAATCCTATAAATACAGATAATTTCTCTCGCTGCTCCACCGGGTCGTGCATGCATGGGTTGAAAAAAAACTGATTGCCCGAGGTTCTTGGCGTGGGTGGGCGGTTCATATAGCAGCGAGACTTTGGCGGTGCGCGGCGCGCGAGGCCAGGGGGTGGCAGCGAGTAATTGTGATGGCGGCGAACGATGTACAAGAAGAGCGCAAGCGGCGGATTGTGCAGCAAGTGTGCAGCGTGCATTAGCAGTGCATCTGAAGATCTAATCCTCCTCCGAGTCAGAGGGAGATTCATCCCCAGACGAAGACATGTACTGCTCGACAGCTGGTTGGATGTTAGTTACTGAACTATCCACAGAATGTAGATGGGAATACTCACAAGGCACAACCTTAGCCTCCTCCGATGAGCCGTGGCGCTTGAATTGCTGCTCGAGCTGTCTGAGCTGATCGATCTTCTTCTCCTGCTCGTGCTTGCTCATTGGCTTGTTCTTCTTGGGCTTCGCAGGCTTCTGGGCGCGTGGCGCGCGCGGCTCAGGCGCTGGGATGCAGTGAGGCGCATAGCGCTGAATGAGATCGTGCAGCTTGCTCAAAGTGCTGTTGCTGAACTGGTCGATGTCGAGCTCAGGGTTGTTCTCGAGGTCGAGGTCTGGGAGATCCTTCTTCAACAGGGCAATGGCCTGCTCCATAGGGCGACCCTCGAGCTGGGCGATGCCGTTGGAGATTTGCTCTTTCTCGGCGAAGCCAATGTTCTTGGGACGGTAGCCTTTAGACTTGGCAGCCTTGGTGTCCTTCTTGCCACCCGCGGCCTTCTTGGCAGGCTTGGACTTGGACTTCTTGGTCGCGGCTGAGCGCTTGGCGACCTCGTCAACTTGCTTCTGGACGATGGCGACCATCTCTTGTTGCATGCGGATCAGTGCTTGGTCAGCCTTCTTCGCAGACATGATCTCGATGAGCTTCTTCTGCTCCTCAACTAGACGAGCTTGAATAATGTTTGCTGCGCCGGAGTTGTGGTCCTCCTCGGGCTCTTCCTCGTCGCTCTCATCATCACCAGATTCGCCGGAGCTCTCAGGAGTGGCAGCGCTGGAAACTGCGTGATCAGCGAGGTACTGTCCCTTGCGCTGCCACTCAGAGTTGAAAATTGCCTCAAGCTCTTGTCCCATGACATTGACTGCAGTTGAAGGTGGGTTGAACTTGTAGCAGTTCTTGAACATCAGACGGATATCGGCCTCGAAATCCTTGGAGTTCGTGTAGTGTCCGCTGTTGAGATTGTCCGTGATGGTCGAGAGATCCATAGGCGATTTCACGATCTTGAAGTATTCTGGGATGCCAAGCGCAACGGGATCGACAGGAATGAGGAACGGCGCATTGATGCCCTGGTATTTAGGCTTCTTGAGCTCATTGAGGACCTCCTCGCAAAACTTGAGCTCCGTCGCGAACTTCTTCTTCTTCGGTCGGGCGTTATACACCAAATCTTTCGACTTTGGTGGGTGAATTTCACGCTTTGGTCGGCCACCATCTCCCCCCTTCGTGGAATCGCGGCGGATAAGAGGTGTTCCGGACGGGTCGAGTGCAAAGGTTTGCGCAACTCCTCCGGCAGTCGTAGGTGATCCCGCACCGCCAGTGTGGGCTCCGCGAGATTGGCGCCTCTCTTGGACGTGACGTGGCGCAGATGGGACTGGGGTAGCCTTCTTCTTCTTCTCCACCTTCGGAGGCTCTTTGGCGGGAAGCTTGCTCATGAGGCTGTCGCGAATGTTGATGGCGGAGCGGGTGACCTCATGTTCCGCTCCATTGAACGTTACGCAGTTTTGGTAAAGGAGCTCAATATCGTTGATATACTCCGCCATGGAGCTGTAACCCGCCTTGGCCTTCTGCTCGATGATGGCGAGATCGATCGGGTTCTCGACCTTTGCTAAATAGCCGTCTTTCAGGAATGGCCACATGTCAATGACTGCAGCTTTGAAGTTCTTGCCATCCTTTGTGCTCTTGGCCGATCTAAGTGCCTTTCCGATCTCTTTGGTTTGGTATGGTGTAAGTGGTCCATCATCCTCGATGACAGGCGCAGGTGCTTGGGTAGAAACGCCATTCTGTGCAGCTGGTAGATCGGTGGGTGCAGCACCTTCACCATCTTGAAGCTTGGTGCGCTTTGCGGATGGTTCATCCTCAGGATCTTCTTCGCGTTCGCGCGAGACCTTGGATGGTGCTTGAGGCGCGTCGGCCATCTCGGTGTCTTCCCGAGCGGGCTCAGCAGCGGATGGCGCAGTTGACACGGTGGGGCTTGGAAAGCTGGTGTTGAGATCGAGGTTCGACATACTCGCGGGTTTGATTGGATCGGATGATGGGAGTTGATCTATCGAGCCCACAGAGGTGTTGAAGGAGCTAGGTTGAGGTTGTTCGTTTTCTGCTGTAGGAACCGGCTCGTTCGGGGTTTCGGTCTCGTCGCGTAGATCGCGATCTGTTTTCGCGTCCTGGATCGCAGCAGCTTCTTCTTGTGTAACTGGTGATGGGTTCTCTCTTAGATCGGATTCTGTCGCAGAGACAACTGGTGGTATGATTGTTGTTGCCTCCAATTCGATTTGGTTGTCGGGGGCGGAAAGTGTTGTGATGTCGACAGAAGGTGCACTGGCAGAAGTCGCGTCGCTTGTTGATTGTAAAGGTTGCGCGACCTCGGTTGGTGCAGTGCTCGTCTCGTCCACGATCTCAGCGACAAGCGGCGCGTCCTCTGTTTGCGCGCCACCGGCAGTATGCGAACTTTCCACGGCGTTATTTAATGCAAAAGCGTTCGCGTTATGATCACCATTGGCAGTTGTTACTGAAGCGACGACTTCGGGTGTACTATCGGGTTTGGAGGTGAGGGTGGATTCGGGTTGAGTCGAGTCGTGGTTTAATTCATCGCGGTTTGCGGAACTGGAGGGTTTCACAGATAAATATTTGTGGACACTTTGCAAGAGGGGAGGGAGGGAGAGGGAGGGGAGCGCAAGGACGGCTCGAGGGGAGACTCACCCGTTGATGCCCAGATCCAGAGCCATCTTGTCTGAGGATGGAACCGGGTGCGACTTCTCCTCGAGAACGTTGTGATCTGGAAGTGAAGTCATCACGGCCATCAACAAACGAATCCCGCCCCAGATTAACGCAACAGCGGCGGAAGTTTACGAATGCGCGCCAACAACCGGGTGATAAAATTAATAGGCTGATGTGATAAAGCGCGTTATTGGATATATAAACTGGTAGACTGAATAAATTGCAAATTGGCGACAACACTCAGTGAAGGTGTAATCGAGATCAGTTGAGAACCAAAGTCAAGTATTGAAGACTTGGGTTGGTTGTTGTTGTGATGTTCTTTAACTTGACGCGGCGCAAGCGAGTTTAACAGCTTCGAAGTCCAGACAGGGAATGGGCGGACCTCTTATTTATATTAAGAACTATTTGGCCACCCCTTGTTTCATTGGGTCGCACGTGACTCATTCGCGGCTCCGTCAACAACCGCAACGCGCGACTTTTGTTGATTTAATTTGGAGAGACGCGATAGAGGTGTAAAAGTGTAAAAGCACTTGGGGAGGGGTTTGTGTGATTATTTATGGGTTTTATATGTATTACAAAGAGTAATAACGTCTTTTTTTTTTTTTTGCGAGAGATTATTGAATATATGGAACACGTAGCAGGTGAGCAGAGAAATGAGGAAAATCAGCTGAAAATTAGGTAGCCAGAAAGACTATACTACTAGGGAAAGAACGAACGAGACGAGAGGAGAGATCAAACGGGTAAGCCGCGTCTCTACACGTGCGATGTGCGATATGTGCGATAATAAATATGTGGGATAATATGAGTCGCGTCTGATTTACGATGTTAAATGAGTGTATTATGTATACATACGTACAGTAAATGCAGCAAATGCAGCAAATGTAGTCCAAAAAGACTTCATGTACCTATCTATCTATAAATGCGCGTCTATTTTTCTTCTTCGACCGTACATCACCAATACTACTATACCAATACCATACTTATACCATACTATACCATACTATACCATACACACTCCAGATAAATCACACCAATGGGTTCGCTTCCCCCTCTAAAGATTGCCATCGATGGCTTCATTGGCTTCATTGGCTTCACGTACCCAATCTCGGATTATTTCGCCACCCGTCCCACCTGTCCCACCCTGGTTTACTTGGCTCCATTCTGCTCCCTTCCTAACGATACCTGATCACCTGTGATTGGCCCATACACTCAACGTCCCCTTCCGTGATTGGCTGTCCAAACCACTACATGACCCGCACCCTAACACCCCTTGTCCACAGCTCCAATACTCCAACCGTACTCCAATAGAGGGAATCCAGCTTGTGAGTGTATTTCCGTGTATGTGCGGCATACTCCAGTACTAACAATCCAGTACTAGCAACTTTGTAGGTAATGCGCTATCAACACCCCGCAAACCAAAGACCGACTTACACTTCACTTGACTTGACTCTTGATCCCCTACTCCCCTACTCTCTTTCCCCTCATTCTCACTCACTGACAATAAACGATCAAGAAACATGGTCGCAATCTAATCTTCCCTCCCTCCGAAACAACTTCCCGAGAGTTTGAACGTCGCTTCAAACTGCTCATGGACTTCTATTTGCTCCGCGCCCTTTCGCGACTGCGTTGAGGAACATTGGTCTTCCAAGGCCATTGTCTCCTTCGCCGGCCGCGATCACCCCTTGCGGCAGCACAGCATGAGCCGAATACCACCTACTGAGAATGCCTACCCCCAGGCCCCCACTGAGGCCTTCGCGGTGCCGTTTGGCTCCGCGGCTCCTCCCCCGAAGCGGCTCCTCAAGCGGTACAGGACCGAGATCGCGGCGAGCAGCAGCAGCGTCCTGTCCACCGTCCTCTCTGTGAGTCCCCGCTCTTTTACCCCGCAGCTAGTTGGGAACCCATGCTGATCATTGTGATAATTACAGTTCCCGCTGGACTCGGTGAAGACGCGGATGCAGACATACAGATACAACAGCTTCGTCGACTGCGTCCACAAAACATACCAGACGGAGAGACTGAGGGGCTTCTTTCGAGGTATGCAAACCGATGCAACCTGTGGCTCATGGGCTCTTAATAACGGAAACAAACAGGTGTCACGGCTCCTGTCGCCTCTATTACGTTTGTACGGACAGTGTCGATGTCCGTATACCAGAGGTCAAAATATACCTACTCGGGATGGATGAAGCGCAACTTTGGAGTGGACCCGATGAGCCGCATCAACACTCCTGGGAACTACCCCAGCTTCTCGACGGTAGCTTGCGTCGGAGCGGCAGGCGCAACAGCTGGCTCTTTTATTACATTAGTTGCCTGTGAGTACTCTCATCTCGTCTAGCAGACCGCCGACTGACACAATTTACACAGGCCCGTTCGAGTTGACCAAATTAAGTGCCCAGGTCTCGGTATTGATGGCTGGCAAGACCGTCACCAGCTCCCTGACAGACCCAACTGGAACTAGCAATACTGCATCCAGCAATACTATTGCTGCCAGCTACCAGAATAAAGGAACATGGAGCACTGCGAAACACATTGTCAAGACACGTGGCTTAGGGGGTCTATATTCGGGGTTCAGCCTCCACCTCCGTAAGTGGACATATCGAACCGTTTCATGATATGGACTAACATTAGCTTCCAGTCCGAGATACTCTAGGCACGGCAATCTACTTCATGACCTACGAGAGCGTCAAACAGGTCCTACTAACCTACCGCGGTGACAACACCACCACCTCACCAGTAGCGGTAGCCGGCGCGGGAGGTCTCTGCGGAGTCGTAAGCTGGGCTCTGATCTACCCCATCGACTCGGCGAAGAGCATATATCAACGCAACTGTCTTCTGCACCAAAAGGGCGACCTCATGACGAGACCCAAGATCCAATTCTCCAATAAACGCATGTACAGGGGGATAGGGGTTTCGATGAGCCGTTCCGCCATCGTCAACGCGATCTTCTTCTCGGTGTTCGAGTTCTTAAAGAAGCACATCAATGCACTTGAAGACAAGTGATGCGCGCTGGCTTGGGGAGAGCATATGTCACGATGAGCATGGGGCGGGTGTTTGGTTCCCTGGGTGGCTCCCGTGTATAGTTTAGTACAGTACAGTACATATGTGGTTTATAGCGAAAGCGCGATAGCAGTATAGCTAAATTTTAGTATAAAATTAACCAAAGAGTAATCATGTAACCGTGACGAACCCCATCTTTTCCAAATCAGACTCCCTGTGCGTGCTTGTCACAGCATTCGACAAGAGAAGCTAGGCAACCCACTCACCCCTTTCACAATGATGTCATAGACTTTATTGATCCCCGCAATCGCGGATAAGAGAAAATCTGCATAGTAGCAGCCTTCGGGTTACCGTACCTAGCCGCCTACAAACCAACCCACCTCCAACACGGCAAAACGAACCGCCGATCATGCCTCATCCTCACCACCACCACATCCACCTCCGTCTATCGAGGCCGGCCCCAAAAAAAAGCTCACACACAGCATATGCCAGGGCACCAGCTTTGTTTCAGATTGTGTCCGCGAAAGTACCAGGACTACAGGACTCACATCGTTTTCCTTCTCATCTCTACTACTTTCTCAGTACCCAGTCACTCATCCCAACTAACGTAGAAACCATGGCCCCGCGCCGCCAGGCACAAAGGTAAGGTAAGCAACGCGCCTCTCCAGCCATGCCGCGCGAGAAAGCCCGCGGCGCCGCGCTGGCGGACGCAGCTGCGCGCCGGCCGGCAGCAGTGCAGAAGCATCGCAAGGGCAAGAAGGGCCGGGAATCAGCGAGGGTAGCGAAGGTATCGTCGAGGCTCAAGGGTGTTCCGCCGCCGCCGCTGCTGCCGCGGACAGACCTGGTCGCGGCGCCGGTGCACGCGAAGCTCAAGTACGCGAACTCGTACTGGGAGTTTACGGAGAACAAGGAGAAGAAGAAGAAGTTGGAGTTTGCGATCACGAATGATAAGACGCCGCCGGCGGGGTTTACGTTTGTGCCGGTGGGGAATCCGGAGTTGAGTCGAGCGTGTAAGGAGGTTTCGAGGGAGGAGGGGGCGATGATCTTTATTGTTTCGGTAGGTTTTGATCGGAGTGGAGTGGGGGATGGGCGTTAATGAGTGTGGTTGCTGATGAGGTGGATGCAGAATACGAAAGAGCAGAATCATAACTTGTTTGATCATATTCATCGGATAGGGTTCCATTTTCGAAGCTATATTGTCGACCAGGCCGCGTCTACTCTTGGGGGATTACAGGCTGTCACAGGTGATGGTAAACCTATCGTGGCGAATTCAGGAGATGAGATCCCAGAGACTCAGGAAGAAATAAACAAGCAAGCGGATGCGGCGCTGAGAGATCTGTTCCCCAGGATTCCGAACACCGATCGAGAGATGATCATCCAACATGCTTTCCAAAAAGGAGCTATCTTCCAGGGCAAACCTGTTGTTGGGCTGCAGCCTGAGCTCACACTTTCGCGCCGTGTGCAGCTTGCCGCCAACGCTCACATCCGCCATAACCACACCCGATACGACAAGCTGCTACACGAGACGGATTATCTCAATGCGAGGCGAGTGGTGGAGCCGCTCTGCCTGGATTTCATCATGAAATGGCGCGGAGACGAAGAAACGGGCCGGGATCAGCTGGATGAACTCTTGCGTGAAGTGGTCGTGATTCCGGACTCGGATGAAGAAAGTGAAGAGGAGGAAGAAAGCGCATCGGATGATGACGAGGTTCAATTTCTACGCGAAGTTGTGCACGACGCGCCACGCCGGCAAGGGACCAACCCGCCTCGATATGGGAACAAGTTTCATGTCGATGATCCGAGGAGAAACGAGGGAGGTGAAGGAGACGCTTACTCTGAGATCGCGACACGCACACGCTCCAAGACAAACAACAAGCAGGCGCGAGGGCGGAAGGATAAGCAAGCAAGGCGAGGCTTCAAGCGTTATCAGGCTTGGGAAGATGCTCAGAAGAGGCAACAAGCTTCGCATGCAGCACCAGCCAGACAGCCGTCCTTCGATGACCGGAGAAATAATGAGTCAAGGCAGGCTCACAGACTGTCCAATAATGCATCCGGATTTTATGGCGGTGATGAACGGCTGCCTGCTGAAGAGCCACAACGTCTCCAGAGAAACGTTGTCGAGAACCAGCCCAGATATCGTGAAGTAAGTTCCATAGGAGGAGGGAGCACCATTTGTACTGATAACAGGAAGCAGTTACCTGTCAGCCGACCCTTGGAATCTGTCCAATACCAACAAGTACCTGTGAGTCGAGCACCAGAACAGGGCCACTACGTACAACGCGAGGTAATGTTGAGATCCAACATCCTTGATCAGTACAAAGATCCACCACCCCGGACCACCTATGAATATGTGAACCGGCCCCTAGTTACTGAATCCGCCGAACCTTGGAGATCCGAGGCACCGCGCTCTCGAGAACCGCGCCAGCTAGCCGGTACAACTCGGCCATTTAGCCCGCACGAAGTCCTCCCCTCCATTGAGCGCGGCGACCTGTCCAGCGACCGCTCAGATAGAAGAGAGTCACCAATCATGCTGAGTACCCGACAGGTGAGGAACGCCCCACCCCGGGCCCATGAAGAACAGGTATTGTACACACGCGGTGAGCCTGAGCCCAAGCGCTTCAGACCCCTCCCCGTCCACTCCAACGTCATCTACGTCGATGAGCCGGAGGTCGTGCCTAAGCGCCGCCGCGTAGCTGCGGACCCTGGCATCTTTCAGCCCGCGAGCCAGGGCGTGGAGTATGTGCGTCTTCGTCCGGTAGCGCGTGCTGATGATCGTTTCTTTCCTTCGTCTTCGTTGGCTGCGTCGTCTCAGGGGATAGAGGCGCGTCGGTATGATAATGCATTCCCTCAGAATGCTGTCGTCGATAGCAAGCAGCCTCTGGCGCCCAGAGAGCTTCGGCATGTCAGACACGTGCCAGATCACAATGCGGCTTTTGGTAAGCTTTCATTAGATGATCGTGCGCAGCGAGGTGAGTCTCAGGCGCCTATACGGCAGCGAGTTGTAGAGCAGCGGCCGGCCGCTTATGTGTCTGATAACCGTCCACCGGGAGCGTATGAACAGCGCTATGCTGCTCAGGAGCCACAGTACTATCAGCGCCCTGTTGCAGTGACCCGCGAGCAGGCAGAGTACCAGTCTCGTGAACCTGTACCGGTGTATTTACCGGCCAGACCTCCACAAGCCGATCGTCCGCGTTCTGAGTTACAAGCGAGACCTTTACCAGCTACTGAACGTCCCCATTCTGCCTTACCAGCCAGACTCCAACCAGTCGAACGTCCATACGGCGATTTTGAGCCGCAGCCTGTAGAGTATCGACGTGTGTAAGTCTAGCGTTTTATCTTTCTCTCTCTCTCTCTTCCTCCCTGTCAGTTCGCTGACGCTATTCTCTGTCATATTAGCCCTTCACGAGAACAGCAGTACGGGGAAGTTCGTACACGACCGCAAGAGGATCTCAGGGATCCAAGATATGTAACGCGACAGGTTAGGCCGCAGGGGGGTGAGGTGCGGTATGAAGTCGCTCCGGGACCGGCGCTGAATGGGCCGAAGATGTATTCGAGGAGTACGCCGAGGCCTGGAGAGGTTATTGTGTTGGATTGATTGGTGGTTGATCTGTTTGGTGGACGATTGGGATGAGGCATTCGATGGCTTGAAGTTTTATGGTTTAATACTGGTGTGGAAGGGGTATGAGGGACGAATAGTAGGTTGCAATTATATGCTCGGCTGTGTTGGAGTATACTGACGCCTTGGATTAGACGTGACGAGATTTGGATGGTGGACGATGCACCTTTCGGTGGGAGGTGGCTGACTTGTGGTTTTAACACATACAGCAGGAGTAGGTTTATATAGACGGGAGTTGTTCATTAACAACTTGGCGTGGGGAGGGCGGTTGGGAGGAGCATATATTGGTGGACAGGGGCATATACTTTTTTGCACTGTTTGTATGGAAGCATGATACCCACGCAAGGCATGAAGCATTAAAGGTTGGGAGGACTTTTGTCACGGCCAAAACACATATAATATAGACTTCACAGATGCACAAAATCAAAGAAGCATACCAACAACATCCATAATCTCCATCTCCAACTCCTGAAAAACTGCATAACCCCACCATCATCATCAAATCATTCCCAAGACCCCCCTTACCCTTACATCCCCCTCTCCTTCAACCTCCGATACTTCCCCGCATCCTTAACACTCGGCTTCACCGACCCAAGCGCAACCTCCCAATCCACCCTCTCAATCCTCACCTCCTCACTCCCCCCATCCCTCCTCAAAGCCGCCACCGCAGCAGCCTGATGTAAATTCCCCAAATCCGCCCCTGAATAACCCTCCGCCCTCTTATCCCTCGCCACCTCCTCCAACCCCTCCATCACCGCCCCCGGCAGCGCCTTCTCATATAGCGCGCGCAGGATCTCGACGCGCTCGTCCGCGTTGGGGAGGTCGATGAAGACGCTTGTTCCGAGGCGGCCGGGGCGTAGCATCGCGGGGTCGATCATGTCGGGGCGGTTGGTGGCGGCGACGACGTAGATGCCTGCGCGGCTGCTGAGGCCGTCGAGTTCGGTGAGGAGGGTGTTGACGACTTTGCTGCTTGCTTCGGACAAGGAGTCCTCGCGCTTCGGCACCAGTGCGTCGAGTTCGTCGAAGAAAAGGATACAAGGCACGGAAGAGCGAGCGCGCTCGAAGACCTGACGGACTGCGCGCTCGGACTCGCCGACGTACTTGTTAAGCAGCTCGGGACCCTTGATAGAGATGAAATTCGCCTTCGACTCGTTCGCCACCGCCTTCGCAAGGAGCGTCTTACCGCACCCCGGGGGACCCCAGAGCAAGACACCAGTAGGTGCCGTGATACCCACTCGCGCGAACGCGGCAGGGCGGCGGATCGGCTCGATGATCGCCATAGTCAGCTGCTCGCGCACGGTGTGGAGGGCTCCGATGTGCGCCCATGTCGTGTCGGGGATTGTGGCGAACCCTTCGCGCCGAGCGGAGGGCTGGACTTTGGGGATCGCGGCGAGGAAGTCGGAGTAGGTTATTGAGAAGTCCCCGTCGGGGGGGGTTTCGCCGGCGTGTTTCACGAGGCTGCGGAGGAGGCGGAGGGGGGCGGAGAGAGGGGTAGGGTGAGCGGTTAGGTCGGTGGATGTGGTGGTGGTGGTGATGGCGGAGTTAGAGGCGGTGGTGAGGACACTGTCGATTTCCATGACGTCTGTTGACAGTGTCGTTGGGGGGGTTAGGGGGGTGTCTACGACGCGCTGCTTGAGGGCGGTCATCATGCGCTTCATCGCTTCTGTGCCGGCGACTGAGACGACGTCGTTGAGATCCGCGCCGACGAAACCGGGGGTCATCTTGGCCAGCTTGAGGAAGTCGAATTCATCGGGCAACATGAGCTTTTGCGTCAGCGCGCGCAGGATCTTCTCGCGCGACGCCTCGTTCGGTACGCCGAGGTTGATTTCCTTGTTGAAGCGTCCTGCACGGCGGAGCGCAGGGTCGATGCTGTCGGGTCGGTTGGTGGCAGCGATGATGATGACGGGCTTTCCGTCCGTCTTCTCCAGTGCCATGTCGTCCATACACGTCAACATCTGGGCAACGATACGCTTCTCCATCTCACGCTGCGCGCTCTCACGCTTCCCCATGATAACGTCGATCTCATCGATAAAGACGAGACATGGCGCCATCTTCTTCGCCTCGTCGAAGATCTCGCGGATCTTCTTCTCGGACTCGCCGGACATACCGGCTACGAGCGACGGCGCCGAGATGGGGATGAAGGAGACGCCTATTTCGGATGCGAAAGCGTTGGCGATCATGGTCTTGCCGCATCCGGGTGGGCCGTGGAGGAGAACACCGCGGGGTGGTTGGATGCCGGTGCGGAGGTAGGTTTCGGGGTAGAGCATAGGCATGGCGACGAGTTCATTCAGTTCTTCGATAACGGCGTCGACACCGCCGAGGTTGGCGAGAGAGATGTCTGCGGGTGGAGTGCGGTCGACTTCCTTCTTTGGTTCTCTCTCTGCCTTACGGCGCTTCTTGTGTGGCTCTCCATTTGTGTGTCTGTCGGCCTTGCCAGGTGTTGTCGCATCTCCATCGATTGCCTGGGTTGGGGTTGAGGGTGTGGTTTGTCCTGTCGTTAAGGCGCCATCTGACTGTGTGTTTGGTGTGAGGGATGCCTTTGGTTGTGCCCACAACTTCGTAATGCTCCTATTCATGACATTGTGCTCCTTCATTACAGGTGCAGCATCGGCGATCCCATCAAAATCCCCATCTAGTGAAGCCTCGCTATCATCCTGCTCCTCTTTTATAACCAGTAGAACACGATCGATCGAGTCCTCGAGCAACTTCTTCGGTCTGCGCTTCAGGCTTGAATTCGAATTCTTAATGCTGTCGTATACTATCGAGGTAGAAAGTCTCTTCCCACCATCCTCACGCTCAGCCTGCTCGTCGGCGATTTTGCGAACAACTTGGTATATCTGGAGCGATTAGAATATTTCCTCACAACTTTTCTCGCAAAACCCACCTCACGATCAAGACTCTGCGTCAAGCTCGGCCTTTGGCCACTTCTAATCGGCATCGCTGCGACAAATCACAAGTCACGCGCAGCTTTGCAGAGTCAAAAATCCCAAGAAGACGCACTGATCCGTGATGTTGTGTTCCCCGTCCAAACTTTTTTGACTTTGGCAACCGCACCCCTGTAATCGCGCCGGCAACTCCCGTTATCGCACCTCGACCGCCTTTAGGGTGGATGACGCCCTCGACCTTCTGCTCCGAAAACAGGGCCTCCGAGACACAAAAGACCCTTGACAATGACAATACAACTATAAGATTCCAGCCGAAGCATGCGCCTTCGTCGCACTCAAATAATTCCGCGATTTAGCAGCCATGGGCAGCACCGCTAGCAAACCGACGGCGCAAGATGAGTACGTGTCTGCCCCTCCCCCACCGCTCGTGTGCCTTACTCACCCCTCCCCAGGGCGATCCTCAACCTCAAAATCCAGCGCGATAGGCTGCATAAATACCAGAAGCGGATTACGGTGATCACAGCCCGCGAGCATGCGATCGCAGCGACGTTATTGAAGCAAGGCGACCGTCCGCGTGCTCTACTGGCGCTGCGACGGAAGAAGTACCAAGAAAGTCTGCTGGCGAAGACGGATGCGCAGCTGGAGCAGCTAGAGGTGCTGACGAGTAGTGTGGAGTTTGCACTTGTGCAGAAAGATGTGGTATTTGGGCTGCAGGAAGGGACGAGGGTGTTAAAGGAGATTCAGAGGGAGATGGGAGGGTTGGAGCAGGTGGAGAAGTTGATGGGTGAGACGGCGGAGGCGGTGGCTTATCAGGAGGTATGTTCGGTGCTATGTGTTTAAGTGGGTGTGAGGCAGTTGCTAATAATTGAGTAGGAGGTCAGTGAGATGTTGGGAGGGAAGATCTCGAACCAGGATGAAGATGAGGTTGAGGATGAGTTGGAGGCACTAGAGGCGCAGGTTACAGGCGTGATGCCCAGTGTGCCTACGACGAAGCTGCCGAGCAAGGAGAGGGCAGAGGCTAGGGAGAAGCAGAGGGAGGAGCAAAGGGAGGAGAGACAGGCGATGTTGGCGTCTTGATTTGTGAATATGTGGTGCCTTGGTTGAAGGCGATGAGATACAGGTTACATATGGCTAGATGATTACTTGGGCTATTATGGAGGGACATGAACATCGGCAAGGCGTTTGGATGAGAAGAATCATAGAGGAACCCAAGCATAAGCAGAGCGCAGCGCACAGTTACAAACATGTGTATTGAAATAAACCTTTCCGCCCAAACTCATCTATTCTTTATGATATGCAGGACATACACGCGATGTTAAAGAGGAGATCTTTTCCCACCCAACAACCAACGCTATCTAACCTATTGTACAAGTACAGCCTTTTATATCATTACAGCATCAGCGTCCCCATCTATTTGGTCTCCTCGCGGAGGAAGCTGGGAGGTGTTAGCATTGTTTCTGCTTGGTACATCGATATAGGTAACTTACGTGATCAGGTCGTTGCGGTCCTTCTCCTTCTTGAGTCCACCGAAGGCCATCTTGGTGCCAGGGATGTACTTCTTTGGGTTCTCGAGGTACTCGAAGAGAGTGTCGGCGTTCCAGGTGATAGCCTTCTGCTTGTTGGCATCGGTGTATGAGTAACCCTCGACGGCGCCGGTTTGGCGACCGAAGAGACCGAAGAGGTTGGGGCCGATCTTGTTGGCCTCTCCGTCACCGAGGGTGTGGCATTGTGCGCAACGGGTCTTGAAGAGGTTGGCACCCTTCTTTGAGTCTCCTATGTGGTGCGTTAGTTGTCTGTTTCTGGAGTTTGTTGAGGGCTTGGCTGTGCCGAGGATAATGAGAAAAAGTTGGCAGCGGGTTGGCAATCAGTCAATGGTGCTTTCGAGAGTATATGGCTTGTTTTGCATTGGCTTGCGAGTGATTTCGAGATAGATAAGGCGGGAGAAGCAGCTGTTGATAGCTATTCTCCCCTTACTTAGATGGCAATTTGAAGTTGACAAGAGGGCGAAGTGCCCCGTCTCTTTCACCAGATCTATTCATCGTAGGCACTCGTCAAAGCCAGCATGACATTGACCAAGCATCTCTGCATCCCCTAGCCAAACTTCAACCCATACCCGTCATCGCCTCCGTCTCAATGGCAAAGCGCCGTCGATGTGAATAAATGGCGCAAACGATGATTCCCAGGACAGCCAGCCAGTAGGAAAGAGAATCGGGGTACATACCGTCCTTGAAAGGCATTTTGAATAAGTATTAAGGCAATAAAAGCGATTGGAGGTGTTTATTTGTTGTATGATTGAAACAAGACGTAATGGAAGGTAAGTAGAAGGAATCGAAAAACTTTCTCGAACCCAGGACAAACCGGACATGACGGCCAGGAAACCAAGAAATTAGCGTCTCCAGTCATCAGTCAGCCCCCCAGCCACATGTTGTGGTAATCCACCAATCAGAAGGCTCGGCTTTGTCATTTCCGCATCCAACCGTGGCTTGTCGTTGGTTATCGTGGCTGTACTCTCGGGAGACCTCGGGTCAGGGAACAACGGCGCCGCGGAGAACGCACGTGGTCTTCCTCGGCGACCGTAATATTTTTGTTCCTGGGCCATTTGTCCGTGCGGCTCTTTTTGGCGTACAGACAACGCGATAAAATTATACTGGTCCCTTCAAGATTGCCTATCCAGGACAACAGGCAATTAACACGCGCAACAATGTCCGCCTCAATCCCACGCTTCCTCCTCCCTCGCGGCCCCGCCACCTGGCGCCCGCGTCTCTCCTCGCCCATCTCCCGCACCATCCGCGATGCGTCCACAAAGGCCCCAAAGCCAAAGGCCGCGAAGCCCAAGGCGCCTGCATCCAAAATCCCCGTCCTGGAGAAGCCTACACGCTTCAACCCGCCCTCGCACGGCAAGACCCTGCCCAACCGCACAGTGCGATACCCCGGCCCTGCGCTCAGCGAATCCGAGATCGCAGCCCAGAAGACGAAGAAATACCCTACCATGATGCCCCCCGAGGGGACCTTCATGCACTGGTTCTTGAACAATCGCAGCATCCACATCTACATCACGCTCGGAGTTCTATCGTCGCTGGCGGGTTTCACGTTCCTGGTTAGTCTGCGACGGGACTCGAAGTTTGGGGATCTGCTGCCGGAGCCGAAGGATGCGATATGGCACCCCTTTGCGACGGTGAGGACGGTGGTTGAGGTTTTGAGGCTGGATGCCGAGGCGAGGAGCGCGGAGACTAAGGATAGGAGAGCGAGGAGGGTGGAGGATGTGGCGAAGAGGGGAGAGTACAGGAAGGCGCACGGTCTTGAGACGGAGGGCTTTGGTGGGTGGACTGCTAAGGAGGCACCTCCTGCTGCTGTTCAGGAGGCAATGGAAGCGGGAGAGGAGGGCTTAGAGCAGCCGAAGAAGAGGCAGGTCAAGAAGTGGCTGGGAATTTGGTAGGGCGCTGGTATGAGGGAGTGGAAGGGATAAATGGTACGAGCTGGATTGGAAGCTCAGGCTCCATAGCATGGCGGGGAAGGTGGAGTTTGGATGTACGATATATGTGAGATTAGGGCCACTATTTCTGCAGCAGATGGCGAAGGCATGTACAAACAAACTACTGTATCTCAAACTCACCGATAGATCTCCCAAGTCACCATGATTGGGGTATTACATAGCGCAGATGGGAGCGGAAATTCCATTGAATGCATTATTATTTCCAACTATTCTGCAACCCAGGGCTTCCAAAAAAAAACACTCCCTTTCACATATCCTACGAATTACGCTATCTCCAAGTACAACATGATAAGTTTCTCTTTGCTCCTCAATATCAAGATAGGTTTCTCAATCACATCCTTCTCTGTTATCTCCCCTCGCTCAGCATCCTCCACAGACATCCCCTCGCTCAGCCGCTTCCTCCGACCCCACTAGTACCATTCGGCGACTTCTGTACTGGCATTAGCTTCGGTGCGGTAACCGGCGCGGCAGACGGAAGAAAACGCTTGAAACGGCACAAGGATTCACCCCCAATCCCCAAGGCCAAGGGCGCGCATCTGTGATGCCAGCTACTGATAGGGGTAAGTTGAAAGAGGCGCGTCAGCTTGATATGTTTTCACGCCCTTTTCCCTCCACAGCCCCATAGTTATCCTCTACATCCCTGGATCTTGCGTGGTCTTGGATTTGAATTCTCCACACGGTGTCCATATTGACAGAAGGACCCTTCTCTCTCCTATCTCGCTAACAATGAACTGAACCAGAGACTTCACATGTCTTCCTGTACGGGATGAGTAGTCCTTATTTATGCCGTTGACGCAGGTATGGTCTGATACCGATGGAGTAGGAGGATGCAAAACAGATATGTAGCTAGAGTCAAAGGCGGCAAAACGGAACCGCATACTGGTGAAAAGCCATATGGCTGAGCTTCAGTAGAATGTGAGGAACGATTTACATGAAGGAGCAACCTAGGGGTTGAAAGGTTGGTCCCTCGTGTAAATCGCTGCCTATCCTATGAAGTTCAAACATGTGGCTTATCTCTAGCATGTGGTTGGGATTTTCCGCCCTAGATTCTGTCCAACTCTGCTTCCACAGACGCTGACAAGGACGAAACATAGTCTTTAACCACTCCCTGTTAACGAATGTGTTATACCCCTCTATGCGTCCTCAAGTGATGTTGCTTCAGAGGCTTGGACTTAGCTACTCCTCTTAGCAGGATATTAGGGAAGGCCAACCTCGGACGGGATGAGCTCCATCATGACCAACGCACTAAAGCTCCTCAAAACACAGTGCATATATGAAGAACGTCTTGCTAGAACCAGCTCGACCGGTTATAATGGCTAAGACAAGGTCATTTATGACTGGAATGGATCGCAAATACTCCAAGGTTGTTGCATGATCCTCGTCGCGTAATAGGCCACGGAGAGACCTAATTGCGTCTCCGATGAGGTCAAAAGTTGTCTCTGAGATCGTAGTCTTGTTGAGGACACAATACTCCGTAATCCGACCTCTCAAACTACAGTCCGACCAAATTTCATTAAGTGATCCGCTTGTCCAGACACTTGTGCGCCCGTGCTTGACTACACGAAGGGATCCTTGATCCCGCATGCAGCTTTCTCCCATGGTCGCCGCACGATCAGCTGCTACGGGGTTCCTAGACGACGTAAGAATGACAATTCTTAAGTGGGTTGAGGATGACCAGAAGGTCATCGATGTGCAATTTGGAGTCACGCAGTTCTATTGTTTCGATTGTAGTAGCACCTGCAAGTGCGCTAAGCTGTGTGCGGTTCTCTTCAACTCCGAGGCGGTGCCCGTATAGCCTCTTCATCGCTGGTAATCTACAACATGCTCGGCCAAGAACCTTCTCGAGCTTCGCATTGACGATGTGGGCATTGTATAAATCAACGGCAATGGAACGTCTCTCCGAGAGGCGGAGATGGGTAGGGACAAGCACGCTCGCACAAAAGCGGATATATGCGCGGACGGGGTCGTTGTGTTTGGCTGTTTTGCCTGGGGGGTGGGAGATTTGGTGGCCTAATGAAATTGTTAGTTATTGTGTTGCCATCCCATTATAACGGTCTACTCACCCTATGTAGGTAGTACGTGAGAAATTTCCACCCACAGGCCATGATGCATCATCCGTTTCCATCTATAAGGCCTCTCCGGATTTTGCGGATCTCTACTCAGCGAGCCCACGCACGGCGTATGCGTTCGGGACATCGCCGGCGAGGGGACGGAAGATGTAGATGGCGTAGTCTACAATGTCTCCTTCTGCAACTCCTGGTTCCAAAAGACCCGACCAGCAGTGGTGAGAGCGTAGCCGTAGGGTGATTCTATAGCGAGCCCAGCACTGTTTCTCTCTAATAATTGCGTGCATGAGCGGCGGCGAGCGGCGTTCAGCACGAAGACTCCGAGTAGGTACCCGAGGAATAATGGGGTGCCAGAGGTAAAACACCAGGTTCGGCGGTTCTCAGGTCGTAAGCCTGACGTAGAATGATGCTGTGCCTTGCGAAAGATTGTAGGAAGAATCTCTAGCAAAATCGACAGCCTATATTGCAAGATTGAGATTTGTGTAATTTTTGTTGTTTGAATATATATATAGGCGATTGGTCAAGGAGTGAAGTAAAAGTTGAAAAATAGAGATCTGGTAAATAATATATAACGAAATAATGATAATCGAATAGTTGTTGAAATATAGAAAAGAAAGATTAAAATGAGTGGATGATTTAAAAAATGAACAATATAAAACGAAGATCGGCTTGCTAACACTTTATACACAAGTCGAGGACAGTGTTCCCCGGATACGTATCCGGATACTATCCGTGAACTCTACGGATAGGATACAGTATCCGTGAGAAATCCATGGATATGTATCCGGATATCCAGATATGTATCAGGATACATGAGGCTTAAGGCTATAATAGAGTATATAAAAATAGAATTGAAGCTCATAGCTATAGTGTATATATACAATAACTCCTATTCCTCCCGCTCATCGTCTGCATCACTATCATCTGCCTCTAGTAAATGGCCCTAATCCCGTAAGCAAAGTAGATATCTAACTGTTAATGGCAACAGTCTGTTCCGTTTCTTAGTAATAATATCACTACCATTGCTAAATACCCGTTCTGATGTAGCTAATGTTATAGGGATTGCAAGATGATCTCTTGCAATCTTTGCAATAACTAGATATTAGTACTGCTTTACAGCCTAATATTTAAGTATATTAGTCTGTGGTCTAGGACAGCCCTCGTTGTTCCATCTTTTCCATTCTAGCTCTTAATGAGAGGTTGTAGTTGTGACATATAAATCATCATTGGAGTCTAGCTCTAGTTGCTCCTCAACTTCTAATTGAATCTGTTGCTTAATTCTCTCATTAGTAAGCTAATACTCACGGCTGTTATACTAGTTGTATATAGCCCTAAATTAAGCTAATACTTAATGCCTTTTAGCATTCTTAATGCTAGTTAGCTATAGCCTCTAAAATACAGCAAGATTCATCTATAGATTACAAACTATAGCTATAGCTAAGTGACTATAACGCTAGCTTATTGTTAAAGTATAGTATTTGTTAAGTTTAAGCAACGCAGCTATACAAGCTAGGCTAATTGTCGTCTAGTTACTAACTACCTAAATTGTCATTTTAAGTCTCTTAATCATCTTAAGATATTTTAGAATAACGTAGTTTAGAGTTAGGTAGGCGCTTGCTTACATCTTTTAAGATAGGCTTAAAAAGATCTTAAACAAATCCTTAAGACTCTAAATAATTGTCTAATCTTCTAAAGTAAGAGCAATCTCTCTCATACTTAGATTAAAAGTCTATGTAGCACATATAGTAGTTATAGGATCTCGTAAGTACTTTGTAGTAATAAGCATATAGTATGTAGAATTCCATCGAATTAGCATGTTAAGCGTTAGCTGTCGAGGCTTAAGACTAGCTGTAAGTGCTTGCCTTTATAGAGCGTCGTTCCATTGCCTTCGATTCTAGAATACATATATATGCCTCTGTAGCTTTGCTAGAGTTATCATAATCTCTGTATTACTCTCAACTATACACGGAATCCGAGCTGCGCCTAGCTCACATTAATAATCATTAATCTCTGCTAATAGGTCAGCTTTTAAGGCTTTAAGAGTAGCTTAAACTACAAGATTGATAATATAGGCGATATAGCGTACGTCGCCTTCCTTAACAGTAAAGGGCCATAGTTGTTGAGATGAAATTAGATAGGCTTTAGCTAGTTTCTCAAACTTAGAGAGCATTACATCATTAACTAAGGCATTGTCCTAAGTGTAAGTAAAGATAGCTCTTGTAATGCCCATTCCGTCTATAACAGCTTGTAACTCCTCTATAAGATATTCACTGCTATAAATAGGCTCTTTAAGATGTATTACATTAAGTAAAGCTAACCGTTACTGCCATTTATCATTAATCTAATGACTAGTAACTGCTGCAAACTAAGTATAGTTACGAGCTAACTAGGCGTCTATTATAATTGATATTCGTCCTCTACTCTTAATATGAGAATTAAGCTCTACAATTAACTGCCCTCGGTAATATGAGAATTAGCGGAGCAGCTCACGGCTAATAGTTGTAGTAGATATACTAAGTGTAGTTAGGCTTAGGAAGTGTACTAGTTAACGGTACGTGTAGCTCTCTACAATACTTAAAGACAGGTTATTTGATATAATAAATTATATTAACAATTCTCTATATTTTGCTTAGTGGAGTGCTAGCTTAAGTGTAGGCTATACTTGCTAGCGAGGCTCGAAAAAGGATGATGAATTGCTGCTTAAAGCGCTAGATATACCGATATTGCTGTTCTTGCTATTGTGTAGCTACTCTAAAGCAGGGTGCTTTCTCTTATAATGCAACCATAAGTTGCTAGTTGAGTTCTAGGTTGCAAGTTAGGGTGGCGGCTTGTAGCTGCAGCCTAGCTAAAGGCATTCATACTGTATAGTTGAAGGTGCCGTTTCAAGTAGTAAACGGCTGTATAGCCTTGTAGAGAAGAGTGATGTTTTAGTAATAGGCAAACTATGCTGTAGTGGCGGCTGTAAGTAGACTAGAGTTCTTAGTGTAGACAGCGGTAGAATAGGGGTATTTAAGGGCGGGAGATTTAATTCTTGATAGCCCATAGGGGCTTCAATATTAGTGGGAGCATCTGACAAAGGCGAGTCGCTCATTTTGTCTACAGTAACAAAGTCACAGTAAAGCAACTCTCAACTCTTCCTATCGACGGTGACGGTAAGCGTAACGATGAATTTTCTATTCTTGGCTATTCTTGGCTATTCTTGGCAGGTATCCGGATATGTATCCGTGGATACTCATAGTATCCGGATACTCGTCGAATTCTCAAGGATACAAGTATCCGCATACAAGTATCCGGATACCCCGGATACTCAGGTATCCGTGGGGATCACTGGTCGAGGACTTATAATTGTTTTGATATTTCTAACACTCATCAAGCATAAAATCAACACACAAATAGCAAGCTGTTAGCTGGGAGTATGATGCTTGCTACAGCGCAAACTCGCAAATGCAGGCATGCGAATCAAACAGCACGCCGGAGCCGCAAGTGGCGGTGAGGAAACAATAATGCGTGATGGTGCATAAGATTCTAGGCAGCCCATTATGCAGTGCAACTGTCTGTTCTGCCGCTCGCCGAAAGCCGCGAGGGAGTTTAGTTTCCCGTGCCAGCCCTAAGATGGGGAAACAGGGCAACGGGGAGAAAAGTGAGAATCCCCGCACTCATGCAATATGCAATGTTGTTTCCCATATTCTTCACAGGCATATGCATTGTCAGTTGGAAAGCGCACACATCGGCTGCTTGCCATAATTTGGGTAGCCTTCTGGAAGCAAGCCAGTAGGCGTCTCGATTTTATGCACTTAACTTTCCTAGCCATATGCTGCATCCCGAGCAAATTCTCCCTACTGGCCTTCAACCGACTCCTCTGAGACCCTCTTTTGAGGAGACATGCTAAAGGACTCTAACCTGATTCTTAGCTTTGTGCGCCCCGAGATTTTTTCAAGTTCTTCCCGGATTGGGCGCTTAGAGACCGCAAAAATCCTACGAAGCGTCGCCATGACACTGTTGGTGCTCTCAACTTCTGTAACGCTGGAGCTTAGAGCTGCTAGATCTATAGTAGATGTTAGTTTTGATATCTTAATATATATAGTAGGAGGTGTAATGCAGCGGTCTACCTTGTTCATTTTTATACTTCACCAACCTATCTAGTTTGTCTGCTGCTTCATCTGGGTTCCAACCAGCCTCGAAAATACAGCGAGTGAGATACTTTTTCCCTTTTACATAAGGGCGGCCTTGTAGGTATGTTGGCTCATCGAATAAGGGGTACTTGCCGACCAGGTTGAACATGTTTGCCTGATTCTGAAGACCTTTGTTCATGTAACTGTTTTCGTCGACAAGATGGCAATCCCGAATATCAAGGCCCCATTTATTCTTGTATCTCGTTGCCATCCCCATGATTTGGTTCATGCGATAGCCGATTGATTCTCGCATCTCTACCAAGTCTTCAATGTCAGGATTGCTGGTATCTTTGAGTAGGCGGCTAATAGCACCGTGAAGTCAGATATTGTTGGCTGCTGAATCAATACCCGGCTCGCTGTCAAGATACCTCTGTGCTTCTTTCTTAACAGCAAGTTTCAGCTGATAATTGGAAAGTACATTTTCTCCTGGGCCAAACTGATGTTCGACTCCTGGTGGCTCTGGTTGTGGTTCAACCATGACGAGTTCTGTTCGTTCCCCGCATTCCATCTCCCACTCATCATGATCAGATGAGAACATTGGCTGGTGAATCAAACCCGCATTTTCTGCACTAACATTTGTTTTTCGTAGGTCGACGTCATGGATAGCATCTCGTATTACCTTAATTAGCCCCGCGTAAATTGGCCTTTTATCATCATAATCCACTTCACCAGTGTTGTAGCCTTCCATAGTAAGCCTTAAAAGCGTATCTGCTAAGGCCGTAATAAATGGTGATTCACATCCGCGCTATTGAATAGTTCCGCTGAGTGGCCATGCAGAGGACTCCTCTGGGACCTCCTCTTGAAGAGACTGGGTAGAGGACGCCATCTGGACTCTTAACTTCATGTACTGCGCGATTTTCTCAAGTTCTTCACGGATCGGGCGCTCATGGGTCGACATAATCTTCGGAATCATTGCTCTAATCCGGCTGGTGCCCTCAATATTTGAGATGCCCGAGCCGAAAACCCCAGCTTCTAAAATCAGAGTTAGCTCTTTCATAAGTGCGAAGTGAGATAACGTAACACGGCATCATACCTTTGTATTGCACCAAAGTATCAAGTTTAGCTTCCGCTTCAGCTTGGTCCCAACCAGCTTCGGTTATACAGTATGCCATATACATAGACCCCTTAACATACCGATGGCCTTGCAAGCTACCCGGCTCATCGAACAAGGCGTACCTGCACGCCCAGCGGAATGCTTCTGCAGACCAACCGCCAGCATCAACGTTGACCTGATGACAATCCGGTACATCGATACCCCAAAAATCCTTATACATCGTTGCCGCCCCCATCACCTGGTTCATGCGATATTCAATCGATTTCCGCATCACTACCAGAGCGTTGAAGCTAATCGGATCATTAATATCACGGAGTAGACCAATTATGGAGCCATGGAGTGGTATGTTCTTCGCGGCGCGATCGTTCATGGGCCAGCTGGCCATGTATTCGCGCGCTTCTCTCTCGGCGGCGGCTTTCATTTGATGATAGGAGAGAGTTTTGTAGGCTAGCTTCGGTGGCTCTTGTTGTGGTTCAGCAGTATCTTCGAGCTGGGATGAGTTGCTTGAGGGGTTGCTCGAGGGGAGCCCTGTTTCATCCGAATGTTCCATCGTCCGATCGTGATTATGAGGGTTGGAAAGTTGGAAGTCGATATGAGAAATTTGAGAATCCGGAAAATTATATTTTCGGAAATACCACAAAGAGAAATTAAAATATATTACCAAAAGTAGAGAAACAAAACCTTCAATTCCTTTTATAGACTCCTACATTCTCGTCCTAACTTATAGGACGATGCATCTCCATTCTAACTACTTCGCCGAACCCTAGTTTACATACATCGCGCCGCCGGACCCCTAACAACCGCACTCAACAGCAGACAACGAAAAACACATGAGTCTCGCAGTTAAAATGCACATTTCAGAGCACACATATTCAGTTAACACTACCGATACCGAGTATCTCTGACCACAAGATGCCTGATATGCTTACTCGGGTCTATTTTCGACATTGGCCTCATTTCTGTGCAGAAGAGACGGGGCGCTCGCTAGCCTCGCACCAAACTTTTAAGCCTCACCAAAGTTCTCACATTTTCAACTATGACACCCGGAGGTCCGCACTAGCGGCGTGACGCACTAATTTTCAAGCTGATAACTTCCCATGATCTGAAATTCCCCGCTAGCTACCCAGGACAATTATTCGATTTCCCGTTGAGAAAGTGGGAAATCGTGGCAAGCAAGCGGGAAATCACAGATGTGAGAAGTGGCAAAGAAATGGTGTGTAACAGTAGAACACGTTTCATTAACTACCGAGATCTGGACAGATCGAAACCCCCTATCAGCTAGAAGGCCACCTACCTTTTGTCCTGCAAAGCCGAGGAAAAAAAGGGTGGCAAGGAGAAAGCTGCAAATCTGCATATCCGTGTTATTTGCCGTCTTACAAACGTCACTTCGGGAGTTCACACACATATCTGCAGCTCGCCGAGATCCGGACGGGATCACCTCCCAACCTCCAAGACAGAAGGACACTTGTCCGTGGTCTGTGAATCAGCCGACCACTGGATGGCAAAGCGAAAAGAAACGTGTGGCGAGGGGTACTTGGGTGTACTTGTCCATATCGCCGCCGCGGGGGAATAAGGAGTCACCCAGCACCAACAGCAGCTCGCCGAGATTCGGAGCGTGAACTCTCTGTCTGTGTCACTCCTGTTGGTGTTGCCTACCCCTCCTTGGCTGTGAAGAGCCTAGCAACCTTCTCCCTCTCCTTGGCAGAACCAGGCAAACTAACCCGGTGACAGTGTGGAAGAGTAAGTGTGCTATGCTGCCTGTCTTTGCAAACACTTGCCTCGGGATGGAAGGGTGAATAAACCACACAATCCCGCCGAGATTGGAAAAAGGGGAGGTTCTTCCACCTGTCATGTTGTAAACCAATGGTGCGTCACCAGTTACTGGCCTCGAAATCAGAGCAAACAGAAAAACCAGGCTAGATAGATGGTAGAGTAACGGGTATGTTTGTGTGTGTGGGAGTGGTATGCTGCCTAATCTCCCCAAGGAAAGCGTGAATAGGCAGGCAACCTTCCGCCCACTACCCCTCAGTAACTTTCTACAACTCCCAAAACTATCACCTCCGCCTGCCAGGCAAAGCCAGATATTCCTCACCCGAAAGAAAGAGAAAAAAGGAGGCAAAACACCAACCCCAAACCGAGCGGGGTAACAAAACCAACCCTGTGTGAAGATAGCAGACGTAGACACCCAACCCAAACCTCTGAAGGAGCGAAAACACCCCCTCTAGCTCACCGAGGTGGCGGGAGGAATAGCATAGTCGTCATCATCGCCGTGCCCTCCCGGCTCAGGATTGAGGCAAAAATCAGTATCTCAAACGGGGAGGGTAACAGCAATAAGGCCACGCGTGATGATACCCCTCAAAACGTCTTCTGAAGAGAGGGGGATTGGAAATCATGACACTAGCTCGCCGAGGTGACGGGGGGATGGAATACTCAATTCCGTACTCAATTCACACCCATAACCATCGTCATCCCCGTCATTCATCCCCACCCCTCCCTGCCCTGTCTGCTTGCCTGCCTGCCCGTCAACAACCCCTCCTCCCGCACCCCCCCGTCCCCGATATCGCAAACGCGAACGCGAACGCGAACCACCACTCGGAAGTCCTCCCCAGTGGCAAACCAAACAAGATATCCCGACCTACTATCCTGAGCCAAGCAGCCTTGAGGAGGCACAAGGCAGACATCCAAGTAGTACGAGAAACTGCACTAGCAACGACGCCATGACTAAGATGCACCTGGGTGAGTGAAGAGATCAAAGTGAATGGATAATTAGTTGATGCTCCAAGTCGTTCGAAAGCTCTACCGCTGTCAATCTAGTGAACTCCAGTCCATCAGACCGCTCACAATATTCCTGATGCCACACTAAGTCAACTGTCGTCCCTTCCATGCCCACAAAAGTTTCAGGGTCGTCAGCAGAAATGCGAGGAACTCTTTGAAGTAAGCATCATCGAGCGTAAGCAATATCATTATGATCACATGCGGTGACAGAAGAGCAAACATAATTTGTTAGCAGCTGGCTGCTAACGTGCCCGTTTCGACGACGGACCAAAAAAAAGAGAGGCGGCTTTTTAGTCCTCCAAGGTTGCTTTATTGAATGTCTAGATGCTATGCACAATGTTGACCAAACAGTTTTGACATTTCTTTGTAGAGGAGACGTGGCGGCCAACCAGGCTCTCAACTGCCCCCATAGTAGCCGCGCATATGGGACGCTCACTCGAGGGAAATAGTTTGGAGACCAAGAGGAAAGAGCAAAAATTACTCTCTTTTGTGTCATATGGAGGACATATCTACCCAGGTAGAAACATGCCCGGTTAAGTAGAAGACCCTTCAACTCCAGATGTCTTCTTCCGTGCCATCACCCACATGAACTCGGCATCAAAGTCTGGATTCCCCTCCTCTAATTTCCCATCGCCCGCCTGCAACACTTCCACCTGCACCAAGTCGAACCCAACATCCTTCAACAATGCCCGATTCCCTTGCACATCGAAACTACTCCAAAACATCCCATACCCCATAAACTCGCCGTGTATCTCCTCCTCGTCGATAGTAGCGAAATTAAAGACCAACACACCCCCCGGCTTCATCCACCCATGGATCTTCGTAAGCATCGCCTTCAGCTTCGACCGCGGCAGGTGGAACAGCGTGTAGAAGCTGACCACACCGTGGAAGCTCTCCGGCTCGAACGTCAGTGCCGTCATGTCGCCCGCCACTAGCGTCGCGGTCGGGAAGCGCGCCCGCGCCATGGCGATCTGCTTGGTCGAGATGTCATTTGCAACCACCTGCGCGCCCCGGTCGAGAAGCATCTTCAGGACGGGGACGCCGGGGCCGCAGCCCAGGTCGAGGACCGAGGGGGAGGGCGGGAGCTCGTCGAGGAGCTTCTTGGTGTATGTTTCTCGCGGGGATTTCTGCTTCTCCACCCACTGCAGGTACCATTCGGTGATGTTGTCGTAGGCGTACTCGACGATGCTTTCTGGCGCATCTGACATTTTGTGGTGGGTTAGAGGTGAGGTCGCAAGAGATGCGGAACGGAGGAGAACGGGATGTGGATCAGAGATGCAGGCGGTGTGTTTGTTGGACGGTGCTAATTCCAGGTTCGATAACATGCATTGTCTCATGTATTTGCTGGCTTATGCATGTACGCCGCATCCTTTGTAAGCGTTACTGTGAGTGCACACCTAGGCATGTGCTTACAGTAGGGAGCTGTATTATAAAGTCGCATTACTGCGATGTGTATACTAACAAACAATTAATAGTTTATACTCTCTACTCTGTATATTACAGCAAACATCTACAGAACCTCTAGTAGCAAACTTTCCAGGAACGACGGATTCACGGCCGATTTCTTTTACCATTTCACCTTTTTTTTGCCTCTCGCTGCTGGAGACGAGAAGCAGTACCTTGAGGATGCTACGTAAAACGGAGACAGGGACATGGTTGCCCGCGTGGGTGCCAGAGTCCACTATGGTCTTGTCCGTTCTCTTAATTTTGTGCTCGTTTATACAATCATGTGTATGTATCAAACCCATTTTAACCATTTGCATGAAACCTTATTTAATAACACATATACAGACCGTAGGCTACGATACTGCATTACTGAACGCACTCAACATCCTGCCTTTATATATAGACTATTTCAAACTCACTGCAGCAACGACGGGTCTAAATACAGCCTCCATCTTCATCGGCGGCATCCTCGGACCTATGGTTGCAGGAGTAATAGCAGACCGACTCGGTCGAAGACCAGCCATGCTCTAGAGCAGCTTTATCGCTATAGTCGGTGTAATAATTCAAACATCCGCCCAAAACATCGCCACGTTCGTCGTCGGCCGCATTATCATCGGCTTCGGGGCCGCTGCGTCCGGAATCGCCGGCGGCGTCTACCTTTCCGAGACCTTCCATAACCGTTTCCGCGCCTAGGGCGTGGGATCTCTCAACGACTTCTACTGGATCGGCGCAATCCTCGCGGCGGGCATCACCCTCGGGACCGGTTCGTAGACGTCCACCTAGGCGTAGCGCGCGCCGTCGCTCATCTAGGGGGTATTCTCGTTGTGCTGCATTCTTATCCTGCCGTTTGTGCCGGAGAGTCCTCGGTGGCTGCAGTATCAGGGCTACGCGGATGCAGCTCGCCTCGCCGTTGCGCAGGGGAATGCGGACGGTGATGTGGCTGACCCGATGGTAGTTGCGATCTACCAGGAGATTCTGGATTCTCTGGCGCTAGAGAAGGAACGCAGGAGCTCCATCCGGGAGATTGTTAGGGATCCGGTTGTGCGCAGGAGGTTTTTCATCGGATCGTCTGTTGGGCCCATGTCTACCGTGGTTAGGAACCTCATTGCGCTTTTCTACCTAGGCCCGGAGCTCGCCAGCGCCGGCATCACCGACAGTCGCACCCAGCTGCATGTCAATGTTGTGCTAAACTCTTGGTGTCTAGTCTGTTGCGTGTTTGGCACGTTTCTGGTGTCGAGTTGGGGACAGCGTCCAACGGTTATCACGGGCCAGAGTTTGCTCATTGTCTGTCTGTTCATTATCGGAGGTCTAGCGAAGATTTACGCTGACAATGGCCCGGATGGCACGTCGAACAGCCTTATATATAGCAACGTGGCCGTAATATTCTTGTTCTAGGGGTGCTATTCCCTAGCTTGGACCCCCGTCACTTACCTCTATCCAACTGAGATTATGAGTTATGGTATTCGAGCGAATGGTCTAGCTTTTTCTTCATTGATGCTGAGTAGCCTGACGTAAGTCCCCTGTTGTTCGTTTCAGCTAGTCCGTGCTAATTCATTAAGCAGACTCTTGCTTGTGTTCATCATGCCTATTGCGCTGCAGAACATTGGCTGGAAGATGTACATCATCAACGGAAGCTGGGATATCATCATACTCCTTATTGTGGTAAGTTGTCAAGTCTACTTGCTTATTTTCGACATTAACGCTGTCGCAGGTACTGTTCTAGGTTGAGACGAAAGGCAAAACTCTTGAAGAGATCGATGCCATATTCGACAAAGGAAGGAACTCCTTGAGTTCTCCGGATGTTGAAAACTCCTCCTAGAAGGAGAAGACTGGCAGTGCGGTCATGGCAAAAGACCAGCTTGATTCGGACAACTGCGTCACAGCTGCGGGATAGATATGGAGCTTACTCAAAGGAGTGTCTCTATGCCATGCAGTATCAATTCTGTCAGATGACGGCGTAGCGCCCATGTGGGCGGTTGAGGCGATTTAGCGTGCTTCACAGTTCCACATGGCACGATGGGCCACGGCGGCAAAGTACTCTTGAGGTAGACGAATTTAAAATTATAACGTGAGAATCCTGAGTCTACACACGCTTTCAAAACCTCCGTAGAGCAGTACGGCGAAAACGACGACGTCTATAATAATGCCGGCTTGTATCAGGGAGCAACCTGTAGACAGGTTAGCAACGCAAGATGTAATAAGTTACGTTTTCTGTTCTTATTGCAGAGGGCAAGGAGGAGAGTGATGCTACGGGGCCAAGCTTTTGACCATGTGCGTTTAGATAAGCCTCTTATAAAGAGTCAAGACATACTCAAATATAGACCGAGCCCAGCTTGCGCTGTAGCTATAGATTTATATCGCTTTGCCTCTCCTGTTTATCTTCAAATTATAGGTCATCCAAGCATTTATCAAATCTTATACTTAAACCAATTTGATTACAACACCAGCCCGCAAACTATTGAAACTTCCTCCCACGTACTTGTACTTATTTCGTGTCCGCAAATAAGTCCAAAGAACCGGTTTATACAAGGAAAATATTTGCTAGAGTCTGGGAACAGCTCTAGCAGCCTGCTCGCGAGTGGATGAGATATCCTAACTGAGGTAGCGAGGCAGGCTAGGCATTATATGGAGATCGCTCGCAGCTAACAACAGTGGAATTGCTTTGTTCGTGGCGGTTCAAACTAACACATTCGAGAATCGACACTGTGATGTACCAACCTCGTATCTTTCCCAGCTGAGCATGGCTATTTGAAGTAGAGATCCCCCAGTCCCTCCACCCCTTCCCCCCTCTCCAGATACATGAGGCAGTCTTTGGAAGGCGATGTCAGCGTCAGCCCCGACTATGTACCAGCAAAGCACCTTGGCATGTTCTGAGTTACTGCATAGTAACTTCACCAGCCGTTGTCACGCTGTAAAAAGTTTAATTGGTGCTTTTGCATCAGCTCCCGCTTCCAGCAGCATCTGGACGGCCGAGTCCAACTCCAAGTTGATAGCGATGTGCAATGGCGTGTTCCCTTCAACATCATAGGCATTGATAATGTCTCCATTCTGTTCGCAGTGCTTAATGAGGACCTTCAAGAGGCGCTCCCGCCGCTTCAGCACGGTCCAGTGGAGCGGAGATCGTTGGTAGTTATCCACGACTTGGATCCGGGCGCCATGCGACAAAAGCATGTCCGCTATGTCCTCCTGTTCCTCGATAACCCCTGGTCCTTGACGTAAAAAAACGGCGAGAAGGGTGGCAAACCTAAACGGTGCACGGCGTACTGCTTCACAAGCCCCCTGGGTCCCTAACAACGTAAAAACACGGAGAATAAGGCTCGGTGGTAGGGAAGGTAGGGTGGCAAACCAAAGGAAGACACCAGTAAACACGCGCGTGTGCAGTGACGCATTGATCCGCCAACTGCCTCTCCTCCCGGAGCAGGGAAGATAAGGAAGCAGGCAGGTGAGTTAAAGAAATAAGAACGATGTACTGTACATCCCACCATCCACTCGGCACCCCTCCCATCCCAGCAGCACCCTTACCTCCCCGCCCTCCCAACGACAGATGGTAAAGTAAAGGGCTTGTAGAGATACGGGATACCCAGCGGGAGAGGGTCTCACTCTAAATGACACCGCGCACTGGCGTGGGTGACAGGGTTAGGCAGTAGAGTTGCATGGCATAGCATAGCCTTGTATGACGAGCTGAACGGGTGTAATCAATCAGCCGCGAGCGGGAGGGAGGGTGTTGTGCAGTACACAAGGCTGCGCTGCACTGCACTCCGCCGCGATAGACACCTCCCCAGGGTCACAAAGGAGGTCGTCGGTGTCATCATATCGTACCTCGCATCTCGCACCTCACACCTCCCACGATGACGTAGAAAACACCAATTCCACCTACTCACTCACCTTTCGTCCAACTGACTTTCAATCCCCGACCGGTCGTATTTCTGTTGGGGTTGCGATGTCCGAGCGAGCGTGGAGGGTGGAGGGTGAAGGTGGGTGCAGCCTAGGATTCAGCCGCACGCCACACATCAGCGGGCCCCACGACGACCAGGCAGCTGAAAACCTGCTGGGGATAGGGAAGGCTATGACGACGTTGTTCACGCGGGCATTTTCCACGAAGAAAAAAAATCCTTCACCTCGTCGTCGTCGTCATCGGGGGCATGGCGTTCACCTCCTCTCTCGACCTTGTTCGCGATCAACGAATGCAGAAAGTTGGAAGCGCGCGCCGGTTTGGAGACCATTACCGCCTTACCCTCCCCTCCGGTGTAAGTACCTCTTCAGAACTTTGTAAATAGAAACAAAAGAACAAGAAGAAGATAAAAGTCCGTAGAATAAACCCACACTCCTGTCCAGCGTCTCCCCAAACCCCAAAAACCAGCACAAGCACCAATACACCTCTCCCCTCCCTCGCCCATCGCGGCCATGAAACAACCACCCCGTCCCCGCCATCGCCAGTTTACCGCGGCGCCAAAGGGCCGGTGCGAAGGTCGGGCCGGGGGCGTCTAAATTTACCAGTGTCCGTTTCCCTTTCTATAGTCTGGTACGTACCAAACGGGACGGTAACGGGGTGAGTGGGCGGTAAGCGAGACGTATCCCGAAACGGGCTGTCGACCACCACTAACCAACCAAACCCAGAGTTACGGAATTAGCAACACGGGGACGGGGAGTTTCATCTTCTTTTTTTGGTGCTTTTTCATGATGCGGAAATAGACACGAAATACGAATATGGGAAAATAGAAATACGCTGTAGTAGTGTGGTCCCGGGAGTTTGGTTCAACAAGTTTTCGATCTGTTTTTGGAAGCCCAGGTGTTTCACTATCATTGTGCTTGGGGAGTAGGAGAGGTGAGAGGGAGAGGGTTTGAGGCGCTTGTGGTCAGTGATGAGGTGAGTGAAGAGTATACGCGCGCCTGGAGAGAGGGAGGAGGGAACTTGGTCGTGGCCGCGCGGGCGACGGAGGCTGTGGAGTGCGGTTTTGTATGTATGTACTCTACAACACAGTATCGCATCTTCAGAATCAGATGTAGACAAAGTACCCCTCGCGGGCCAGAAGCCCTTTTGTACGTACAATTCCAATCAGTGACTCAATCCGATCCAGCCAAGGCGGCGAGAACACTGTGCTATCGGCGAAGGGTAGCGGGGTGCAGCTGTCACTCACCCTTCCGCTCCACTCAGTATCCTCAGCACAGTCAAACCCCCCACCATCAACGATGACTCCCCCGGCTACATCCGCAGCGGGAGGCATACTGTATTCAACCGTGCAGCACCGCCGTGCAGCGATGAGTCCCCTCTCCCCCAGTAGACCACCATCCGCACACGGAAAATCCATGGGAAGTAGGTATCCGCGGGGCCTCATTGGTCCCATGCGCTATTTTGGCTATGCGGGCGCTAGACCGGAGGGGGTGTGGTAGGGCTGCCGGTTGGCGTGGGTGGTGCGCAGGGATGGGTGTGGAGGGGGGAGACAGAGGGGCGGAGTCAGACCAAATGGTGGCCCAGCTGCGCATGGTTTTCTTCCTCCTTCCTGCGATCCTTCGCTGGGGTGTTACTTTGGGGAAGGGGGGTAGGGGGTTACGCGGGTTTCTGTACGGTACCAGTGTATGCATAAGTTTTCGGATTAGAAATTCTGTGTTTTGGAACCGCGAAGGATGGGGGGGTTGCGTGGACGTGTGTGGCGGTGGTAACGCGGTGGGAGGGATGGGAGGGATGGGGTGACGGATGGGGAATGGATGGGGATAGGAAAGAAAGGGTCGCGTTGGTGCTGGCCGCGGCGAGCTGGTTGGGGAAGTGGCCGGCGGGTAGTGTTGGTGGTGGTGGTGGTGATGACGATGACGATGGTGGTTGTGGTTGTGGTGATGGGCGCGGTGCGGTGCTGGTGATGGGTACGGGTGACCTCGGGTGTGTGGTTGTGAGGGGAGTCGGCCTCGCTGGTGATCTGGTCGGCGGTGGTGGTGGTGGTTGATGGATGGGGAGGGAAGGGACAGATGGGGGTCTGTAGGGGTGGTGGTAGAGGTGATAGAAGTGACAGTCTTGATTGTCCTGGTTATCGTGTTTATCGCCGTCATCGCGGGGTACTCGGTGTCCGCATTATCGATAGTTATCGTGGTTGCGGTACTCATCGCGGGGTAAACACCCATCGCACCCACGACGATGACGATATCCCACCTCTCGCCGGTGTGTGAATCACCCTCACCGAGAACGAAAACAGCTCTGGCGTGTATAGCCAGAGAAGGGATGACGGCAGAGATTGAAGATCCGATCCTTGGCTTCTTTCCAACCACGGCCTGTAAACCTGCATCAAATCCTGCACTTCGTATGCAGGGCACATGACTCCACGGCGACGGTTGCAGTGGTGGTGGGGTGTGGTGTAAAGGTGGTGGTGGTTGTACTGAGTGCATGCATCCCTTTTTTTCGGCGAGGGAGGGAGGTGGAGTGGACAGAACCCCTGCTTCTTCCCGCTGGAGCCTGGGTGCTAATGGGGTGCAAATCCACTAATTCATCACTAATCCATCCACGGCAGTGTACAAGGCGTTCTGCGGGTTTGTCCGTGGGATGTGAAGTACCCTGCTGTTATTGACTGCCACTGACTGCTACTGACTGTTACTGACACCTCTCCATGATCATGTACCTGTACCCGTCGCACACCCTCGCCCTCTCACCCTCATCATGCACTCAACCCTCCCCTCTGTCTCTCCCATCACCTGTCAAACCCACTTAACACCCTCACAAAATCCCCTTCGAAAAAAATGTAACTGTAGATATTGTTTGATTGTGCGTACCACTTAATACCCTCACAAAAAATCCCCTTCGTGCCCCATGTCCAAGCCATGCAAAAATATAAAGTATGTAACTGTACATATTCTACAAATTGTTTGATTGTACGTACAGTAACCCCGTCCGTCACCCCTTCCACCCCCTCCACCCCCCTGTCGCACTAACTCAGTGCATGAGCCACCCAGGCAACAACTGCGGCCACTGCGGCACCTCGCGCTTGTGACCGAAAGGGATCTAATGCCTTTATTCTTAGTGACCCCGTTTTAGCGCAAGGCCACTCCAACAGCAGCCCTTTGTTTGACTGTTTGACCATCCAAACCATCCAAGAACAACCTCGACCTCTACCCCGACCGAGTCACTGCCCCAAATACCCCCCCTGCTACCTCTCCCTCCCCCTACCCCCTCCTAACCCCCCCTACCAAACTCCATGACGTGCAGTCGCTCTGCCGCACATCCTCTCACTCTACCACCCAGTGCGCCTTCTGACTTGCTCATCGCAGTCCAGTGGCTGACGATACGGTCAAGTGGGGGTTCGGACCGGGGAGGAGGGGGCATTGGCTGCCTGGAAAGAGGTAACTATCTTTGCTTGCCAATACCGTAAGTAGCAGATGTACGTCTTTGTCTCTTTCCCATCTTTCTTTGTGTGCAGGGGGGGCTAGTTCCGTTTTCGGTCTCATACCATGTCCTCCTGCTCTCTCTCTCTCTCTCTCGTCTCTCATATGCACATACATATAAGGGACACACCTTCTGCTTCATCTCATCTTCTCTCCTCTCTCTCTTCATATACTCCATACCAAGACAACATCATACAAACATCCATCACCTGCCTCGACGAACAGTCCATATCTTACTCTCATCCACTTGAAGAGCATCCAAGACTATAATACCAAACCACACTCACCCACCACATCATCATCGTCGTCACCAACAACAAAAACATCACAATCGACGAACAACTCGTCCACCACCAAACCACACAGAGACCAAACCCCCGAGTGCCCTCCCACTCACCCACCATCACAGTGGCCCCTCGATCCCGTCTCTCCGGCCCAACCGCCACGACGGCTCCACGCCCATTCATCGTCTCTCCCCCCAGCGACGTCCACGACACCAACCTCACCACCTTCACCACCCCCCCATCCCCAACAATGTCCCACCACTCCGCCCGGGGCCCCATCCCCATCCGCACCGCCAACCCCCCTTCCCGCGCGCCCGACGCCGCCCTCCTCCCCCTCCGCGCGCTCATCTCAAAACTCACATCCCTAACCTCAACCTCGCACTCCCTCTGCCACACCATCCGGTCCACCCGCCGCCTCTCCCCCTCCGGCACCGCAACCACCACCCTTGCCGCGCTCGAGGACTCCCTCGCTGACGCTCTCCCACGGTTATCCAACCTCTACGCCTCCCTGCGCGCCACGCACGGCAAGCCTCTCGACCTCGCTGACGCACCTGCCCTCGCTGCTCTCGATGCGGCGGTGAACACCCTCAACAAGCACGTTAAGGCGCGATTAGCTGATATCGCCGATTCGAAGGCGGGCTCGAAGTCGAAATCCGGATTCAGAGAGATTGGGGCTACATTCAACGCCGTCATCGATTCCGCAGAAGACGCACTCACCGCCCTCTCCGCGCGACTCTCCGCCGCCTCCTCCGCACCAGCACCAGCACCCCGCCCCAAAGCCCCATCACCGATCCAAGAAGCCCCGCATAGACCGCGCCGCGACTCTCGGACGCGCGAGAGCGAGCCGCCTCGCGTGCTGGAGAGGGGGGAGATTGCGATTACATACCGCCAGTTTGAGAGGATGGATGCGGTGATGCAGTCGTGTTGGATTGAGGAGAAGGCGGAGGGGGGGAGGAGGTTTAGGAATATGGCGGATCCGTCGAGGGTTGTTTATGGGGTTGTGCCTGAGGGGGGGTTTGTGAGGGCGCTTTGAACGCAGCTCACAGAACTGGGATGGGATGGATTGGATTCTTTTTTATTTAGCGATTGCGATGGGGATGGTACGATACGATACGATGGGGCATGTTTTGATACTTTTCCTTTCTTTTTGTTTGGATTACGAAATGGGGGATGCATGGATCCTGGAGGTTCTACATCGGATCTTTTCTTGGTTGTCATCATCATCATCATTATTAGCATTAGCATTACTTCCTCCGCATACGTGCGTTGAGGTCCCCTCGGGTAGGAGGGAGAACAGGACAGGAACAGAACAGGACAGACGAAGATAGTCTGGGAAATATTTACACCCACGAGTTGGGTGAGATCAATAATAATACGTTTTTTGGATACAACTTTACTCTTGCCTCTGCCAGTGACTGTAACTGAACTTGTATGCGAGTTGCCTCGACTTGACTTAACTCTACCTGACTGACTCCCTCTCACAACCCCCCCTCCCACCTCACATCCAGACTCCCGCAAACCCACTCCGTTCTAGATTCCGCTGCATCCCCATCAAGTTTTTTTTTCCTTTTCTTTTCCATCTTAGTCCTCAGCCGTGTCCTTGGCAGCCTCCTCACCGGTCCCGCCCACGCGTCCATTTACGTGTTTGCGTGCTTTCTTAATTACTTACCTTACCCGTCCACTCCCGCATCACCAGCTGCACGCTTGCTTGCTAACCCATCCTCGTACATGCTTACAATCTATGTGCTTACCTGTCACCTTTGTCTAATCGTCTAGCTGTTAAGTTTGTCAAATCAGACAGCTGGAGCCTAGGAAACTTGCTTGCTAGCTGCCAGGCACCTACCACTGCATCTCCATTTACCTGCATCCTGCTCATCCACTCATCCACTTACAAACCCATTCATCCACTCACCCCATCCATTTACCTCCCGCTCCCGCAGCTGTCCGCATATCCGCATCACCTACTGCACCACTCCCCATCCATGCATGCAAACCGACAATGAGTCCAGCCATTCACCCACCACAGCACAGAAGCTGCGCCACCTCATCCACCGCACGAGCCACTTCCCTATCTGTATCCCTACCCCTCCTACCCCTCCCGCAACGGCAGAGTACAGTACATAGGATCAGAGGGGGAAGCCACAGTAAGCACCAGCCACGAGCCACATTTCCATTTATCCTTGTGAGAGAAGACAGAGAAAGTGTGCAGTGTGTACAGTACATAGGAGCGAGCCACAATCCTTCGGCGAGGAGCCACAATCCTTCAGTGAGAAAGAACGCGCAAGCCACTGTGCACGAGCCACATGTCTATATCTACATGGGTAGGTGGTAGGAGCAAGCCACTTCTAAGGCTGTAAGCACAAGCCACCACCACTGGCAATAAACTCCTCTATGGTCTAGAGCAGCCACACCCACCTTCCCAGTTCAGTATACGTAAAAGCAGCCGCACTGCACCGCCACGGGTCTAGACACTCACTCAACACCACTGCACTGCACTGCACTGGACTACACTACGGAAGGGGGGGGGGGCTAACTACTTTCTTACGCCGCGGGTGGGGGGATGCAGGAACGGGTATGACCGAGTAGGGGAGAGGAGGATGGGAAGGGTAGTAGGGTAGGGCGGAGGACGAGGCTGATTTCGTGGGCGGGGCTGCGGGAGAAGGGGAGGGGAAGGAGAGGGGGAGGAGGGTATATAGGAAGGGAAGGGGACGGGTTGGGTGGGGTGGGTGTGTCGATTGTGTCTTTGCTACCTTCTTTTCTAGCTTTACAGTGGTTCTACAGATAGAAGGAGACGAGATGGGATGGCAAAGAGAAGAGAGCTATAGAGTATATTCCCCTCCAAGAGGAAGGAAAGCTCCGCCTCAGATTTGAGCAGCGCATTCTCTAATCTATCAGTCCTGGACATACATAATGTTTACAGCACAGCACTCAAGAGACGGCACGCACAATTTCAAGTAACGCATATAGGCAGAAGCAAAGTATGGTTTTCTCATCCACCCCCCTCCTCCATCCAATCCTCGAATCCCCAAAATCCCACTTCAGATCCCGAGACATCGCCAAAAAAACAAAACGCCTAGATCCCCCCCTTTTCTCGTTTATCCCCAGTCGCGCAAATCTAAGCAACGACCTCGACGCTCCTGCTCTCGCCGTCTGCCTCGCCGCTGTTGACCTTCTTGCCTGTCTTGGCGATTGTGCGGAGGACGGTGTCGTACTCGAGGGTGGGGGAGGCGATGACGGTTGCGGTTTGGGTGTCAAGGGAGACGTCGTAGGATTTTACGCCTGGGTGGGGGTTAGCTGGTGGTCTGGTGTGGTGGGGGGCTGGATGAGGGATTGAAGAGACGGGAGGGATGCTGCGACAGGATGGGCCGGGGGGTGGGAGGAGAAGGAAGGAGGATGGGAGATGGGCGAGGAGAGCGATGACGAAGAAGAAGAACACATACCATCCAGCTTCCCCAGCACGCGGTTCACAGCTCCAGAGCATCCACCACACGACATGCTCACGTTGAACTTGTAGGTGTGCTCAGCGCCCTCAGTCTGTGCCTCCACCGGCGCAGCGACAGCGGGTGTTGCGTCAGCCATCTCGTTCTTGGTATGAATCGCGGAGTATGTTATTTCCGTCGTAGTTATCGTGAGAGGTATGTATTCGCTGAGTTTGTGCGTGTGTGTATGTATGTGTGTGTATAGGTATGTGTATGTGAATGGGTATAATGGTATAGCACTATATAAAAAACAAAGAGGACAGCACGCCTTTATATCCCCCTCCTTCCCTCCGTGCGACGTCAGTTCAACCGCCCCCTACCTCCGCTTATCAAGCGGGTTTCACGCACAACTCGCGCACACCACCAACCCCGCCACCGGGTCCTTCTCCCTAGCGCACCCTTGCGCACCACCAAGCACGTCAGCTCCGCGCCCGGCGCTAGGCCCTTGTATTCAACGACGAACCCCGACTACAACTTGCAACTGACAAACCAGAATCTGCGCATGTTTATTGATGTCTCGGCGTATAGCCCGGATGTGCTACGAGATGGGGTGATGGTGGTGATGTGATGCTTAGCCTGTTACGGGGAAGGGGAGTGCGCGCGTTTCAATGGCGTTTTGGTGCGGGAAGGGGAGCGTGAGCATGTTTTGCAGGGGTGGGGGGGGAGGGAAAGCTTATTCGGATCGTCGCAGGGTGAGGTGGTACGGTGGGATGAGGGTAAGGCGAGGCGGGTTTTGTGGTGGTGAGACTTGTGTGATTGTTACGATGGGATGCGTGTTGGATGGGTACGGCGCATATGCTGGTATTTGTATTTTGGGTTGCGGTGGTCTATTGAGTATTACCCTCGTGCCTCTCTTCCGAGTCCTCCACAGTACCCTCATGCGTTTCCTCCGCATCCTCAAACTCATCCTCCTCCCCCTCGTCACTATAATCACTATACCCCCCCGGAAACTCATCATCATCCTCCCTCAACACCCTCTCTATCAACTCCGGATTATTCCCAATCTCCGCCCTCACCTCCTCCAACCTCCTCTGCCCCTCCACCCTCTCCTCCTCCGTAGCATACGACCTCTCCCCAAACAAATACCTATACAACCTCCTCACGCTCCCCAAATTCCTCACATGCCCTTCCGCTGCCCAATCCTCCCGATTCAGCGCTTCGACAGCCGCAAACTCCCCATTCGCCGTCTCCTGGTCCACAATCTCCTGGATCGGCCCGGCCTCGATCACGCCGGGCATCAACTCGTCCGTCGCGGGCGGCGGACCCCGCCACCCTGGAATGAGCTGCCGGATCGCGGCGACGGGGTCGAAGAAACCCTCCAGCTCGCCATTGGGACCCATCCCCGAGGGGCCCGTCACGAACGCCAGGCGCTGCGTCGGGTGCGAGAAGATGTTCATCTCGGCCTCCGGGGGGAGGGGGTCGGAGTCCGAGTTCGGGAGACGGTGCATGAGGTTCGAGGGCACGAGCGACATGAGCGCGGGCGTGTTGTCGAGGTAGATGAAGCGCGCGGCGTCGAGGTCCATGCATTCGTTGGGAATGGGGATGATGTCCTTGGGGTCGGATTTGCCTACCGCGTGCGCGACCTCGACGAGGAGGGAGGTGGCTTCGGGGGTGCTCCAGAGGTCTTTTGTTTGTTTGATGTAGACGCTGGAGAAGAATTCTTCGCCTTTGTTGCGGGGGAGTATGCCCCAGATGGAGGGGGGCGCGTCGTCGAGGTTGAGCTCTTTGAAGAGCAGGCAGAAGAGGTAGGGGAATTTCCTTATGGCTCGGCCGAGGACTTCTCGGCACTCTGCGCCGTGCTTGAGATGCATGTGGGCGAGGGCTAGGGATGGCAGCTGGAAGTCTTCCGTGAAGCTCCTGTCGTCGCCGAACATTGGTGATGATACCGCATCTACTAGCCACTCAAATTGGTGGGCTCGTATCGCTAAATGGTGAACGACGAGTTTAAAGCAATACGGATCGTCTTCGAGGTCAAGTAATAGGAGAAGCTTAGCCCACTCAAATGCGGTCCTGTAAGTCCCCTTCATTACCAAGCTCTTGATGTAATGATAGCCCGCGAGCCACAACTCTCTGTTTTCGGGTCTGGCGAAATCCAGACGCGCTTTGCCAAGGGACATCTTCGTTGCGAAGAGGGACGTGGCGGCTCGTCCGAATGAAAATAGAGCACGTTCCACGAGGTCATTGGATAGCGAATGGTCCGATTGGTCTTTGGCTATCTTACTCACTTGGAGGAGCAGTGAAATGTGATATGCTAGTTCGTATTAGCAAACGTTTGAGGGGTAGATATGTCAAAGCGTACGGTTTTTCTGAAGCAACCCAATGAGGTTCTGGGGGTCGCCCATCTCCACGTAGATTCTAAACTGGTTCTGTACAGCTTCGTACGCATTGTCATGTACGAACCTGAACTCGTTAGTGCCGTCGATGAGCTCTATATCTTCAACCTTCTTCATAGTAAGGCCTCCTGTGGTTGCTCGTGGCCACTCGTCTTTGCCTTGTATAAAAATATTCCTCCTCAGAGTCACATCAGGCAACCCCTTTCCAGGAGCATGGTGGCCTTTCAATGCCGTTTCGAGGTCAACCTGTTGTTGCTGTGCCCTCTGCCGCCTTCGTCCTCCTCGTGGCACAGGCCCGCCAGCCTCATCGTTGTTCTCAACAGAGGTTCGGCCAAAGAGATTTCTCATCTCATTCCCTACTTTGAGGTGCTGGCTATTGACGCCTAGCAAGGTACACATCCGCTCATAGTTTGGATCCAGTTCCAGCTTCGGTAGCTGTGGTATTTCCCCCCCCTTCTTACCGCTGATATCGAGCTCTCGAAGGGCAGCATCTATGTCGTCTCCATCATCTTTTGTTTCGGGCTTCTCAGCTTCACTTGTCTCTGGTGCCTTCGCTTTGGCTTTCTTCTTTTTCTTCTTTGACTTCTTCGCTTTTTTCGGGGCAGGAGATGGCTCGGCTTCGTCGGCGCTCGTATGAGTCTTTTCGTCTATTTTCGTCTCTTCATCGTCGTCGCCGTCGTCATCATTATCCTCATCCTGAAGCGCAGCAAAACTGGAGAATAAACTCGCTTTTGCCGGTGGGCGGTAGTCTTCTTGCTCGTCGTTGGACCCCTCCTCTTCTGCCTCTCGTAGTTTGGCTTGCTCCAACTCCCGTTGCTGCTGCAGCTTTCGTATTTGGCGGCTAGACATTTTCTTTGGGGATAAATATATAGGAACATACAATCCTCAAAACTGCGAATATCCTCGGTTTTGACCCCCAAAAAATGGTAGGTACAGCTCGTGGCAACAGGTGTTTCTCATGACGCACCGGGGTGGGATAAAGTGGCAGAACTTTCACCGCTTGCTGCTTTCGGCTCGCCGCATATCTTCCGCTAAGCACAAAGGGACCACGAGACCTCAGTGGCTACTCTAGTTGAATGTCGTCTTTGATTGTCTAGGACCTCACTCATCAACACCACAGTGACGGTTTCACACTCCAGCGCCCAACGTTATATACGTTCTTTTAATCTATGGACAGCATGCTATTGTAATTTTAATATATCGTCACTTTGATCTATTGATTACCATTCTCTCGGCTTTGCGACGCTCCTGGAGGTGCGGTTCGTCGACTACCCAGCCTTCCTCTCTCATCGTCCAGAGATCTCTCCAGTCCTCCAATGCGTCGAGCTACTATACGAGCACTACGAACTGCTCGTCGCGCTCATATCCAAACCTTCCATAACAGTCGCGGTGGCCATTCCTCGCAGTATGTGCAAGGATTAAGGTCCGCTTCAACCTCGAACCGACGCGAACCCTTGCCAGCGCCTTTGAAGTCTTCCATGCATATCAGAAGAATATCTGTGGCGGTTGCATCGGGTCTGGTTGCTGCTGGAGCTTGGTACGGTTACAAGGGATCTGCCACATCGGAGTCATCAAAGGGGCAAAGCCAAAGCCTCACTACGTCCGCCTATTCTGGCGCGAACGCGGCGGAGACCAGTACGGTACCATCGGCGAATACCCGACAAGCGGTTGTGGTGACTGCGGACTCAATCTACACCGGATCTATTGAAGGCGACGAACCCATCTCAAAATATACCGACAACTCTGGTCGGAAGGTTTTAGAGATGCTCACTGCGGAACAAGCGACACAGAAGCTGCGGACAAACGAAGAATCATACTTTGTTGGCCGTGGCCAAGGTGTTGTGAGATACGATGTGGTGCAAATTCCCAGCAATGACCCCATCGAGGATGATCACTCCGAGAAGATAGTCGAGGTGCCTCATGCGGTTGCCACCGCAGAATCAGGGAACCCTAGCAGCGACTGGATGTTCTGGGGTGTATACGATGGACACAGGTATGGAAGGCTTGAAACAAACGAACCTACATCGGCTAATATTCCAACAGCGGGTGGACAACTTCCGCCAAACTCAGGCAAACCCTTATTAACTATGTCGCCCGCGAATTGAACAGTACATACAAAGCTGCGCTTATCGATCCTACTCTTACCTCCCCTACCTCAGAAGCTATCGAAGCTGCGATTAAGACCGGCTTCAACAGACTCGACCACGAAATTGTACATGAGAGCGTTGAAAAGGTCATGAAGGCAAACTCAAAGCTCGCCGCTGCTGAGATGCTCGCCCCAGCCCTTTCAGGGGCCTGTGCTCTCCTGTCGTTCTACGATAGCAACTCCAAGCTCCTCCGAGTCGCCTGCACCGGTGACTCGCGCGCAGTTCTTGGCCGCCGAGGCGCTGGTGGCAAATGGGTCGCAACCCCATTGTCCGTCGACCAGACCGGAGGTGCCCCAGATGAAGAAGCCCGCCTCCGCAAGGCCCATCCGAATGAGCCGTATGTCGTCAAGAACGGCCGCATCCTCGGTGGCCTAGAGCCGTCTCGTGCGTTCGGTGACGCGATCTACAAGTGGTCCCGCGAAACCTCGGAGCGCATGAAGAGGTCTTTCTTTGGCAAGACACCGTCTCATCTCCTCAAGACGCCTCCGTATGTCACTGCTGAGCCGATTGTCACCACCACGAAGATGGAGCCGGAAAACGGAGACTTCGTCGTCATGGCCACGGATGGATTATGGGAGATGCTCACGAACGAGGAGGTCGTCGGCTTAGTCGGCCAGTGGATCGAGAAGCAATCGTCTGAGAACAAGGGGTCATCAAACGGCTGGCTCAAGCTATTCAGCTCGCAGGAGAAGGGACTGCCCGTCGAGCGTTCGACAACTAGCAAGTCAAACGATGGACAGAAGACACCCATCAGACAGCAGCAATGGGGCGTCGAGGGCGGCGAGAACCAGCGCTTCGTAGTCGAGGACAAGAACGTCGCTACGCATCTTGTCCGCAACGCGTTAGGGGGTAAGAACGACGAGATGCTCCGCGCACTGTTGACCCTCCCTGCGCCCTACTCGCGCAGATACCGGTAAGAATCACATGCTGCCCCTCGTTTACATTACCGACAGAACTGACTAATTGCCTCATTAGTGATGATTTGACCGTCGAGGTCATCTTCTTCGGCAACACCCCCAAGACTGGCAACGTGACCACCAACGAGGACGCTACGGCTCCTATCTCTGCCAAAGCGAAGCTCTAGGCGAGCTATTTTGAATACTTTCCGACTTTCCGCGGTGCTCCTAGACCTCGGGATCTAAATCTTGACGATAGGGAAGGCTGGTAGGGATATGGGACGTTGGCTAGTATCCAAAAGTCGTGATAGATATATCGGTGACTTGTGGGTCACGAAACGATTAGATAGATAGATCTCCCAACCTCGGCGATGGGTACATACCACACCTAGGCCAGATATCAAGCACGTTTTTCCCAAGGTTCATAATAGTCTTGTCTCCCAAGGTTCATTAATAGCGCGCAAACCATATATATCGTGACATCATCCCAACTCCCCTCTCACAAGCCAAAAGTTGAAATTGGCACCAGTACCAACCACAACAATCGCCCGCTCCGACACTATAGATAAACCTAATCGCCCTCCCCGGCACAAAAACAAAAACAAAAAAATAACTGCCGAAGCAATTCAATCAAACACTGGAGAAACGGCGAATCGAACGCCGGACCTCTTCTATGCTAAAGAAGCGTTATACCACTAAACCATATCCCCTTTGTAGTGTTTACCTCTGCGCCACTAACCTATCCCAAGGCCGTCCCACATTCTTCTCGAACTAACCCTATCCTATCCTATCCTATCCGTTGCCGAATCCAACCGACCCGAACCAAAACTCCTAGTAAAATTCCCAGCGCCCGGTTTTTGGAGCGGGCGGCGGGCCTGGCCTCGTAGCTTCGGTGTGTGTGGGGCGCGAAAACCGCGCGTGAGGCTCCTCCTACACTATCAACAGTAGTATGAGAAATAATCGCGACCTCAACGCGGTTGTGGATTTTCGCGATAGAGGGGCTCTCCCAACACGAACCGCGTTGCTCTGTGGATTCAACGCAACGAAGCCTGTTTATTCCCCCCCATCTACCCCTCCATATCCATCCAACATCTCCAGTAACGCTGCTTGCAGCCTCCAAAAATCCCGTGTTTGTGGGACCAACCCACCGCGACAACGACGTCATCACGTGTCCCCTCCCCCCCACCATCCCATCGCCATCCCATCCTATACCACAGTAACCACAAAAAGTCAAGTCTTGCATAAATAAACACCAAACGCGCGCGCGATACCAACGTCCCCCCGCCCCTTCTCCACCCTCCCCATCGAGCTCAACGCGCATACCAGCGCGCTGCGTTGCCGAAGCTCCCCGACTCCCCGTGCTGCAGTGCTATCTATCACTTTCACCTCGTCGCATGCATGTGAACGACACACACGGCGATCGTTTTATGTCTGGGACAGCCCCAGCCCGGGGTGGACTGGGCGGGACGGCCGGGGGGTGAAAAGGCTAGGCTGGGCGGTGGGCTGGGCTGGGCGGCGCTGGGTCGATGGACGATCGATTGCGCGGTCGTTGCAGTGGTCGTGCAGTGGTGCGGTGGCGGCTGCAGTAGTGGTGACCACAGTGGCGCGCGCTGATCTAGGTTAACGGCGCAGCGGAGGTGGTGCGGGATTGGGAGAGCGGTGCATGAAAGATGCGCGCGCAGCAGTGGTGTGTGTGTAGAGGTGCAGCAGACTGGTGTGTGGAGGAGAGGATACCGGCGAGTCGGGCGCGGTGCAGATGTCTCAGGTCGCGGTATGCATGATCTGGCATGACCTGGCCTTGGAAAACGCGGGGAAATGATTTCCAGGTTTCTGGGGAAGGAATAGGGTGTGTGTGGGTGGACGGATGGGGATGGGATGATGAACAGTCATAGATAGATAGTCATGGTTGGTTAAATTCGATAGAGGACAGAATACAGAATTTCAAGTCAGATGGCACGGGATATCAATCAATCAAATCAATAGATAGGCATATGTATGTGAAAGTGAGATATTAACAGGTCATATTTCTTTCTTCGCATTGAAGCGATGGGCAGCGACGCCCAAGTAGTCTCTGTCTATCTACAACCACCACCTCCTGTTCGCCCCCTTCTGGCGTTTTGCATCTCCCTATCCCCATCCAGTGTTTTCCAGCAGGCTGCGAGCCCGGTTCATGAGATAAAAAGAGTCTTCATATGCAAACTCAACCCCGGCTCCCCGGCCGGGGCGAAACTAATGCTGTACATACAACCCAAACGAATACATACAAGACTTTTTCCCTATTCGTCTCCCCCCGCCGCCATCCGCCCATCCCCCCTACCCCCTCGCCGGGAGGGATGGTGCGGAGTAATAATGAAAATGGTAGTAGTAGTGTGTGCGCGAGTGTGTTGTTTGTTGTTGGCCGTAGCGAAGGAGATTTTGGTGTTCAGTACAGAGTTGATTGTCCACAGGACAATGTATAAAAATGACAAGATGTCGAATGTGCCGCCGGTGCTTTTAGAAAGAGTGCCGAGGCCGTTTAAACGTGTGAGTGCTTCGGGATTTTGTGCAGGTACCTTGTGTGTAGGTGCCGTGTCGTGATATGGTTGTGATGATGTGTGATGATGTGTGATGTGATGTTTGAAAAGATTTTGGTTCCGCAAACGCCGTTTTTGGGGGAACCCCGATCGCTAAAACGCTATACAAATATTGGGTATCAAAGAGAGAAGGATCATAGGTGAGGTCGAATGATGTAATATGAAAATCAAGAGTTGGTAGGTGTTGGTGTCAACGCGAGCTTGTCGCGTGTGTGTGCCCACGAGAAGAGGTCGAACTTCTCCTTCGTGAGGATGGGTGTGGGGTGAGCTGCGAAGGCGCCCTGGAAGTCGACTGGGGAAGTCTTCTGAGTCATGCGTGGCTCGAGAAGGAGTGACTTGCGGTAGTATTGTTGAACGTTGTTCGAGTCGTTGGAGGCTCTCACGCGGATAACCTGCGCCTGGATCCATTCCTGAAGCTCAGGGACTTCTGCAAGTCTGTATGGGATCTGGAATCGCTGGAGATCACCAATGATCTTAGCAGTGCGGGTGTGCTTGTCAAAGTTGATGACAGCCATTCCCTTCTCGCCAGCTGTGCCGGTGAGTTGCTTGGTAGCCGGGTTGCCCATGTCGACAAAGGTGAGATCAGTGAGGTAGGTGCCAACAAATGGCAGGCAAGGCGGTACATGGCCTTGCAGTCTCTGCCTCAGGACAGCGTGGTTCTTTGTTGGCTCGACAATGTCTTGGAGAACCTTGAGCATCTCCTTTCGCTTCGGCGAGATCATGTCCCAGGTCTTCTTGAGGCGCGTGATCATGGAGGAGTTGATCGAGCAGATAATAGCCATGAGCGAGTCATAGTTGTTGAGGATAAGGCACTCGTTGGCGATCTTGATCCAGTGCTTGATGATAACAGCTCGCTTCTTCGCATCCGACTCGGACTGGAGAACGGTATCGGCGACGAGGTTGGACAGATCAGTCGAGAGAGTGGACATTGCCTTCACATTGACTGCGTTCGATCCCGACTTCTTCATCCACTCCGAAGCAAGTAGCTCCTCAGGCATAATGGTGCAGAAAACATTCATCTCCTTGATGGTGAGTTGGCGAGCCATCTCAACGGGGGAGAAGTCGAGGATAGATGGAGATGTTCCACCCATCTTCCAGGTCTTGAGGCTGTTGATCTGGCTTTTAGATAGGATAGGTGCCGGTAATGGCGTATCCGGTGAGATATATTGGGCAATCGATGTGCTCGTCTTGCCGATAGATGAGATAAGGCGCGGGGTAATTGGCCCCTCAATCGCTGCGACCTTCTCGGCCAGCTCTGATAGCCGGCGTCCTGCTTGCGGCAGAACAGATAGAAGTGTAGTCTCGGCGAATGAGCGGATAATCGGCAGGGCGACCTCATCTGCGGTATGTTGCCAATGAGTCTCCAACCAGCCCTTGAAGACGTTGTAGACGCGAAGGCGAACTGGGGCAGCGATGTGCACGCTGTCGTTGACGTAGTTGAAGCGCTCGATTAAAGCCTCAGAGAATGTGATTGGTGTTGCGAAGAGGCGGAATGTAAGGTAGAATGTTGACACGAAGGTAGCATCGGGAGTAGAGTCGTGCGAGGTTAGTCGCTCAACCAGGGCTGGAAGCGATCCTCCAGTAACCTGTCTCTCCTTGTTGAAGATCAGCTCATGTGCGAAGGTCTTCTCCAGCACCCTTGATTCATCGTCCTCGCGCTCATCTGCAGATGTGGCTTGGCTTTCCGAGATGCTGTTGATTGACTTCGATACCTGGTGGCTCTGGTGGCTCTGGCGATAACAACTCAATTCGGGAGTCGTCGCACGAGTCGAGGTTTGCGATACCAAGCTGGCTTCCGAGCCCCTCAGGCTGCTCATATATGTACTGGGCGAGCCAGTGCAGGTAGCGACGCTATCTGAGCGCGAAGAGAGTAAATCATTGCTGGGAATTGAGGTTTGTAGTTGTAGGCCACCCATTAGGCCTTCGAGTCTAAGAGCGGGTAAGAAGGTAGGCGAGGGCGCCAAAGTGGTCTTTGCCGTGCCAATGAGACCCATTTGCGCGTCGTCGGAAGTCTCGGCTTCCGACTCAGGAACAAGCGGGAGAGGCTTCTCCTGGTCGATGATAACGAAAGATGGTAGAGGTTTCTCCATGTCAGCAACGGATGGTGGGAGAGTCTTTTCGAAGTCGAAGCCAGTCGGTGGAGGAGGCGGTAGGCTCGCGGGTTCTTCTAAAGTAGATTCTTCGATAATTCTAGGGTTGTTATCAGTCGCGACATCAGCAGCGAAGGCTGAGACATCGATTCCTAATGCAGACAGCTCGGGCTCGAAGTCGCCCACGATCTCGATGACGGACTTCGCCCTGTCAACACACTCTCCAACAGCAACAACACAACCGGTGGCCGCAGACTCGATAGAGTCGTGATCCTTTTGTAGTATAACGTTGTCTTCTCCATCAGAGCTACTTGGTCTGACACATTCTCTCGCGGCGATGACAAGTTGGTTGATGCATTGGTACATGGTATCTCTGACATCTTGGAGCGCGGCCTCACCGCGGACATCGCGGGCGCATAGTAATTCAATGATGGTACCCAGTGCCTTCCCAGCTGCAATTGCTTGACGTATACTGATGAGAAGGTCGTTCGAGCCATTGGCCAGGTGTAGGCGGCCCACCAGAGATCCAAGACACGATATGAATGTCTCATGTGTCGAGCCAAGTAGCCCAGACACATAGTTCTGGCGACGCGCATCATGATGCTGCCCCGCGGTCGACAATCTATGCGACAGAGATTGGCGACTCAATTGCATCGAAGATTGGCGTCTAGAGTTTCTTGTGGTTGGGGAGAAAACGCTGGACGATCGCTTGAATGATTGTCGCTTTGTTTGTTCCTCGGCCGCCTGCTCCCTCGAA